TTCAAAATTCAACATAAAATAGCAAAATTATGTCCACTTTCAAAATGACGGGTGGCGGCCATCTTGGATTTGAGGCACAAAATGGCCACCAATTGCTTCCAAATGATCAAAAATGGGTTCCTTGTCCCTAATTTAGTCAGGTTTGATAATCTATACATGTTTCTAGGCCAAATATTAATGGAAATATGAAATATTATATATTTTGGCACCTAATTTGCATAATTTATGCTAATTAATGTATCGATAGAGGGCGTCTCTTTGGATAAAAAATTTTCTTTTGGCCCAAGGAACATTTATGCCAAGTTAGACATTTGTACTATAAAATGCAGCGTTTGACCTCTTAACAAGCCTACTAGGAGCGATGGCCGTGGAAATGGTACTCATTTGTTGAGTTTTTCTTGCTCCCTGTGTACGTGGCACACACTCACCAAGGGGTGCATTCCCTAGATTTAGATCGATCCAGAGATTTAGATTTAGATCGACCTAACTCCCTGGGGGTTCACGCTAAATTGCAGTCAGCCGAGCGCGCACCATAACCACGATTGAGCCGGCTAAGCTGACAGTAATCTAGTGAGACTCCCCACAGGGATAGATCGTTCTAAAATCTTTGGGAATGGGGTCTAGGTCCCAACCATGTTTAAACGCACGGTTTTTAGGTTCCTTGAGTCCGGCTAGGACGTAGCTAGATCGCACGTAGCGGCTGTTGATCATGTCGAAAAGTTTCTACGTGCTGTTTGCGTCCTCCAGAAGTCGCACGATGGACGTGCTCCTCACGTTCGAACTCCCACGCTTTCCCCATTTTTTTAAGCCGAAGATCACACGTAGCAACCCGTACGTTCGGTTGGAACCTAGGCTTTACGAAGGGAATGCAACACACGGCGGAAGTAGTGCCCTTTTGCGTCAGTTTTTGCTGTTCGGTTGGAACCTAGGCTTTACGAAGGGAATGCAACACACGGCGGAAGTAGTGCCCTTTTGCGTCAGTTTTTGCTTCACACTTGCCTCACACGTTTGTGGTGACGTATTGACGGCGTACGTCAGTTTTGCTTCCTGTGCTCCTTTTCTTGCTTCTTCCTCCTCCCTTTTTTCTACTTTGTAAGCTTCTTTCTCTTGCCTTTTGGAAGTATATTAAAAATAAATTGAGCAATAATTTGAAAAAAATTGAAAATTGTTGCACACGTTACACAGTCGACGTTCATTGTAAAGAGACGAGCGTGCGTCGTGAGCACGCCTTTTATACACCAGGCGTGGGGGTGACGCACGTGCGACGCATTCCCGGTGTGCTCTCGACTTTATTCGTTAGTTGTGAGGGCGTGCGCCTTACTCAACACACAAAGGGCACTTGCTCCTTCATTGCCTGCGACGTGGGTCTTGCACAACGCTCGTCTCTCTTGCTAACTCCGTACGATGGGAGCAACTTACGATTGTGGCCTCGCTGTTCGCAGGCTATTCGTAGAAACTTTTGCACGTGTCCAGCATCCTCCGTGAATTTTTACTGTCTAAAATGTTTTTATTCTGAGCTTTTTCTCATGGGATGCCTTGTGTAAAAAGCAAAGTTGTTATAAAGGGGGAACGTTACGAAGAGAAAATATATAAGTATTTATTACAGTGAAATTGGTAGAATAATTAAAATATTGATAATTTTACGGAACAATAATTCATATTAGTAGATTTATAAGTTATGTTTATGTCACCCAAACAATCAAATTTACAACTGTTCTTTATTCTTTTGATAGTAAATAATTAGGTTTCAGCGTTTTGGTCGGGTCACGCAAATGTTATATGTGCGCTATTTGGTATGTTTTGATTAAAAATGGAGGTAACACAACCGGTTTTTACTGCACTGTCCTGGCCTATGTATGTGTGATTATTATATGTATTTCCCTTTGAAAGGCTCAGCCGCTGCTTCAAATGTAAGTGATATGGGTGTGCGTTTTAGGGGCGGGGAGGGGGGCATTCTTTCCATATTTACTGGTTTATTGGACCCCTTCCCTAAGCAGTCGGTACAATGGACTGGTTTCATAACAAAGTTATTACATAATTCGTTATTATGTCACAGTCTTGGAGGACACGCGCACTACAGTTCTATTCCTATGCGTTTAAATAAAAGTATCAGTCATTATTGTTCGTTAAATTAGAGTCAATTCAAAAGTACAAGGTGGGTCAAGGCTTCTATCCGGGTCGGTCGAATGTTTTTTAATGTTTCTGATGAGCTACGTTGTGTACTACAGCGGTATAGAGCTTGGACGAATTGCTTGTCCACACTGAGAGGGACCTGTTCCCTTGGAGGGTATTTTAGCTGTCATTAGGCCACCACGTTGCCTTTGTTTTCGATCTAACTTAAGTATCTAGCATGTAAGGTCAAAAACTGAGGCAATCCAGGAGCAACAGTGGTAGACTACCAACCATCGATTAGTAATATGGATCGAGCAATTGTGACAAATACTAGTACATGTAGACCACTGAAGCGGCAAATTGAAGATGTATATTTGCAAATATCTTCACTACATACTGCCCTCGACCTACACTTAAATATATAGCCCATTATACATTATATATGAATGCATATAAGCGCACATAGTGCACTGGTATAGTGTCAATACTGGACAATTTCTCTACTTGAAATAGGCAACGCTGACAGAAATGAAGCCGAGTGTTTGAAGGGAAGATACATAAATACGTTACCTCACTTCCTCAGCTTTATTTTGAATCTTCAGAAATGTCTCATCCGACTAATTTGAGTCCGATTATCCTGAAAATTTTACAGCCTGATGTCAGTGGTTGTTGACTGGTGAGCTTGTTTAAATGCACCAGAGAATCGCAATGGCACTTTAGTATTTGGTACACATCATTTCTCCCACGGACGAGTCTAAATTCGTGGACCTGTCTCCCCTTGTCCCTCTGTGTGTGGATTATACAATGTATAGGGACGTGTTTATCCAAGTGAAAATTGACGTCCTAAAAGCAAGGGCAAGTCACTTACATAATCACCGAGTGTCGTGAATAATGTAACTACAAGATGAATAAATCCGAATAATGCAAGAAATGTCATTTTCTATAGTATTCTCTTTGCCCGCAAGGTCCGTGCAGAAGGATTAATCCAGATTTAGCTTACATTTCCATTTGGATTGTGTATACAAAATTCTTTACCACAATTTGAGAGTTACATGAACTTGGCGCGTGCTTCATAAAAATTTGCTATAAGATAATTTTCTCATTGTTTGGGCGGAAACCATGGATCTAGAACCCCAAATATTATCTAAAATTGTAGGCACCAAGTTGTTTCATTTCCCTTCTCTTTTTTATGTCAAACCATCCTTTATTGTCTTTTCGCCGTATCGGACTGAAAACAATTGGGTTACTTTTTTCGTCTTTTACTTGCTGACATTTCTTAACGAAGTAATCGACTAATTAACGGTCGACGTTCTAGTCTGCGCTCATTTTCTCCATAAAATCAACCGCCAGAAGGTAAATTTGACACGAGAGATATTATCAAAGGGTTTGCTATTCTCGTGATACTGTAGCGTCCGAGTACAAGAATGAGTTTCCGTTTGTTATATAACTTGCATTCGGACGTCAATCAGTTTGGTTCGTGTAAGTATCACAAGTGAAAATCTTCACAAGAGGGTCCCATTGGGGGATGGGGGGGGGGGGTTACCAAGAGTGACCACACTTCACGGGAAATAAAATCATCAAATCACATATTATTGTTAATAAAACTTTTTTCGTAACTCATAGAAAATGCAAGTCCGGCGAGTTGTAAATCACATATAATCGAGTACAATAATTTCGTTTCACGAAGGACAAATAATAAAAAAGCTGCATTCACAAGCCATGGAAGTGAGCTGCTTCACGGATCATTAAGATCATTCCTCTACCGGTACGTGTCAGATACATAATCTCCAGCTCTCAACTGTTAAATCACCCTATTGTAGTGAACGTTATAATGGACGCCGGTTTAAAGCTGTCATTAATGCTGTGTTGCCCTCCCCCCTGCAGGGAGTTGACATGCTCATGAGCGTGGGAACAGAACGACTCTTATAGAACCCATTATAGCATTCCCTTTGCTAGTCAGGACTGTTCAGGGAGGAATAATCCAGATAAGGGCTATATTTACATGGGTTTTCTATACAAAATTCTTGACTAAAATTTACAGTTATATATACTTTTTAAAACAATGTTTATTCATAGGAAATGGAGGCAAAGCGCTAAAAGCATTAGATGCTCCCCGTGTAGAACAAAATTAACGCACACAACTAAATACAAACATTAGAGATCAGATTTCAGTACTTTGTGTACTTGGGGCATGGCTCAACTGTAAAATCACCCTAATATTGTAGTGAACGTTATAATGGACGCCGTCTGTGTTGTACTCCCCCCCCTCGCCGCAGGGAGTTGACAGGAGCAACTGGACTAACAAAGGGGTTTCACTTGACACAACTATCCAACCGACCTCTTCCATGATTTTCCAAAATAATTTTAACTTCCATAAACGCCGGCTCAAATGACAAGGGCTACAGTGATATTTCAACTTCATATTCAGTAACTTTATTTTATTTGACATTTGTACAGTGATCGACGTTGAAGTAGATTTCCACTACTAGTATATCGAAAAAATTATGTACATTGAATATGCAATATATAAAGCACGAGTCAAAAAGGTGCACTTGAAATACACGAGTAGGGAGCAAAGTATGGGTGGACTTGATACAGCTGACATTTAATATAGAATATTGTTTCCAAATTATTTTTCTTCGATTATACCCTTTTGATAATCTCTCCAGTGTCACATCAGTTCTTCAATTTAATTCATCGATGAAGTATTACAAAAAAAAAAAAAAAAAAAAAAAAAAAAGCCTGGTTTTTAGTTATAAATAGACCATTGAATGCGTTATTTGGATCTCCATATTTCGAAATTATCAACTGTTACACGTCACATGGTGACGATCAGATTGTGACCATCTTTTGTTGCTTTACAGGCTAGGCTCTCTACCCAACAAATTTTTACAGAACAACATTTATTTATTTCATAGTTTTATGAAGCAAAATATCCATCACTAACAATAGCTTGAAGTCACTTGGTCATCCAATATTCAGATTTCATCGGTCAGATTTCATCGGTCAAAAACCCTTGCCGATAAACCCTTGCGAACCAGTTCGTGGAGGTCCGAAGCCAGCAATTTCATAAGGGTGGTTCTTTTTCCATGAAAACTTCATGTACCTAGATCAAATTCTACTCTTTTTCTGACAAAGAGGGGTGTTCTTTCGAAACACCCATTCCCCTGGCTACGGGCTTGACGTAAATAATGTAGCTCATTTATCGGCAAGGGTTTTTGGCCTCTATTTCCTCCCTTCCTCATTTACCCCTTCTCCTGTTTAGTGGCGCCCTCTACGAGCGCTGTTGTTTTTCACGCGGCAAATCATAAACCAGATGAGTTGCGAGCGTGGCAACCCAATCTAAGATTGATTGCTGTTTAGTTATTATTATTATTGTTGAAAAACGTTTTCAGAGTCACTTGAATGAATGCTGGGTAATGAAAGTTTGTGTGAGTATTTGTAATTTAATTTGATTTTATACTTATATACTGAAACATGTATCTACTGCATTTCTTTGTTCGTTCAAGAAGTTTCTTATGCATTTACCTTGATTACGTAATTTAAGCTTTTTGCATTATTATTGTTACCTTCATCATTGTAATTCTTTATTTAATTATAAGTTCATCATACAATAGGTTAATAAACGACTATTCCTACCGTTCTCGGTCAGTTGTTTAACAGATGTAGTCTATTTATTCAGTTGTCTCTGTACAATACACATGAAACATGGACTATCTTATCTTGTGGACTGAAAAGCGAATGAAGGTTTTCTCATATCACTGTCAAATCCATCAACTGCTCAATCGGTACAAGGAATTATCCCCTCTAATTCCTTGGCCAGTATCACCAGTTCTTCCATCAGAATGGTTGGCATTCTAGTATAAAAAGTGCTTTTGCTTCATTACAGTTAAATAGCAATACCTTGTACTTGTAGCACCACCAAAAGCACTAGTACTCCTTTTAACATTTAGGTCTTTATTTCAATGGGAGTTACAATACACAAGATGCTAGCATCTTTACAGCCTTTAAACATTAATGGTTTGTTAAGTAATCGGCAAAATAAAACGATTCGTAAGGTGAGTTTCTAAAGCATACTTTACCGTTTAATCAAGATCTCCTTCAGACTGATAGATGAAAAATGTAATCTGTAAAAAACACGGAGTTACTGTAGGATGACATAAAACAAGGCGGATCAGCAAAACGACACATTTCAAACTTGGTAACATAAGTGCACAAATCAACATGGCTTCGAAATTCGCCGAATTGTAGGCAGGCTTAGGGCTCGCTAATTGTGCAGTTGGAATCGGTGTGGGCCATGATCATTGGTTTAAACTGAACCAGCATGACGAAGTACGTCACAAATATCCCGAAAAGCTGTAAAACAAAAGATGAAAAAACGGTAAATAAAGGCACGTGGGGCATACTGTGTAGTAACGGAATACAATTTATGTCTGATAACTACTAATTAATCCAAATGACTTAGTTAAACACTGGTATTTTGGATATGACGGTTTGGCCTTATATAATGAATTTCGATGGCAACGACATGAGTTTAAAAATGTACACATGTTTTATTGTTTTTTTGCAATTGGGTTAGTACAAGTACATTTTGGTATTAAGCGTTAAGTAGCGTAAGCATAATCAAATGCAATTTCATTAAGTATGTTACGTCAGTAATTCCACCTATAGTTTTAATAATAATAATAATAATAATAATAATAATAAACAAGTGAAAAAAATCTGGGTCCAAGAAGAGCTTAACGTTTTCATTTTGCAGTACACTTGCTTTGATGATTGCTAAATTGCTAAAATTGCGGACGCTGTAGTACGTCAACACGGGACATTACCGTTAAAAGTGTTGGTCGGTCGATGACAAACATTCTGTAAGCACTAAATCCTATAGGGTCTCCTGACAGCTTGGACATAAAGATCTGCAACTAGACAGAAAAGTAACATTCAGCCTTAAGCTGCGTTCGGGTCGCTTAAACCCAGTGCGAGATTCATGGATGTCGGGTTCTAGATTTTAAATAAGTCCACAGAGCACGTGTTCTAATTCCCCCCCCCCCCCCTGCATACACACCTCGAGTGTTCATTCTGTCATCTTGCAAACCGTCTGCTAATGAGGAGAAAGACTGAACTTTGTTAACCATGGTATGAACAAGCCGCATATACACTGTATCTGTGTAAAATGCTAATCGCTAAATAATGTTGGGCTGCCACCGTTCAATCTATATTTCTTGTTGCATATGTTTATCACATGAAGGGAGATGCTAGAATACTATCAAATAAACCGTTAAGGCGCAGTAAACGGAAGCATATATAATCACTGATATAACCTGCTACAATATAATCAAATGACAACCTTAACAACCAACGGAATATGTTTTTGAAATATTAATTTAATAGTATGTTTCTGTGAATATGTTTGGAAATACCCATTCAGGTCAAATGAAACTGTAGTCTCTCTGTGCAGGCTTATGTACATGTACATTAGTATTAAACAAGGGTTTTTTGCCTGATGAACAAGAGAAACATTGGATGCTAATACCTTTATTAATGTCTTTTCCTTTTCAATCTTATTCAGTTCTATTGTGTGTAGTTCGTCAAGTGAAGCGTGTGCCTGAAAGAAAAAATTAATTAAAAAAACACTAAATGTAGATTTTTACATTCTGTGTACGCACTGTGAATTTAATGAACGTGCTTTATGAGATTTGGTGGGAACAGAGCGACTCTAAATAGAACCCATTAAAGTTCCCATTGAGGTCTAGCAAGGAGTTCTAGTTCTGTCAAAGGGGATTACACACTACGGGGTGGAGCCCATATGCCGGTTTCTCATTGAGTAATCTCCTTTTGTTAGAACTCCTTGCTTCAAGCAAGGGCCAGTCACATATATAAATAGGGGTGACATAACCACGGAGGACCCTGAATAATACGCGTCTTATATGTACTTAGGGCGTGCCTCAAAAGAAGTTGTTATTATATAATTTTCTCATTGTTTGGGCGAAAACCATGTATCTAGACTCCCCCCCCCCAAAAAAAAAAAAAAAAAATTAAGGAAGACAGTTTTCTTCTTTTTAAATAGCAACAAGACAAATGAATAGAAGCCGTATTTTGCTCGAATTTGTACTTAAAGCGAAGAAACAAGAAATTAAGACTGACACATTGAACGAAATGCAACCTATCAACTTACTGAATGAGACGTCCTTTTTAGTAAAATTTTTAGTGTTAATTCATGTAGCAACAAAATTAATCTGTGATGAGCGTTTTACCGCAAAGCAATGTTCATTTATTAAGCTTACACTTATCTGTCATGATAACCTTTTTAAAGACCGGCTTAAAATTTGAATGGCCTACATTTAAAGGTTAATATCGAATCATGAAAATTCAATTTTCTCGAAAAAATGTAAACTTTTTCTGAAAGTCAAAACTTATGCAATCTAAGAAGGTACACAATGAACGATTTATATAAGAAAAGTTAATTTTCCAGGAAATTTCAACAATTTTCCCTAAATCACCAAGGTATACTTTATACAAGGTATACCGTTCACAAATATGCAACTCATACGGTCTTTTGAATTTTAATTATCTTCTAGTTTTTGAGTCTATTCTTGTTACGGATATTCAGCCTGTTGAATTGCACTCTGGAATTGGAAATGTAGATCTCAAAAACGGGTTTATGGTTTGCAATTTTTTCAACAGTTTTGGTTAGGCCGTACAGTGTACCTTGGTAATAAAGGGTGAAATGCTGAAATTTCTAGTTTTCTTTTTTCATTAAGTTCTAACGCACAAAACACGCCTTAAAATGATATGACATATTATAACATACTTGTATATTCACGGACCCCCCTCCTACTGCAATGGTGGTCGCGTTAGCGACAGCGACTATCAACCACATAGAGACAGCCGCCAAAGATTCAAACGCTGCTCCTCTTTGCACGAGGTCGATGAACATGTAGAGCAAGAGGCAGGTTCCCAACAAGTTCACTGCCATACTGGTTCCGATGAGAACCGTAAATGTGTCGTCGGCAGTTGCCATCAGTTTACAAATTTTGAGATGCCTGTTCATGTACACATCGACATCAAAATCATTTGAAGTTTCATTGAATTGCCGAACCGCTCTTTTGAGACTTCGGTTAAAGTCTCGATACATCGAATGTATTACCGTTGCAACAGCATAGCATGCTACAATCGGGAACACCCAATCTATGCATAAAAATGTAAAAATTATTGATCGAAACACTCTCAGAAGGACGTTTACTGCTGGGTGACTTGTATTTACAAACGAGTGGAAAGGTGCAAATAGCATTTCCAAACTATACAAAGCCCCTGTCGGATCCCATGTACTGTAAACATTGTAAGGCACACTCAGTAGAAAAACTGCCCACCCAATCATAGTGTACACTGCCACTCGACGTTGCAAGTACTTTTTTGTCAAAAGTTCGGGAAACTCTTCATAGATGGCGTTCCAGTGACTAAAGAATGCCGAAAAAAACCGCTTTCTACAAGCTCTAAACATAACGACAGCATTCATTACACATAAGAAGTGCCAGCTCATATAATTGATTTTTGTTATGATCAAGTGCTCTATATTTGGTGCTGAGAACATTGTAAAACGGAGTAAGAGATCGCTGAAAACAGTAGCCAAAACCCCAGCAGAGTACACCATTAAAACCGACAGCTTAGTACGCTCACGTCCTTTCAAATCCTCGTTCGTTTCGGGAGCAGCCACACGTCCGCCCTGGTCGTACCCGTAGTACAAGCCGAATATCTTCAAAGAAATGATGAGAGGCTTAAACACATTCTGTAAAGTGACGCCATTTCTGGTGATTCCTTTCTTTTTCTGCGACGCGGAAGAAACATCCCAAACTGCTTTTGATTGTGGAATGTTTGGGTCAGTTATCACAGAGTTTCCGTCCATTGTCAGTGTAAACGTAGTGCCTGTTGCAGCACTTTTCGTTTGCCCGTTTGAAACCTGCGGATCGAGCCTAATTGCTCTTAATATATAAGAATCGAGGAGTATAGGGGAATGGATTACGATCTCTATGGCAATCTTCAGTAAATGTATTTTTGTTTAATCAAGGCTCCGACAGGATTACAATATTTGATTTGATTGTCCTGTTTCTATATACACACAATTTTTGAAAAAATCATTTTTGTGTGGACACCTTACTGATAATTCGTGATAACCAATGCCTTAACTGTGAAGTAAATTTACAAATGGCTAATGGATAGTCTTTTCTTCAGAATAGATGCTTGATGTACGGCTCATATAACTTAAATTTTACCAAACTCTTGTTGAATAGTGTAAAGCTGCGTGACAAAATGGTAATCGATTTTCGTTTTTTTCCGGTTAGGGTAGTTTATGCCCATTAGCAGGGTCCAGAAAGGAAGCAGTTGACAACGGAGAAACACGATCCAGCAATTTTGAAATATTAACTTAGGCCAACTATCTCGTAATGTTTATAAAGATACAACAGATACAATGAGAACCACACGCTGATTATATCCTATAAATATTGAGTTAACACAACTAATGGTTATTTGAGCTTTTTTGAAGTGGGTAATGTAAGCTGCATTGTCCATGAATTAATTATACACAAGTTAACAGCACCTTTCGAGGAGGTAACCACGTTGATCATATTTTTTAGAAAGAATCTGAATCAGCGGTCTGGCATCCTCTGGACACTGAACAACTCCATGGTTCAAGATTACAACTCCATGGTTCTAGATTTTTGTTTTATAACAGTATAGTGAAAAATATTTACACACACATTTATATTGCCACAATAATCAGTGCCAGTATCTTTTCACAGGACATATAGAACATATTACTATATGCATTTAAAATGGTCTCAAAAGAATCATAGTTCCCATTGGATCTGTGAATAGTCATATACAAAAGTATTCATTGTGAAGAGTTAAACGTATTGGGTAAGTCTTTCACATATTTTTGGCGACATTACCCCACCCCAACAAAAGGAAGAGGACAATATTGGATAACAAAATGTAATAGTAACAGCAAAAATGCTTTACTTGGTCTTGGCCACTTTACCGTATAATGTTGACAAGATCTTTAAGTGTGATAAAAAAATTAACAACTTGTGTAGACATGTAAATAAGTTCTTTTCAAAATGTCAACAACATATTCAATTATTTAGCAAAGATGTCTTCTTTTCATGTGAAGAGATGTGGCTCTGATCATGAGCGGTTGTCTAGTTGTCTAGGTGTTGGTCTAGTCCTTAACATCCACCATTTACTTCACATTCAGTCTCAGTCACTAAAGTAAAATGAAACTGGCAGTAAATTTAGAATGAAAATGCCACATTCTGTCACTTTCACCCATGACATATCTTTAAGTAAAATTTCAGCAAAGTTTTTTGAATAAATAAATAAAAAGAACAATCCCAATCCCTTAACAAATTCTCCACATTTATTTCATCTTCGTCTTAAATTTAAAAATTCGTTAGCGGGCAATGTCGTAACTTTAAACGCCACCGATGCTTGCAGTCAAGGTTTATGTACATGTGCAGTATTATATACTGTATGTGCAACTAACAGAATTGTGCTTTCAGGTTTGACTCACCACAGAGGCCATTGTTACAGGGGTTCTCCAAATGCATATTGGTGGGGCAAGCACTGCAAGGTACACCGCTGATGTAGGGCTTCTGTCCTTGGTAGTTACCGCTGGATTGAATACAATGTTGAAGGTTCAATAAAAGTCCATCATGACATCAATTTCAATTTTGACCAGTTACTACCCTGAATGTCTATGTACAAACTTGGTCACTGTCTTCCTCACCAAACAGAAATCTACCGAACTTGCCATTGGCCAAGATGATCTGGCACTAGCTAAGGAAAATCGTTATGGTCAAGAATACTAGTACATTAATTCTGGGCTACGCATATGCCACAGGAGACCCACTTTCAGACATGAATTCATGAATTATAAGGGCCTCCTTACTAGTAGATATTTTTAATGGTATCCTTTGAGAGGGTGATTAGCACTTACCCTGGGTAGTAGTTGCAAACAAGGATCCAGTAATACGGGAAATCCTCCCCACACGGAGACTGGTCACTCTGGCAAGCAGAGTAAGCGCACCCAAGTCTGAAGGAATTGGCCCAGGCAACCTGGAATAAAATACAAATAGGAGGACATTAAATGCACAAGCGAGTGTCGGACCTTTATCTACCAAACATTTCTTCCCAGAAATTTCTTTTAGTTAATCATCAAGGTATACCATTTCCAAAGCTGTTTACCAAATTATGATCAACAAAAATCTTTTCAAATTTAAAGTTTTTGATTCACTATGATAGGTCTGGCATAGTTCACTCGTGACGATAATAATTAGTAATTTAAAGATAAAATACGGTTTATAGACCGTAGTTTTTTCATCGAGTTTCGGATAAGGTATACCTAAGTGATAAAGTGTAAATTGCTGACATTTCCATTTTTTCTTCATATTATGCAGTATATAGGTCTATGATTCATGAATTCACTTTTATACACCTTGAAGGTTTTTTTTCTGCCTTACTTGGTGCTTTTCACAGAGTAAACAATTTTAGCACATTTCTGATCCGTTACTGTTAAATATTTACGCTAGTAAAAACGTATGATTCCATTACCATTACAACTGGAATGTTGTTAGAAACGAAAAATATTTAATCTCTCTCTTACTTGAGTATAATGCCCACAGATGCGCTGAGATGCGCAGGTATTTGTATCATAGGTATAGTCTTCCTTTTCACGAAACCAATACTCCACCGCTTCCCCAGTAAAGTTTTCAGGCCGAATGTTACTAGTGCTACAATAGACGTAAAGGTTTTGGCCAATCGCCTGGGTGTTAATGTCCGCAGAGCATGTGTCTATGAGACTGGAGTGACCGTGGGCGAAGAGGCATTGGTTAATGTATTCTTGGCCGTCACAGTCAGCGAGGTCGGGGTCCCACATCTAGAATATAGTACTACAATTTCAACAAACGTACCAGTAAGATGTTGAGAAGATTGGGTAGCAACTGCTTCCAGCCTGTCAAATGATTGCCCCCTGCAATTTTAAATGCCTTGTGCTGGTCAAAGTAAGACAGAAAGTCCAAAACAACTGGCTAAATATTCAGGGTTTTTATTTGATCAATTTGCATTTCCATTCTAAAGAAAGCAAAAAGAAATGAGATGAAAACCTGGATAGTCATGATTTGATAATTATCCACGTGTTATTTGACTATTTGTCCCAGATCAAAGCGAGTTATTTTCATACCATCTGAAGCATGTTCTCGGCTGGAGGCTGCACCATTTTTCTGGCTAGATTGTGGTAGTTGAGGATATCCGTCTTCTCTGTCGCATTAAGCAAATTTGACGGGCACCCGCCACACGGCGACGACAGGGATCTCTTTGCTCGCATTCCGGAGAAGGAAGTGGACGCTTAACCAGAATATTTCACATCATTTAAAGACGCAATATCAGCGTTATGGCACTACAGGTACCATAAGCGTTTTAACATTGTTCAGAACGTTCATTAGTAAGTAAAGTGATGCCATTTAATTATTAGCTTAATCTATTCTGAGTCGTATTCGCCGGCAGAAATTGAATATCATTAGGGGGTATAATTCAAAAAGAGTTAGAGAGAGACGGGGGCGTTTGAGTCAGTGATGCGCACATTTGAATAATACTTGCAGAATTGCTTTGTAAAGTTGATCAATTAATGTTCACTTTTTGCTAACCATACACGTGTTCACTAAATAAATGTTACTAACAACGACAATAATAATAATAATACAGTGGCGGATTTAGGGGGGGGTCGGGGGGGGGGGTAGGGGGGGTTGGTCCTGCCCCCCACCCTTCGATTTCTGATAAAAAACGCACCAAACAATGTCTACTTGAATCATTTGCCCTCCAAAACACCAATTGTTATCGGGGCCATCGAGCGTGCCCCAAACCTGACGCCAAGGAGGTGAGGTGAGGCCTCGCAATCCGAGGCTTGTCAATTCCTAAAAACCGTCCTCCCTTTAAAAAATTCCGGATACACTGTGTCATTGATACACTATATATTATCCCATACAAACCTGCATTTAATGCCGTTATGCCGATAATGACGCAAGTCAGACCACCAAGCAGAGACTTCTGATTCTGAATCAAATTATGAATGTTAAAAATAAAATATTTAATTTGATTTATATGTTAAGTAAAACAAGAAGAAATAACGTTGTAAACAATATACATGTATATAGCTGTAACTTTACACTAAGTAATTAAAGGGGGATAGTGCTGTTATATATAAACGTACGCGTCCCGTCCAGTACCCGTTCTATTATGGAAACGGATACCTGAGGAGGAATAGAAGATAATACGCTTACCTTGCCAAATACAAATATGTCCACGTCTTTGGTAATGTATTTTATGGTTTTATGATAGTTAGGCTTTATTGTCCATGGAATTTTATTATCGCGGACCAGGACCTTTGCCTCGAGGAGGATAAGGGTTTTTAACGAGCACCCTGGACTTCAGAAAATTGATGCTACATACTATGTTTTTTTTTCTATGAACATCAGGTTTCCTTCAACTGAGTGGCAACATAATATGAAAATAGTAACTCAAGGCCCTTACGAAATTTTTTATAGAAGTCCTATAGGGCTCCGTGGGACTTTAGGACGTCCCATAGGACCCTAGGCTTTTGAGGCATTTTCCTATAGAACGCACTAAGTTGCCTTTGGTAAATTTCTGTTAGGAATTAACAACAGGCTAGGGTAAGAACTGGCCGAGGAGAGCTTAATTCATAGGAAGCTGACTAGCTCTTTTGCCAAATGGCAAAGGTTGGCAAGAGTCTCAGACGAGCACTTAAATCGCCGCCAAGTTACACCGTACATGTACAGTGCCGCCGGAATGTCCCCTTACCAAATGGCCGTATGGTTTCCCAACCCTGCCCCATATGGTCGAACAATAGAGGCCGTATGATAATTACAGGGTAGGGGAATCCCCAAGCAATCCTTATCGGACACCCAAATTAGTCGGTTCAACGAACACGGTCTGCCCCTTCTTAATTGCCTCACTTAAGGTTTCTATTATAGCTGATGCAAAGAGATTGCTATCGACACGAGCAAACAATACCGGGTTATGTATCAACTGCAACAGAAGACTCGAGTAAAGGCAAGTCGAATATTAGAACAAAACTCTGAAGAACAAATCAGGCTTAGTTTTAAAACACGTGTAACAATTTTATTTGATGATAATAAGTCACGATCAACAAAAGCGTAGTTAAAATGGAAAATTATAAATAGCTAATACATCAAATAAATATCAATGTCTCATTACCTTTATTGCATGTGTTGCTAGTTTAGTAGCCTGATGCACGACCTTCTCTTCGTCGTATTTCTTTAACACATAGTAAATGGCTTGTCGCGACACTTTATGGCCTTCATTTTCCATTTGTGCGGTTATGTTTTTAATTCGCACCCCTTGTTCTCGGAGTGCGATGATACGCAGACGCACGTAATCGCTAAGAGGCATCTTGGAATTGTGATGATTTGGAAAATCTGAGTGTCACAGAAATCAGTGACATAAACATGTCATATTATACAAAATACTTACTGGCCATTTAGGAAGTCCAGATACACAAACAATCCTGTTGACACGACGTGTCAGTTGATTTAATATTATGTGCAATTGATTAGTTTGGATTGAAGAGCGTCATCGCAATGTTAACATTAATTTTAGACGACGCGTGTCACACAGTAGTGATTATGTAATAGTCAGGGCTTAATCACTGTGTGAATACTGTGTGAATCACAGCATGAATAAAGCTAACCTGAACTGATTGTTAATTAATGTGAGATGACACGTGCCAACCAGTGAAGTAAGCCCGAAAGATTGTAATCCAGCTTTATAAATTAATTTCTTTTGATGCTTTTTGTCCTACAGAATCAAGGAATCAGTCTTTCGACCGGCCACCCGTCGCCTTGTCAAATAAAGAAATATTCGAAATTCGACAACGGGCCAGTTCCCCAGGCAACTTTTGCGTTCAGTTGATGGGAAGGTTGTTTACGATTGATGAACGAATACGAAAGGACAGAAATGTTACGGGTGTAGATGGGAGAGATCCTATATGCAAATATAGACAGAACTATATTAAAGATATGGCTAACAAAATGTTTATCACTGAAACAACTGACAAGTCTTTTTGGAAAAAATGCATTTCGTCTATGAACAAAGCTAATAGAAATAAAAGGACATACTATAAAAATAAATTTCAATCTTGTTAATAATATGTATATAGCAAAGACAGTTTGAAGCCTAATAAATATTACATGAACAAGTAAAATAGTGTTTTATTTGATCTTCAATAAATTCATTAATTCATTTATTAAAATCTTTTTGGTAAAGCGACTTTTAAAAATCATTGTTGGCAAGTTCTTATACTTAAAATCTCCGTATCAGAGTAGAGTGATCAAAGTTGAGTGAAGCCACCGCGCATTAAAAGTCAATTAACGCTTGGACGAACACTTAATTGCGACCACGCTCACGTTTGATCTTTATCTCAGCGAGCTAGGGTTAGGCTCTTTTGTTAGCAGAAAGATTGTCACGATAATTGCACGACGGGCAGGGTATGGAACTATTGTTAACAGAAACCAAACAGCGTATGGATGACAATGTTATTTCCATAGTTACCGAGCCAGGCCGTCCGTACAACCCGCAGCGACCCGGAGGGTAAGTAAGGGGACATTCCGGCGGCACTGTACCATGCACATGTTAAGACAATAGTCCCAAAGGCTCGATGGTCATTCTAACAATTTTCTTGACACGCAAGCATCTCAAACACTATATGAATATGGTTCATACATGTAGTTTCATGGCGATAAGTATTATTCACAAAATATAAAAAAAATTGAGAATGAAGTTTTTTATTTTAATTTTGAAACTACTTTGTCAATGAGAATGTTAGAGTATCAAAATTAAATAAAACAATAAACAATAGTCGTAAAACAGGTATGAATGTCAGTGAGGGTAATCTTGATCCTAAAATGGGCATGCCTTTGTAATTTCATCATTTCACAAAATCGAGATTTCTTTAAAATAGGTACATACAAATGTCTTATACGACACGAATAAATTCCACTTGCAATGAAAGACAGAAAATATCTGTGCAAACATCTTTTTTTTTTAGAAAATTGTGTAACGATGCTCATTGGAATTCCTTTCATTTACTCTAATACTATCTGATACCATATGGTGGAGTTTAGCAGCAATAATCTGACTGAGTACTCGGTTAATAAGTATCTATAAGTAATATGATATGAAGCACATACGTACCGCATGTATAACATAATGAATTCATAATGTTTACGTCGTAATCAAACAGCAAAATCAAGCACCACCTACCTCCAGCATTGTCGCTTCTTTGTCCTGCGCAAGAAAACGAACCTTAAAGTGTTATGCGGACGATCCTTTTTTTTACTGCAACAAGTGATACAAGATATGCGCATGCCTGAATATATTAGTCATATTGTGTTTGAAGTAAAGCAGCAGCGCTGTTTTTGTATGTAAATAAAACGAGAGTTAAATTCACCATCTTTAAGCATTTTAAAAGTGTAAGTTTTTAAAATATATAAGACAAGAGAAGTAATCTTTTTCCAGATAAAAATTAAAAAGAAAGTCAAAATTGAAAATAATTGCATAAAAAGACCAGGTAGTACTAGCCCGTGAAAGATTGTAATGGGAAGAAAGTCCTGTAACTCTTTGTACAGGCTCATTTATCTGGTATTCACTGTCCCTATACGACACTCTCGTCTGTCATTGGGTCTTTGGTGGAACTTTGCGGCGATATCTCCTCCGTAGAATTGTTATTCTGTTTTTCATTGGAGATGCAGTTCTTCCTTTGCCTTTCTTGTTGATTATCTATTGGTTTTTGTGTTGTTTCGTATATCTTTATAACTCTAACCATATTTCTTGTTTTCATAAATGTAAGAATCAAATACCCTAAGATAGCAATGCATATAATGACGGCTGCTATTACTAGCAGGACATAAAATGTGTTTAAAATAATGTTTCTCACAGCTGCCACAAGAGGTTCGCTTTTAAACTTCAAGTGATTTCTGTAGGTTGCTTTGTCATATTCTGAAACAAAAGTGAAGTAAAGTTTGCTAGATGTAAATTTACACGCAATATTGCTGTAAATCAAAAGTTTGTGGCAACGAGTCTGCAAGTAATGTTTTATTGCTGCAAATCTGCGAAAGGAATTGAATTTTGGAGCAAATTTCTAAAAGGGTAGTTTCTGCTGTACTTAACAACATACAAATTTGTCCTTAAAGGAAACAGTGATTTTTCTTTAATGATGCTGATGATGATAAAAGCAAAAGTAAACTTAAATCATGTGGCAATAATCCAAATTAAAACCTACATTTATAACACACCTGTAAGTAATGGTTATTTAATGCATTATTTTCTTTACAATAATACCTGGCAGTTGTTATTTTCACTAATCGATATACTCTCGTTGTTGCACTTGTGTAAATTTACATCTGAGCTCACCTTGGTACGTTTTAGGCTCCACCTGGCGGAAGTTGCAGGGCAAAATATCTAATCTTAATGTCCTAATGTCAAATTGTATGTCACAGAAACCTTGTAGTTCAGTGCGGTATACACAAAGTTCATCTCGGTATGCTTTTATTTTTTCTGCCTGGAAAGACAAAATATCATTCAGACATGCTAATTTTACCGTAGGTTAAAATATAATTTCTTCATGGCAATTTTATTTTCAACAAAAAATAAGACGCTCTTTTCTTTCGATCTCCTAAAATAAGTTGTATAAGACGCTTCAAATTTTCTTTCAAAACGTTAAATCAAACGCTTAAGACCTCAAGATGCACTTCAAAACGACCTATGCCTTCATACAAAATTCAAACTCACTTGTTCTCTATTAAACCTCTCCACAATATCGTGTATTCCAGAGAGCTCATTTCTCATGTGTTCCGTGTACGACTTCATTGACACATTATTGATGAAGTTGACGTTCTCGAAAATCTCCCAATTCGAATACTCTAGATTAAGATCCAGGCGAGCTGTCAGAAGGTCGTAAAACTGCAGCTCCTCCAGCACGTCCACTGTCATAAGCTGGCTGGCAGCCGTAATGATGAGGTAAACGCACAGACCAGCCACGGCGCCCAGGATCAACTTCGGAATTAATGTTGTTTGGAAAACCATATAGCTTATCTTTTTCATCCCTTGAAGAAATGTGAGAAAGGCCAAAGAGATGTAGTGGAATATCAAAAATAGAACATGTGTCACCCGCTGTCTACCTGAGGCTGCAACACTGTTATCTTTCGTCCTGACAGACTTAGATTGGAAAATCTCAATCTTTTGTGCCAGTGCTTTGTTTTCTTCTATTTTTGCCTGTGTTTCACTCTCAACAACCCTTTCTTCAAAGCCTTTCAGTAGTTGGACCACAAATATGTACGTTCTGGTACTTCGAAATATCAGTAGAAGTACATCTAACAGGGCAAAAAACGCCATTAGAGCCTGGTAGATGAAACGTAACCCGGAGAGTTGCTTCAGTTGCTGCACTTCTTCACTAGTCTCTCGAATACGTTCGAAAGTTTCCTGTTCTTCGTCTGCGCGTTCTATGTTAAATGCCGTTTTATTGTCGAATGATGAGACAAGTGACGAACTGCTTAATGTTTCGGTTTGCAAGGTTCCACCAGCCGTGTTATCACTCTGATCAACGATGTCCACCTCCGTGTAGGTGACATAGGTTCGCTGAGAGTCCGTTTCCCGGGGGATTGATGCCTCGGTCCCTGATCCGTCAACACCGGGGCAAATTGTAGGAATACCGAAGTCTAACGTGGGAATATCGACATTGAAGTCTACACCAGGCACGTTTATACCCGGCCACGTTACGTTTGGGAAGTTGAAATCAGGAATGAAAGATGTTGCAGTGATTGGAAATTCTAAATCAAATCTGAAAAGAAAAATATTTTATCTATTCATATTTTGCCCGGCTCAATTTATATGTATTTGCTTACTCTATGAATATCTAAAAACATGCACGCGTCCCCAAATTAAAAAAAAACGTATATTTCATCTTAATCATACATACCACATAGTTCATATCTGGAGAAAAATGGATGGGATAACTGTAAGATGAATAAATAACAGCATATATAGGGCTTTGAACCATACTTACTTTTTGAGAAGATTCACAGGAACGAACTCTATGTCTGGGACGGAATCAATGCCAAGAAAATCGATGAACCCGACATCTATTGGCGGAAAACTGAGTTCACCAGTTAACACTTTGACTGCTTGGATAAAAGTGTATAATCCTCGCGGGATAGCCAGCCAGCCATTGTTTCGTACTTGACGAAGCCATCCTTTGAACCTCCTGAATACGCGACCGATTTCTCCAACCACCTTGTCGTGNTGTCGTTTAAAATGTTAATGTTGATCCTTCATACTTATTAACAGATATGCCCTAACACAATTTACTTTCTTGGGCCACTTTTGTTGTGGCTGCAAGTGCTGGCTAATTGCATTTACAGCCTGGGCTTTTGTGAATAGACCTGGTAATATGACCGAGTACATAAATTAGTATTACATAGGATATTTGGTTACCCTCTACCAGGGCGGCAGATAAATTATGTGCACTTTTCTCTAACTATACCGTAAGAAAAAATGTCATGAATTAGCCAGAGACATTTCTGTGAATATTAAGTGAAAAAAATCAATCCGTGGCCCTGGTAGAGTGTACATCCGATGTGGTAGGCCCCTACCTAGGCAGGTGCTGTTGATTAATTCAAACCCTCTGGCGCATATGCACTGATTTTCACCCGGGTCACAAGAGACAAGGCTCTGGCTGCTGGAACTCGGGCACACACTCGTAGAGAGACAATACCGGTTAGGGGTAAAGTGTGCACTTCTTAAATCTGTAAAAGCAAAAGAAGTTTATCGGTTGGAAAATAGTGGTCACGCTTAGGGTATACTATGAACCGAGAAGGTTAATTTTTCACATTCCTAAGAACAGCAACGTATTTTACCTCGAACAACACTAAAAGTGTTCACAACCAAAATTCTGTCATTGTTATTGATTTCGTTCGCACGAAGCGAGGCATCCAGCACAAGAAGCACAATAATTACACAGCTGCATCAGTCTCTCTCTCTCTCTCTCTCTCTCTCTCAGACGTATTAAGTTCCCATACCAAACACTTTGATACTATCATTATGGGTCAGCTGGTCTGCTTCAACACGTGAGTACGTCCTTTTCTTGAAGTAAATCTCCACAGAGACTGAAATATTGATTATAATTTAAACTTCACAATTATTATAAGTCGACATATTTTGCATCTCGTGGACTGACTAAAAAAGCATACCACCTTTGAAATGTAACAGAAACGGTTCGAAAAAATTGGAACACATCAATTCCTCATGACACGAGGTTTGCAACTAAAGAAGAAACACACATATGTACTGGTAGATAGATCGATACTGATAAATATGTAGATAGACAGATACCGGTTTCGTTTCGTAATAATTCTCTGGGTAAATAAATGGTCAACACCGCTCGCGGAAGGAACATGCACGCTGTCTGAGCCACGGTAACAAGTGTCAACACGGTAACAGTTGCCAGCATTAGTTTTTTAGCTGCCACTCCCCTGTGTTGAACGGTGGCCCCTCTAACGCTAGCGTTCAGTGTGACGTGGTCGACCCCAAGAGTGGAGATGGAATCGACTGGTATAGCGTGACTGTGGCCTTGTACCAATCCCTTGGTTTTTGAGGCAGTCTGGATACCATTCCCCTGTGTGCGCTTTTGGACAAATGAAAAGACACAAGGAGAAGTGGTCGTAATATCTTAATTAAGACGCTCTTTACAATATGTATATTGTAAACTTTTTCAAAGGCGTCCATTAGAAAAGAAAGATGGTGAAAGAACTGTATCTATTGATAACAAGCTGTGCGTCTTTTTGCCCTTTCGCATCTACTGGCGTCGGTTATGGGTTTTTTATTTTTGTTATATTAAAATATGAAAACAGTTGAATCTTTATGATACCTGAGTACTCTCCTGCTCCTGGCTTGTCTCAAATGCTCTTCGCATTCGCTGTATTAGAGAGGTTGGCTCCAGTCGTTTTTGTTCTGTGAATACACAGACAGACATAAGATTAAACTTTAATACAGGATCAATAGTTTGATTATAATATAAGGCTACCAGTAAGTAATTCTGATAAACTGTGCCTGAATTTTTATAGATTGTTTTTGTTTCCTCAGTCGCCAATGTGACTATACGCTTATTCACCTTTGAAGATAGGAATTTTGAATAAAGGGCTGCCAGACATATCTGTTAAACACATGTTTTCTAGATGCCAAAATAAGGTTTTCTTCAATTAAACAGTGTAGGGTTATTATTGTAATACAAAATGCTTACCATAAACGTTTTCAGTTTTTGTAACTCGACGTCGGCGGTACATAATCACAATCGCTGTGCTTGCTGTCAGTATCACGGTCACACCAGAAGCAATCAGAAGTATCTCTACCGTGTTGAGGGTACTGTCATCATGTTTGGAGTCCTATAATGCAAATTTAGAATTTAGATTGATAACGAGATGTTTATGTTTAAATCCATGAAACGTAGAACAGCCGTAGAAACAGGGTACATGCAAGACAGATGATTGATTGAAATGCATAGATATTCTCTGTGTTTTCGGAAATGTTTTTCAATACTTACGATCTGTATCATCATAATTTTTCTGCCTGTATCATTCTGAAGATCCTGCCACATCGTAATTCCATTGAGATCGGCATTCGTTTTTGCTTGAGATTCCAGAACAACACGGATCCTTTGATTATCGCTATCTTTAAGCTTCACGCCGCCCTAGAATTGGACATGAACCGTCGATTTCATTATGCTTGTGTATTTTTACATTTTTCTTTTTACTTATGACCTGTTTGTTGTCAGTGTGTTATTGCTCCTGTCCGTAGATGTGTGACATAACACGTGCAGGTGCACGTACATGCGTGCTTGTGGAGTCATTCCACATTTATAGAGCACACAGACACACAGACACACACACACACACACACACACAAATACGGGTCCAGGGGACACAGGGGAGGGGAAGCAGTCTTTAACATATATACACATTCTATCATAACAAAAAAAAAAAGATTTAAGACAAAAAAAAAAAATATATATATATATATATATATATATATATATATATATATATATATATATATATATATATATATATATATTGTCACGTGTACTCCCCCCCCTTTATTTTGTATGATCTATGGTGTGTTGTTATGTTGCCTATTATGGTATCAAACCGTGAGTAGATATGCTATTACTCATGCCGCCGTCTTCACCATCTGGCCACTGGGTAACAAATCATTTTTCGACCTCTCATTTCCCCACGACACAATCTGAACTGACTTAACTCACATATAAGTTATGCCTGATGACCAAGACATCAAGTAATTCCGGGTTTGGAATGCTGAATTCCTGTGTCCTGTGAAATGACGCAGCGTCACATGGCGTGTCGTGGTTTACTGACGTCGTGTTGTTCTCGGCACGTGCTATGCCGTACACAAGAAGAAGAACACATTGCAGCAGGAAGAACATCGAGGCGAAATTAAGTAAGCATCTGAAACAAATGCTGCGTTAATGTTTAAGCATGGTATTTTATAAGTAGTTATATCTACGGCAATTGTGCTGCAGTTTATTTAAGTGAACTCACCTTAAAGGATTACACATGTAGAAGCTTATTCCCCAATGATAACACGGTCGGCAACAATGAATAATATATCGAACCCTGGATAAATCTGACTGTGTCATTATCAAATTACCCTTCGTATTTAAATGCTATGTCCGGATGACATGATGTATTATAATCACATTACGTACTTGCTGTTATACATCTTCATCATACTGTGTATAGCATCACACAAAAAGCGAAAGATTTTGTTTCCGTAAAAATTTTAAGCAAAATACAACAAAAACGGAAACAAACAAACAAACAAACAAACACGAAATATGAAATCAAACGAAAAAATATTTAACACAATTCTGCAAATCAACAAAAAATCGTTAAGATAAATGTTTGGCATTTCGTCACAGAATTACTAAAAAAAATTAACACTAATCACACCCTTACCAGAAAGTTCACCAGTAACCTGTAGCCTTCCCAGTGTGCTGCCTACTAGTCTAAAATGAACGGTACGTCTTATCAAATCTACCCTGAAACAATGGACTCACTGGAACAAGAAGATAACGTTGTAAAATGAAAGCAAGCAAGTTCCACGGCGTCTGCTTTTTATTACTTTCTGCTGCCGAACTTTGCTACTTACGCTTTTTTTCTTATTAACTTCATGAACTGACTCAGCAAAAAATTCAATGAAATGTTCATTGAAAGTGATAAGCCGGACGTAGCGCAATTCAGTCGTCGCAATTCGAGGATGAGGTACAGTGTATCAGGTAAGGGTGCAGAATGTGTGTGCTTTTATCTCGGCTCCAGCGCGTGTGTGTGTGTGTGTGTGCTCGTCTCAAGTGTAGGTTGCACAGGCGTCGTGCGATGAAATCCTATACGATTTTCCGTGCGATTTTTTTTCATCGAAATTGTCTTCGGACTACAGTGAGTATGTTTACATTATTCATGAGAGCAGAGTATTTCATCCAAATTATCTTGAGCTCAGGTCGGGAAAACCCGGTCTGTTTGAACAGTGACCATACGGAGTCATTCAATTTCAATGCACCCGTGATTTCTTTGCTGTACACTCAGTGCAAGTTCACCAAAGAATTTAATACCGAACGATAATTGTGCAATGTCACCGCTTGCACCCACACGGAAGTCGCACGAAAAGTGACAGTGGGGCAGTATTATACGGACATACGGATATACGGACATCGTGCGTTAATCGCATTACTTTCTCTACAAAATTTATTGTGCATCTCTTCTGTCAAAATTATGTACATAAAAATACATTTTACACACGAAACTGACTTCTTGCACCAAATGGAGCTTTCATGTGTTATTAGTTTTAGCCAGGTGGTCACAAAGTGTTAAAAAATACACTTTCCCAAGTTATCGGCCTCCCTTCAGAAGTGCTTAAACCCCTACACTGTAAAAACAGTGTTTAGCTCCGAGACACATTTCTAAGCGCCTGTTTTGTCTCATTTTTTCCACGCGTTTAGAACCTAAGCACGTTTAGCCTATTAACATGTTACACGCTTTGACGTGCTTCTCGCCTAATAAATGTAGGGTGTATTTGTTTAACTTTAAGGTCGTAACGTTTTCAACTGTTTCAGTCACTACACACACACACGCGCGCGCGAAGTCACGGTCACCTTTAACTGCTATAGCTATCTCTATCTATAACAGGGTACCGTGAACTGTCAACATAGTTGATTCACACCATCATCTTTACAGCGGGACTTATTCATCCTTGTGTTAGCTGACCCTGCGAGGAAGTTAATTGGAATATATTTCTGAAAAACAAGTTAGGAAAATTCACTACAGTTTACTTAAGACACGAAACAACTATCAATTTTACTTTTAAACATTTTTTCATATTTTGATAAAATGCGTTAAGGTATTGATGTTCATTTATTTTTTCCGGAAGTAATGAACAATAGAACATCAGGATGATGGTGGGGTATTCATTATAATGGTTTATTTAAGCTTTCATCACATGCTGGTTATTTTGGTAACGATAGTCCGAATATTTTTCAAATCGCACCGCTCTAGTCGCCGACTAACCCAAGCCCATTTTGGAATTAACCACTAACTGTAGTTCATACAGCATAAGACGTGTTTTGTTGATAAATAAAAAAAGTTTTCAAAACATTAAATAATGTTTTTCCAGAATGTTATAAAACGCTTATAAAACTGCAAGTGCATCATCTTGCATGGAGTTAAAAACACCCATAACGTTACCATGACGTTATTCTATACCATCACCATCATGTAACCAGCTGATAACGTCGTGAAAACGTTATTTGTTATTTGGATTATTACTTAATAGGCATATTTTGAATAATCACACGTTACTGCAAGGAAGGGCACAACGCGTTCGAGCAGGCTGCTTCTCGCCTCCAACAGCCCCATATGTTTATAAGGGGAAGTGTTAAGCAAAATTGTTGAGTCTTGTAATAAACTTGTTATGGGATCGTATATATGGGATTGTGAAGCATTTTTTTCTGTGACGAGCTTGAAAAGCTAAACGTTGTTTAGCAGCTCCACGCGTTAAGGAATTCCACACCTATAGCAGCTCCATATGTTTAGCAGCCTCACGCGCTTAGCAGGGGAAGTGCTTAGCCAATGTGCTTAGCTTGTGATAGACTTGTCATAGAATCATATGCCGGTGAAGCTAAACACATAGCTAAACGTGTAACAATGCCAACGTGTCTAGCTTTTTCTTCTTTGAAACGTTTGAAAAGCTATACGCATTTAGCATTTACACATATTTCTAAATGCGTATAGGTGCCTAACGTGTGTTGTATGTATTTAAATGCTAAACACTGTTTTTACAGTGTAAGTAATCCATGATGAGATAAAATGTTGTCTGTTCTTTCCAGTCCTTTTTGTTTTATTTTCATCTATTTAATTTATTTCGCAATTAATTTACATATTCTGTCTAAACACATTTACTCTGTTAATTTGCATACTATTTTGTTTTTCATTTTCAGCAGCAAAATGATTCATGATATGGTTTTGCAAATCGTCGTCTTTCTGGGCGTATATTTAACTGCCAGTCGGGGCCAGAACACAGCTTACCAACCTTTAGAGTCAACAGAGGAGTTCACCATTGATGAAATACAAGAAAGCATCCACGATCTACCATCTCTTTTGGTTATACGCATGGGGTTCAAGGTATGGATACTTATTTTGTCAATACAAATAATGTACATGCGTCAGATATCGTGAATTGACTAATTGATACTGTTATTTACTTTGATTTTGATATAGTTACTGGTGCCGATATTGATCCTAACACTGATATTAGTATGTGTCTGTGGGCATGATAAGAGCAAGAAAACCCGTTTTTGGGTATGCGTTGGTTGTGTTGGAATGTTTTCCCAGCACAGGGAAATTGTGATTAGTGGCTAAACAATGGCCTTTACATTGTGATAACTGCCATTGAAACATTTGATTAAATATTTGTTGTATGAATGTGTCTTTGTATACAATGTCCGGAAATGGGAGCTTTCTGGGTTATCGTAATGCGTTCGCTATTTGAAAAGATAAATTCACAAAGCAGGGCTGCGGTGAGGGACGGAAAACAAGACCCCCCCTTCCCCGCTCTTCCTCCTCACGTGTCACGCTCAGATGGTAGGGCCCACTTGGACTTCGACATTGGTTGACTGGGGTCTCGGGTAACCATGCAGTATTTCAATGGTTTATCAAAGTATACATTTGACTCTAAAAAAATGCAGAGGTGGACAGTATCCCTAACTCCCCCCCCACCCTCGCCCCCGCCATATTTTATCTGTCAAAGTCTATCTCTTTAAAAAATCTTAAAACAACATATATATATATATATCTTATTTTTTCTTATTCTTATTTTTAAAAGTTACTTTTTTTGCGTGATTAAATACTGTGCATTTCCAAATTGTTTGCAGAAAGAAATATGCAAGTAGTAATCGTTTGAGTGGAGAAATTGAAGGGCATTTGCTGAAACGACTTGCCATAATTTTGCAGGGGTCAGTTAGCTTTCGAGAAAGCGAAGACTTCAAGGTGATCGTCAAAGCTCGGACTAATTCTAGTCGAGAGCTTAAACAAGTTGTGAAATATAGTTTCGCAAGAATTAGCACCAACGAAACGCCAGAAAGTATTGCTCTCCTGCAAGTGGTACGTGTATTCTTCTCAAGTCAATCTCCGTTTTGATACGTGTTAAATCAGGTATCAGAGTAATATTATTAAGAAAAAATATTTTAAAAAGCGCTTGTCACGTTTTCATTCTATTTATTTGTTATTCTTTTTGGTACGACAACCCTTTTTTCAGATATATGATAGCATGGCGAGCTGTGACAATTTAATGTAGATTTCAAACATAAGGTATGCACCGTTAGTGGAATTCGATTGAAAATAGTCCATTATTAAAATATTCATACACTTATGAGATTTTACTTGTCATATCATATTGATAGTATTTGTTTGCATTAATTATCACTCTTGACCTACAGTGTGATGACACCCAATCTGCTCATTTGAATGATGTGACGTCAGAAATAGGCGTGGTCGTGGGCGTGTCCACGGGAGTGGTCCTGGTGGCATTGATACTGTTCTCAGTGTGGTGGCACAGGTATAAGGCTGATCAGGGGGAGGACATCGACTCTGCATACGGTATGGCCACTGCCATCTACATTACTTAGTAGATTTCCCCGATTCCCCTTTGATTTTACTTTGATGACTATTAAAATGCACGTGAAATCTACTGCTCCAGTTTTATCTTTATCACATGACTGTTTTTTGTAAAATTGAAACTTAATTTTGCCCAGAATTTGATGAAAATTAAGTAGTTAGCAATCAATGAAATAAAAATGGTTTTTATTCCCTTATTCACATGTTAGTTCACATTTTATTGTGACGTAATAGGGTATGAATATACATGTAGGGAAACCTTCCTGTTCGCAATGTTATATCCCCATATATACTTGTATATTAACTCTGTAGACAGTAAATAAATTATTTTTTTATTGAAATGAGACAGAAATGGAATTTATTGAGCCAGAATACAACAAAACGGAGACTTTCGGAGTGGAGCTTAAGAAAACTCATTCACCATACTTGCTTAGAAAAGCTCTTCAGCCCAGCGATTCTGTGGTAAGGCATCGGGAACAAAACCGCGCTAATAATTAGCGTCGTAGACGATAGTGTAGAACAAACTGTTACGTGATAATAAAAGGCTAACAATACATGCACAGTGTAACAGCATGCGAGCTTATCGTGTATTGTAATAAACACTGTAAGTTCCCGCTGAACAATTTATGAACTTCGAATTGGGAATTTAAGTAAATAAATAGTTTGAAATATTGAAATAACATCAAATGTATAGCGAGTCATAATATCAAACAAAAGAGGAGACCAAGAGATGAAAATAGAAGATACGTGACATTTATGAAATAATAATGCTTCCTAAGAAACAAATAAGTAATAAAAAAGTTTTTTGCACTTATTGTAAACTGTCTTATAGAAAACATATGACGTATTTCAGGATTCAGATTTATCCTCTACCACAAGCGACACAGACGCAGGGGCAGACACCCAAAAAAGGCGGAAGAAACACGAAACAAAGGCTAAGGCTGACATATTGGATTCTGCATCGAATACTTCTCCAATAAGTGTCAGATCAGCGCGCCTGATTTTTGATAAACCGAACAGAAGTTATAACCACAACGCCAGGGGCCTCGCGTTGCCGTCCACAGAGTACACATTACAGGTGAAAGCAGAAGTTTATACTCCAACCGCGAGGCGGGAACCCAAGGCTCCCTCCCCCTTGGCACTTCACAAGACACACCGACTAAAAACGTCCAAATCTCCCAGCGAAGAAAAAGAGGAAGAAAATGATAATCTCTGCACTTTGGATAAAAATAATGGAATCAAAAATGCATTGATAAGCAGATCAAAGGATAAAATGCTGGGACTTGACAATCCTGCTATAATTATACATGAGGTTAATGGCGAAGCAGACATTGTGAATGGCATCTCTAAGCCTCAAAACACCAACACCGCTCCTGTAGATACGCTGGAAAAGAACCCTGGCATACTGCTCCATCACTGGAGACAAAAAGAAGAAATAGAACCAACATCGCCTGCCGTCTCAGAAAGAGTAGCTATTTTCCACAAAGGAGCCGATGTAAAGCAAAAAGGGGGAATGATAGATGCTACTGTGGCGGAAGCAAAAACTCAACGAAGAGGAGGAGGTGGAAAAAAGTAGGTTGTGGCAAATTACAATGGTTTATTGCAAGATTGTTGCATTTTTGTCCCATGTCTTATTGTGAATAGTTTCCAGTCATTTCTTTATGAGTCTTTGTATATCCTTAAATATTCTTTGTATATCCTTAAAATGCTGCGTTTATGGCAAAATATGGTGCAAGGATACATACTTGTAAGGGCAAAAATAACAGTCCTAACTGAGTTTCAAAAGTAAGTATACTACCTGATAGTCTAATGTTACTATGAAGGTTTGCAGATATAACATTAACTTATCAATTGTATAACCTAGCTATCTTCTTCCAAGTCTAGGAATGCAACCTGTGACCCCTTACATCTTCCACAGGCAAGTCGCCAGCAACGATCTCAATGCAACCACTAGACGACAATCATCTGCTAAACAGAAATCTAAAATTAAGCGTCTTGTTCATATGTTCTAAATGTACACAATTTTTACTCATTATATCATCCCACATCTTCATTTCAGGTTTCATCCTGCCGCATTAACAACGTTGACAGTCCTTGGTATGATTTTTGCTGAATCCTTCTCTCAGGTGTATTTCGACGTTCTGGTGGACGTTATTATACATGTACCAAAAAATTCAACACTTGGAGCTGCTCACGTCTTTCAGCAACCTGGAAAACCCGTTGATGTCAATGCTTCTTGGCTTCCCAAAATGGAAATCCAAACTTTTGGTAAGAGCTGAATTTTTTTTTAGTTTTGGTACCACAAACGGATTTAGAGTTTATTAGTGGGCAGGCCTGTGAACACTTGCCTCTCATTTACACCTACAATGTGCCATCTTAGGCATCGCCAAAGTACTTTTGTTCTGGTTTTCAACATTTTATCCTTGTGTTTTCCGTATTTATAGAATCTTTGTCCTTTTCCTAGTGATAGTTAAGTTGGCTAGATACATCAAAAATAAACTTCTTAACAATTCCAAATTTTTTCTCTAACACGAAAAATTTCTTGGTCCAACATAGAGAATAAAAGGATGAACATATGATTCAAGTATATCAAGCGCTAGTCAATGTCATGACGATTGTTGAATTTTGAGTCTTTGACAACATTAGACGTAATATTTTACACATTCCCTTGTTATTACAGAGGTTAATAATCTACACATGATCGTCATTACGGATCCGCCGTGCCAAGGACTGCAATGTGACCATGGTTGCGACTATGCCACCAACAAATGCGTGTGTCGTGTTGGTTTTCAGTCTTTCAACGACACAAGCTGCCAAGGTACGTTGTAGCAGGATTTATACCATTTGGGAGCCTTTTTTGCGTGGAATTGGTACGGTTATTGGGTTAGTCGCTTGGTTGCTGAAGTGGCTGCTTTACTAATGATTAATTTGACTGCTGGTTCAGTTGGTTGCGTATATACGTATATACAGTGTGTAGTCGCTGTTACATCGACCCGGCTGGCATATCAGGAATTTGATGTGTGAATATCGGTGTGAATAGAAAAGGACCTTTCAATATGGTTAACCGGTGATGTTTTCCATAAATGAAACTAAAAATAAAAGATTGTTTTTAACAAGCATTTATCTTTCAGTCCATTAGTTCAAACCATCCCCATGTATATAATGAACTTTTACAAGCCATCTAGCTTACGGTTGTTTCCAAATATGTATTTGAATATTTCAGAAACTTCCTGAATGTTGAATTTATTATTTTCCAAGATATATTTAAATTGATATAAAGTAACCGCAACACAGAACTACTAGCACATGTCATTAGAATACCATAATACATGTAGCATATTTTCATTCTGCAGACAAAGATGAGTGTTCCATTGAACATGTTCCACGGGTTTGTCACAAAAATGCCATATGTACCAATACATTTGGTTCTTATTCATGCGCGTGCGCAGACGGGTTCTATGGTGACGGCAGTGAGTGCAAGAGTAAGATTAGCATGAAAAATTCAGTTTAACGTTTTCATACAATTTTGGGTAGATATTTAAACTTTGTTTATCCGCTTTATTTTGCACAGAGTATATTTTAAAACCAACTTTTATATAAGCTTTGTGTTAAATAAAGAAGTTGGTTTACAGTGCATCACGTTTAGGGTCCCACATCTATATATAAACATATATTGTATTATCAACTATTCAAACAAAGCATTATTCTAAGATTCTTATTAACTTTTTAGATTGCAGTGAACCTTGTCTGCCAGGGGAATTTGAATACAGCCCTTGTAATGACACTTCACCAAAGATTTGTAAAGGTTAGTCTATGGAAATAGATCCATGCGTTTGGTATCAGTATCAGTCTGGGTGTCGATGTATGTCAGTTATGCAAAATAACAGTTAAGATGTCATTTGAAGACACCATTCCAAAACAATAGAAAATTTAAATCAAATATATGTCTTCACATTTTCAAAACAATTTCAAAACATCCTGCTTAACCAGTAAACGTATTATTTTATTGACCAATTTGAGCTGAAAAAGAACGGAAAACAAGGCTATTACCAATGTCAGCATCATGTATCCGGATTTTTCAGCGTGTACCACAGTTTGTCCGACGGAGTATTACCTTTCTACTAACTGCACAGCGACGACGGATGCCCGTTGTTCTGGTGGGGCTTACATAAATGTCTTGATAATTTTTTTGGTTTGTTTGTTTTAGTGGCTTTAAAAGAGGCCTTTGTAAAATATTTCATTCTTGTACAATACATTGCGTATCTAAGTTCATTATGTTTAAGTTCCAGACTTACATGTAGTTAAGGTACATGCGCTGAGGCTTGAACTCGTGTTCACGAATTAGTTAAGATTAAAAGCGAACGCATTTGAAAACAATCAGGATTGTTTTTATATCTAGACAAAACTATAAAGTAACAATAGACACAAATACTTTTTTGCTAAGCCTTTTTTATCCCTGTCGTTAGCCTGCAAACCGAAGTGTGGCAGAGAGGAATACGAGTCGACTGCATGCGGCGGGACAACAGACCGCGTTTGTAGAGGTATACATAAATCACAGTCTGAGTTAAACATTGTATTGTATAGTGTATTGTATTATTTTGTATTTCTATTTCTTCTAATATTTTACATTTAAATATTGCATTATTTGGTGCTAGGATAAAGGAGTGTTGTGCAAAATCTTCACAACCTTCAAAATCTTCATATTCAGAAAAAAGGAAATATGATCGACGTGTACTACAGCATCATTATATAGTATTTCATAAACAGTTACTGCTAACATGAATCGTTACAACCACGAAAATTCAACTGATGCAAACCTTTTTCCAGGTTTAAGTGACATCAGACAGCCACTGGTCACTTCTAAGAACGTCCTGTTGTACGAAGATCGCAGAAACGTGGACACTAAGAGTACGGGGATATTGGGCGCTACAAACGCCTCTAATCTTATTGGCACAGAATATACCCTAAATCGAGGTGAGGTTTGCTGTCTTAGCCGTTCATCCCTTGAGTTTCTGTGAAAAAGTATTAAAGTAGTATGCTATTAGAAGAATTAGTTACAACTTAATTACAAAACAGTTCGATATAATACAGTAACCTCAGTGTAGTACCATATTCTCCTTGTTTCAAGGTTCAGGTTTAAGTGTTCGTGTTAGGATCCTGGCTCTGAACGTGTCTCCTGTGTATACTTCTGTTGACCATTCCTCTGGCAACGACAACGCCAACAGAGGAACCACAAGTGAATATAAAAATCGATGCCAATACCCAATGCCATCAGCGTATATGTTGAGAGTCTCTAGTTTTCCGGTAGGTAGTTAACTAGCGCCCTTTATGTAGGTCGTGTGACGTTATGTCGATACTTGTAAGGTCACATGACGCTATTTCATAATAATAATAATAATAATAATAATAATAATAATAATAATGATAAGGTCGTTTACCTTTGAAGCATTAATAGTTATTACGAAAAAAACAGGAAGACAATTGGCGAGAAAAAAGGAAATGTGATAATTAAAAATTAAATATCTACAGTGTACATGTACTTGGAATATTTACTTGTGGCCACACGTTTACGGTTTCACAACAAATGTCTTCAAATAATATATGTAATTTTTATGCAGGAAGTCACGACTCTCACAAGTTATCAAAATTGTTCTCAGCAAATAATGTCAAATAAGGTCGCAAACTGCAAAGATGGATTTTACCGCACAGCAGATACTCCATGTAGGACACAAGATGGCCGTGTTATAGGAACATCGCCCCTTCCGTTCGTGACCCAGGGACTGGCGTGTGCCACCCCAGGAATGCTGACGAGACTGTTTAATAAGGACACGGAGTTAAAGGAATTCCAAGCTGTCAGAGTTGATTTTGACAAAAGGTACATGCGCTGAGGCTTGGATTTATGTACTGACATTTAAAAATATTATTCATTTCATTTTTGACACGAAACGTTGAGGTTATTACTTAATCGGCGCATGTACATTTACTGTATTTTGGTATTTTTCGTGTTTTGGTGTAAGTGCCATTTGTCGTTTAGTAGAATAACGTATAAACAATATCACTTCATTCGTGAAAGTAATTTTGGAGTTGTGCTGGTGTTAACATGAAGAAAATACAATTAATACTTTCATGCGTTTTTTCATTCAATTTTATTATTTGAAAAGATGTAAAAGTCTGAACGACCACTGTGGTCTGTGCACTGAGCAATGCGCTCACAGCTTCAGCACCGAAATCAACCCTAGGTGTAGGATCACGAAGGATGACGAGAACGGATTTAGTCCGCGTTTGAGAGACTGCCTTAAGTGCTGCGTTATACAGAAGTGTTCTGAATGCAAAACGCATGCCGATGAATGCGCTCCAAAGCGCATAAGGTAATTTGTTAGTTGTGCAATAGCCTTTAAATGCCAGGTTATGCAATGAAGATGGTTTATTGTCCTAGGATTATCAACAAGTTTCATTTGACATTCATATCTGAAACCCATTTTCATAAAGTTGCTTATACCATCGAACGACAATTTATATATATTAAATCTTTATTTTTCTATTTAATCAAAATAACTTATTCCACTTCTGAAAATTAAAACATGGAGGAAAGTTTATGACAAAACGGTTCATCTCCTTTACAGATGTAGAAAGGGCACGGTTGTGGTATTCTCTTTGGACCCACTATTCTCTGATGACGTCTACTGTCACGTGAAATCACAGCAGAATGGCGTAATATATCGTCTGCAGTACGAAGTCCTCAAAAATGGCAGGCGGCTGCAGCATGGTACTCAAATGACGGCAGAATATTATTTCAAGAAGAAAGACTTTGAACACGCAACGGGAATAGTGAGGTGCTGTATTGTCGTATGGTCCCATATAAGATTCCACTTGCTTAATGTGTAAACAATTTATTTAATTAAGTTTTCTTTGACTACCTTACTATACAAGTGTCGATTCGCCACTCCTGATCTTGTTGCATTTTCACATTCAGGCATGAGTTTTTAGACGTTTACTATGGAAGTGGGATCAAGACCCAAGTGACTTTATTAAAAACCAATATCAGATCAGGAAAGCCAAGGTATCAGGCCGGAAGATACAGGGATTTTGGTAGTAGGGTCCTTGATTGGACGTCTGGCATACACGTTGTTCCAAAAGTACCGTTTGGAATAAACAGTCAAACTTGGGGTAGGTTGTCCATGCAAATTGTTCGATATTCAGTCTTGGGCTTATTCTACTTAACAACACATTATGTATCACGTGTACTTAAAACACCTAGAATATCATGGCAAGGAACATGTTCTATATTGTTCATTAATTGCACTGATGGCATTTTTCTGACGTAGATATCATATCATGTCGTCTTTTCTATTTCAAAGCACAAGAATCCTGTGATCTTGACTTGGAGAGCTCGGTAAATGCGGCGAAGAAATGCGACCGTTTTTGGGAGGAGACACCGGGTATACTCGTCCAGTCGGACGACCCGCACCGCCATTTTATTTTGAGGAACAAAACCAACCCTCCCTACTTCGGCATTAAAGTTTCAAGGACCAGGTCTGTTTTGCGTTCTTTCTTTAAGGCAACATCTATCAGGAATGATCACTCGCTGGTGGCAAGATTGCTCCGTAACAGCACCTTCTGGGTCGTGAACATTTCTGGAATGATTGAACCATGCCCAGGTATATGGTTTTAAACCCCTAAAGTTTTGTTTTCTTGTCTGAGTCTCTGAGTGAAACCTAAACTTTAACTTATAAATTTGATTACTAAAATTGTTTTATATTGTATGTATGATGACAACATCTTCATTTAGTGGTACATATTCTTTGTTTATAATTTAAGTCAAGTTGTTAATTTTAATAAAAACCCAATGCACTTACAGGGGTAATAACAGTACTTGTAAAAGATCCAGTTATTGGGAACATGGTCCTCTTCCACTACGACCTGGTTGTTGGCTGCACCTCAGGCGGCGGGTCACACACAACGGGCACCAATCATGCAAACCGCAGCGCTTTCCTCGTCCAGCTACATCTCCGCGCGGATGGACCAGATATTCACCAAAGGACTTTGAACCTCGAATTGAGAGATAGTTTTAGACGTATTAATGTCACACTTTTTCGACCTGCTCCGAGAGACGCGTAAGTGAACATTTCTAGTTTCACTGACAAGATGTGTTTGTTGTATTAATGTTTCAGACCTAAAGGCTGTATGAAAAGAAACGCGAAGGGGACCTGTTATGAACTTTTCCAAAATGTGTAGCATGTATTATATTATTATGATTTGGTTCATTTTAAAAATATTGGCGTGTTTTACCTTTTGTTAAGTCACACTGAAAGTGTTATAGATAGGCAAGATTATGAATCGAGAATCACATTTTTTTCTTAATTTCTAGATACAATTTTGGCCGCCCACAAAAAGTGGACAAATTTACAAGCGACATGTTTCAACCGTTCATACCATTGATAGCAAGCTCCGTCGGGATGTTAGTGTTACTTGTTATGATTTTAATCTACGGCTACGTTACTCGCCCAGACCAAGACCACCAAGATAGAGACAATTTTTTCCACGTGCGTCACCTACTTTTCGTTATTTGGTACGTGGTGTTTCGATTTGCTTACTCTTTGGTGATTTCTTTGACCGTGTTTGTTCTTCTGATGAGGGCCATACACGGCGACACCCTGGGTATCCTAGAGCAGTTTCCCCAGTATAACAAAATGGTTGCTGTTCAGGAGGATCAAGAGCTTACAAAAATCCGGTCACACATGGACAAAGAGTTACTGAGGCAAAAAGAATTGGCTAATGACGCAAAGAACCAGTGCGAAGAGCGCATGCGTGAAATACAAAATCTCCTGCACGAAGCAAGGAAGAATTTGACGAGATATTTTCAAACAGAGGTGAGATATTTCCAACTGTTTACATATCAATCAACCAACTTTATTTTATTTTGTTAAATATTGCGCCTATGTCGGCCCTACATTGGCACATTCAAATTTCCTATAAAAATCGATTTAAAATTGTCATTTGCTTCAGTGTGCACGCTTTTGATTTAAACTGCTTGCATTAACAGGATTGTAATATCAACGTGTGTCAAGCACAGTGTGCAGTTTACAAGGTTATATCAATATATCGCTATTAACATTTCCAGAAAGGCGAAAAAAATATTGGTCAGCTTGCGCTGGGTCAGGCTAAGAACGCCACTAACGCTTACAGCCGGAAATTAAAGGCATTTAAGGACGAGATTGAGGCGTTCGCTGAGATGTCTGCGCAGGACATCGAAATTGGAATCAAACAGGCTTACAGAGAATTGGAGAATAACTTCTGGATGAAAGGAGCAAAAGTAATTTACGATATTGTGTCCACTTTTGGAAGTCCAGGCCCGTTCATGCAGTGGTCAGGGCTCGAGTTTCCGCAAGGACTTACCGATCTGTACCCTAGTGAGTGAACGTGCACGTTATTCTTGAATTTTTTAATTTATTCTTTAGTTCAATTCATGGATTTAGTTACATTCATCGAATACTGTAGTGAGTAGAGGATGTAATGACGATATTGTATTAAGTGTATTTAATTTTTAGAATGACTTTTATGTCGTACGCTTGTAAAGCGATTCGTTTCGGTGGTGACCGACATGTTTTAACTCTCATATTATTTTCAGACATAACCCTTGACGGTTTTCCGTTTCCAAATAAAAGCACCTTTGATCATCTTAACATCAGTCATCCGGAATGGGAAGAGTATCCGCAGAACCTCACCAACATCACTTTACCGAAATCGAAATTATTTGGTGATCTGACACACAACGACGTTTACAACAAGTCTTTTGTCAACGCCACTTACAAACCAAATATAACCTTTAAGATATTCTTCAGCGGGTGGCTGAATATAGAAACGCTGATGGTGGTGGTGGCAGCTATTGATGCAGTATGGTTTATATACCGCCATACTAGAACGTACCAAACAGTGGTACAGCTACTTCACGGGTTTCCACATCTAATCCGGATTGAGCAGACTAAAAATGAAGGTACAGTGGCGATGAAAGTAAAGGTGCACTTGGGAGCGTAATGATTGCAATAAAACATATGTAAGATGATGTTAATATAGTTGAATTTTTCTTAAGTAAGGTTAGAGTCAGCACCTTATGGAACCTTGGCCAAAAATATCTATTTATAAAGATTCGCCCAAAGATTCGCATCAAAATGTTGATGGCTAATTATATATATATATATATATAAAGACTCATTATTAGAGTGTTATGCTTTAAACGTTCTTGCAGTCTTTTCAGATATATATTATAAACAATATTAGGATATTCACTATATTGCAGTACCAATGGTTTTGCAATCAATGTTAGCAGAAGATTGAAGGTTTAACATCATCTCTTTCTTCTAGATAAGTTAGAAGAAAAAAGCAAATGGCAAAAGTGTTGTAAGGCGACAAAGACAGCGACCAGGACTTCTCTTGATCTGTTGCTTAGCTTATCATGGCGGTTCTTCCTGTTTTTAAAAGAAGTCAATTACAAGGTATCAGATATATAGAATTAGAGGTGATCAGGGCACTCTGCATTTTTCATACTCTTAGTAGGCCAAACGTTACATTTCTACATCCCTGTGAGTTATGAAAGTTATCATAGAATGAAAGTAATAAGAGAATTATTGTGAAGGTACCTTCGTCGAAATTCGTGTTTTATAAAGGCATTTTAGGATACCTCTTTTTGACATCTTTCGAGTGTATGATTTTCAATAAGATTGAATTGAAAAATATGTTTTATTGCAAAATTAGAATTGAAAATAGGCGAACATTTTTATGAACCTTTGGGTCTTTTATGGTATGTTTTCCATGCCAGCGTAACTGGTTTGGTTTTTGCCGGTTTCTTTTCTCTCTTTCTAAAAACTATGTTATCTGTAAATTACACACTCCAGATTATGAACACAGATCTGATACCAAGGCTGCTTCTTGTGGCTCTACTCTGCGGCACTGTGTACACCATCATTATTGTTGCGGACGCCATGGTGAATGTACAGACGCTGTGGGCTGTGGGATTCTTTGACGTCAAAGTAAGACTATGCATGGCGCTTAATAATAATGTAAACTTTTTTGGTTCATATAGGCCTGCATGTACGCGCAAAGGTTTATGTTTTGGAAGTTGGTTTTCGTATTTTAACTTTACATCTCCCAGGATGTCTTCTGTGTTTAAATAAAAAGATTTCCAAATATCCTGTAGGCCTACATAAGAATTCAGCCTAATCATTTTAGAAATACCATTTTCTACAAAGTTTGTAATTTTAATTTGATTATTCTACTAATAGGTGTAACACCTTTAAGCATAGTGACATATTCATCGTTAGGTGGGCCCAATACTGATGGCAAGAAAAATCGCCAACACGCGGATTCGCGCTAACGCATTTAGGATCAACAACTTTGAGTTCCCTTTTACCGAGCAATTGGTCAACATGAGAATAGAACAGTATCAAATAATGCTGCAGATGTACAATAGATTAACATGTGAGGGAATGCTCTTTCACGCAACGGAATACTGTGCGTGGTGGAACATAACGTACCCTGGCCGCCCCTGTCAGCCACCCGTGACCAAGACGATGGACTTCGAGTTCAATGGCTGCGAAAACCCCACCATAGACCCAGTCATTTATACACGGTAAATGGGCATATCTTTGAATATTATCTTTTTTATGTAATTTGATTTTTACTGTGTCTGTAATTGCAAATATATATATATATATATATATATATATATATATATATATATATATATTTGTAAATGTATTCTTGAAAATATATCTATCAAAAGTTTCCTTGACATACACGCTGTTTTACATTAAAACTGGTAATATGTGTTTTGTCGCAACCAGATTTGATAGCCTGCAATACAAGCTGGAATTGATGCGTTCGATGGACCCTTTTGCCAGGGCAGCAAGAAAAATGATACTTGATTCGTTTATTATTGTGGCCATAGCTGTTGTGATAGCCATCCTGTTTGCAGTCCTAGGTGCTGCTGTTTATATGATGTTAAAGAGGTAATAAAGATATAAAAAACTGTTTTTTAGTAAAAGCATGTATGTATCCAGCGGTCGAAACCGCTAGAAAAAAGCCTGCAGTGACAGTAATTTTGACCATAAGTATCTACTGGCGGGTCCAGACTTTGCTAAAGGGGGAGGGCACTAAACCTATTGAAAAATTACAATTAACAATAGGAGACAGAGCGATTATACTGTACAATGTTGCTCGGAGACAGGAAATGGCTTGGTTTTGTGACATTTCGCTGTTATTATTATTATTATTATTATTATTATTATTATTTGTATGGGGTGAAAGGGGAGATAATGATGCGAGTGTGCCCTCCTCACTGGATCTGCCATTGGTAACTACACGTAGAAATCCAGACAAATTTGTGTTATAAGCCTTATCTTACAAATGGTAATATGACACATTTCATTTATTACAGCTTATCCCACATACCTTTCAGTTTGGTGTAGAAAACCATACATGCAGGGCCTAATTGTAAGATAAATATCTATATTTAGCGCATCTCAGTTCCTTTATAGCAAACGGTTCATATCAAAAATTTTCTACTGTTCTGTTCAGGTTCGATCTGGTCCGTCTGCTGAAGGTGTACGAGGTCACGGAGGACCCTGCCCTGCGACCAGAGAATCTGCCAGCAGTTCTGAGAGACCAGGAGGGAGACAGGATCAAGGCGGTCACTATAGATCCCAAGATTGAGGAAGCGGGCGGGGGGCGGACACACACGGCGCCATCAACGTTCCAGTTGAACCAGAGAACACGCGTTAACTGAAGTCTGGTGCGTGAGGCGAGAACTATGTCAGCTCCAGCTTATAATACTGTGTACCAAAGACTTAGTGCCTATTAAATATGACGATCATTAACTGAATGTCTTATAATATACAATATGCCCGGTATTTATAATACTGTTTCAGTTAATACGTGTTAAAGTCCAGGGTAGCAAGGTATTGCACACAACGTGCAGAGAATTAGTGTCTTTGACATTCGGTGTACCCATGAAGTAATAAGGGATTTAGCTATTTTTTGAAAATATGGTATTATTATCACGTAATCAATGTACCAAGGCGGAATTCTATTGCACCACACTGGGAAGCTGATTTGCGAAATTGTTATCAGACAAAAGTAATATATTCCATATAATCTCGTCAAATGATTTATGGATGGAACAATCATAAATTGTGTGATTTATAAGAATAATGATCGATCGACACATCAAGTTATTATAGCAGTGAGAGTAATATGAAAATTAACTAAATATTAGATAGGTTCCTGTCGCTTTGTTAAATACATTATCTGACTTCGAGTTTAGGAACACCTAATCAGATTAGCAGATAAAATGTTAATAAATGTTTTTGTAAAAGATTTATCTGGACAGTACATTACTGCCTTACTCATACAGTTTATGTAATGAAATAAGTAAGAGGTAGTTGCTACACATTATGAAAGCAATAATCCATTCCCATTTAAATTACTTTTTTGATGCGCTACAAAAAACAAAAAAAAATGAAAGACCCATCCATCTATACACAACGCGTCCAATATTTACTGCAAATACCAACATGCAACATGACTATTACAGCATTTAAGCGGCATTGTCCAAATGAGAATCATGGTTTTGTGGCAAACAAATGTTTAAATTGCACATCCTCCATCAATACAAGTGCCATATCCTACAAGTAAATTAGCCGCGTCAGTCACTGCCATTATCACGAACGTCTGTCCATTAACAACCATATCCCTTAACTTTCCACCTATTATAAGTCTGTTCAATGTTCATCATTGGAAATACACAATTGCGTGTACTTTTTATCTGAATAAGATTAAACGCCAGCGCGCAAAGGAAGCACCGGCTTCAATTTAGATTAAAAAGGAGCATTTGGGCAGTTCTAATAGATTTGTAAGCGTGGATAAATAATTCAACTGATGTTGTTTTCAGTTCTTCCTGGGACAGACTGGTAGATATGTAGGCAATATATGTACCAGCGGCGTGAACACAGACAATACTTCAGATGCTGTAACTTTTTTAAAAATCTTTTATGATCTCAGGTTAGTAACTTGTCACTGAATTCGATATTATATTGAAAAAAATTACTTTCCTCTCCCTTATCGCCCACAGACAGGCGAATAGCTAGCAAATGTTTTGCAATCTAGCATTTGTAGCCGCCCACCAGAAAAAAGGGTATTCGTACAATTAGGAGAGCAGACTACCAGACTGATAAACATTAACATAATCAAACACGCTCGCCATGGAAAGAAACACGGACGCATAATCTGCGTGATGGGTTTACTAGTCAAGCGACACTCGAAATTTATCCTCTACAAAGATCGCATTATGTTTCATTATGTGCACTTATTCTCTGAAGCGTGCAAAAATGTCCCATCTTTATTAGAGCAGTTAAAACTAGACACATATCTGTGAATATTTCGTGAAAAATCACTCTGTGGCCCTGGTAGATGGTACTTGAAACTCGGGACAAAGGCCATCACCCCGTGGTCCTGACAGCTGTGAATGACATTTTAAAAAAAAAGAACACAACTTTTATGCAAAGCAACAATTGAAGAAATATTGAAGTTTAAGTCAAGCAAATTTCTCGAAATTTGATGAACCTATGTAGGATTTAATAATTTTTTTTCGGGAGGGGGGGGCCTGTACCATCAGCTGGGTGAGACATTTTCTTGGGGGGGGGGGTCTTCTTGATTTCAAGTTCTGTCTGATTAAATTTCTCTTGAAGTTTTCCCAGTTTTGTGTGATTTGTATTTGAGTCCTAGAGTACATTGAGTACATACAGTACATTCAGCACATACTTTGAAGTTGATACAAAGCAGTAAAAGTAAGATTTTAGTGCTTAATAGTTCGGGCTCTCTTTTCTCCTTTCCGACCTTGAAATGGACCAAAGGTCAAAGGTGAGGTCAGAAGACTTTCCTTTTAAATTCTACTGTATAGTTAACTACTTTTACATCCCTTTTGGCTATAATAAGGAACCTACACGTTTCACGTTTCAGTTTTTTACTCCTTTCATATGACGAACGGTACACTAGAGCAAATACACCAACTGACGCCCTAAACAATCAGGTTACTGCAGAAAATATCTTTGTCCATTATTCTCATCATGCTCTTTGAATATCTCAGGTTTCAGAGATAGTGACTGCCGTAGAAGCTACAGGATTACACTAAAATGAGATAAAAGTCGGCACGGTTAATAAGATGTCAAGGGTTTTCAAAAACACTATCCCAGCAAGAAAGCATGTAATTAATTGAACATTTATTATAATAAAATCGCCATTGTTTGATAGTGGCAATAATGACGATGAATCACTCTTGAACATCCACGCGATAAAAGTTACAATTGCACTATTCCAGGTTTCGGCTTTTAAATCTTTTATGTAATAAAAGGCAGATATCGACGTGTGGGTATTTATGTATTCCTTAACTGCATTCGACGTCATGTTATCAGCTAAAACACTTGCCTAATGGAGATTAAATAATTGCGCTTAAGTGATAGAGTTAGGAGGGAATTCACCATCATGACCACTAAGACTGTCCACTAACCGCTGGTTTGGCCATAGACGCCAGGTTCATTCTATCATGTTTACAACTGCACTTTATTAGCGGACGACACGGAGAAGCCAATGGGAGAGGTCGGTAGGCTCTTTGTTGGTGTCAGCAAACGTTTTATCTGTTACCCATGGGGTTAATAACTTAATCGGTTAAGCGGCTTCCCCTAATGAGAAGAGTTTGTGTGTTCGTATAAGGGTGGGTAGAGGATGACAACATGTATTTTTCCTGTGAACCGTATTGTCTGTGGTCTGAAAAACAACTGTGCGTTTCGACGGCAGATGCTGATATATTGAGAGGCTGGTTTCAGCGCATTCTGCGTGCAACATGAGCGATTTAAGGAAAACTTACGGAGGACCGTTGTTTAGAAATGTGGAAGGCCGTAAGGTAAGTCGAATTATTGAAGAAATGTTTTAATGGTCATCGCGCTAATTTTATTTTAGGAATCTGTATGAAAGGCTTTTATGATCAACTTATCGGCCTGGTCTACATCAGTCTATGTCAAGTGTGAATACTTCAACCAAAAATTATAATTTCTCAAATCCTTATTTGTTGTTGATCGATCTGCAGCAAAATCTTCCTCAATATTGTTGGGAAAATATTTTGTTTTCTGAAATAGGAATATAATTGTATCATTCAAGTGTGGTATGTCCGGATACGGACACTACATGTATATACACAATTACAAATGTGCATTACATCGTTCTTACACTTGACACGTAGGGCTATTTGCTTTTCACCTGATAGGAAGTAGAAAAATTGTTCTTAATCACGATTTTATTGGAATGATTTACCAACATAATGAGAACAGATATGGAAAGTCAAAGAACTAAACAATAATTTAAACAATTATTTTAAATTGAACTTCATCTTGTATAATGACAGAAATGCAATAAGAAAAAAAAGATTTACCAGTAGTTCCAAAAAGACAAAATTAAACAGGCAGAAGATACGGAGAAATAAAATTAATTGGTCAGTAAGTAGGTTAGTGAACATATAAAGTGAAAGAGCAAAAATGTCATTTGGTGCTTTATAAGATCAATAATGCCTAAGCCTAGCTTTCTGGCTTCTATTTGTTTAAAAAGCGACATTGGTTTATAACTGGTTAACACTTCAATTCTACACTCTTGCTAAATTGATGGACTATTTTAGATAAAATTCACTGTGAGGATTGTCACAGAACTTTTATTTAACAGTCTGAAGCATTGATCAAAAAACAATGTTCAGGCTATGAAATTGAACAAAATTCCTTGATTAATGTAAAACAATTGGTTAAAGTTGTTACACTGCATAACAGTTAACATATTTGGGCAGAATGGCAGGCCACGTGTACAGTCCTGTCGTTGTCATTGGCGTTTTCAGCAACAAGTCAATCTTGTTCAGCACTTTTGAAGGGTGGCCTCTTAAAGCCCGAGGGAGAACTTGACAATTTTGTCGATGTGGTGTTTTGGGCGCAATCAAAAGAACATTGCTGTTCTCGTTGGAATCGCTCAAGAAACTGTCTGCAAGATTATACAGCGACATCGCACAGGCATTACCACTTGTCGTCCTGTTAAAACTACACCCTGGAAGGATCGTATACCCTTCCAGATGTATCTACAAAAAATAACATTTTCAGTATCTTGTCTGAGGAACGCTAATGAAAGCGGGCCTAAGCACGAGTTACCAGAGGATCAGTGAACAGCAGACTTCTTATTCGTGGCCTGAACCAAGGTGTACTCCTGTTAAAACCTTTTTGACCCAACAGTGGAAGAACCGCCGATAGGAATGCAACCGAAAACGCCGTTGTCGTCAGGTGCGTCATTGGAGGCATGTCTTGTTCCCAGATGAAGATAGATATATTTTTAACGTTGCTGTAAACAGACTTCATGCTTCAAGTAAAGTTTGGAGGAGATCAGTTGAAGACTGTTTCCCACGGAGGTCGTTCTGCCCACCTTTGGGCTGCCATTCCTTATGTCCTTATGTCCTTATGTCGAACCAATCTGGTGTTCCCCAGCTCTGGCAACAGAGATGGTACCACTTGCTAGAGCTCATTTTGGCCTTAATTTTTTTTTCTCATGTGGCAATGCTCCACCTCATCGTGCTTGAAGAACATTACAATTTTTCAAAGAACGGAGAAATATTGTGGCGTGCTTATCCTCCCGGTCTCAATTCCACAGGGCACTGCTGAGATGCTATAGACCGTGAGGGGAGGAGACAGATACAGCCGACTATATTGTATGATCCAAGGCAGGTTTTTGTCAAGAGGTGGGCTTATGCCGATCAGATATTCATCTACAAAGTTCAGAAACTGGTTCAATTAGTAAGTCGAATAATAAATGGCATCTACCATTGTTCGTGGTAGCTACGCATGATACTAACTTTTAGTTAATTCTGACATGACATTTGCTTTTGCCTATAAATTGCCGATAATTTACCAAACTTATAATTGATTATCAGGAGGAACTCGAATGGGATATAATCACCATATATACTGTTACTTGAAGGTTAACCCAAGCATTATAATAAACAGTTTGTTTAATAATACATTTTTGATTAGTTTGAACGTATTGAAACCGCCGCTTCTATATTCCGTTGGAATATTCCATCATTTTAGCAAGAGTGTACACTTAGAGTAAATTGCGAAACGGCGAGATGAAAGAGAGACCCTGTCGAGTTTTAGGCACCAAAATCCCAGAAGGGCTGATTGGGCCCCATGGAAACACTATTAAGCTGTGAGTCATTTATATTAAAAGACCGAACAAAACACTGCTAAACTAAGCTGTCTTTGTTCAAGTACTTTCATATGAACAAGTCCATTTTGCGCACTATGTCATTTTTTTCAGTTACCTTGGTTATAAAAGACGAAACACAATGCAGTGCTACAATAACCTCACATTCAACAAATTAATCAATACATTCTGACATGGCTATCATAGCAATTACACGTCCCATGGCAACATATTGCACCTATTCCAATTACTTAGAGCAGTCCTGTATATATCTCGCTAACTTCCGTCATAAATGTTACGAAATGCGCACATAGGAAATATAGAATATTTGTCCAATATACTGTGATCTATCCATTTGGGATTCAACTTTATGTGGTAGGCCTTATTAAATAGCGGTTGTTAAGTGACCCTTGCGTAAGGTACATCTGGCCTTATTCTGATTAAATGAAATCATCAGCAGCTAGCTTGTATGGTACTCCAAAGCATTATTATTTTTATTTTCTGGCAAACCCACTATTTGATATTAAAGTCCTAAAATTATAACTGCTTTGGCAAATCCAAAATGATTGTCAAATTGCGGCAAGACGACAAAGGTAAACGCTTTTGATTTGCTATGGTATAACTTAAGTAATGCTTAAATTAACTATCTGGAGGTTCATATCTCTGTTGAAGAATCGACTTGCTGGCCTCTACTGTTAAGTCCCTATATATTTATCTGTATTAATTTGCTACAATGTATGTAACGGGAGTAATTTTCCTCGTGTTATGTAGAATAGCGATGGGGAGCGCATGTTCCTAAACGCTGCTTCAAGCGGAGACATAGCGATGGTTCAGGCAATGTTTGATGACAAGGATGTGGATGTCAACTGTGTGGATTTTATGGGCAGATCTGCGCTCCTCCTAGCGGTGGAAAATGAACACATTGACGTCATTGACTTTATGATGCAGAAAGCTAACTACTCGAACATGAAGGTATATCCTTGATTTTTGTTGTGTTTGAATTTATTTTTTGTTTGGGAGGCGTGTGAGAGGCGGAGAGACTATTAAAAGATTAGGCGGTTTTCCTTTCATGCACGTCTGCCATATTTAGGTCGTGGCTTTGTAGAGCCAGGGCTCAACTCGATGTGAATGCGGCCATTGTTTGAAATGAGACATGTGTCACCATCCCCACCAATAGGGATTTTTTTTATATCTGGAAATAATGCCTTTGGTTTCCAAAATGATGTTGTTAACATTTATTCAAAAGCCTAATCCTTTTTGATTCAGCACCTTTTACTTAAAGTATATCAATTGTCTGCATTACAGAATTCAAGATCTTCTTTTAAGATTTTTATTGAGTTGTATCACTTTCATGTACTTGTGATGTAGACGTTTTAAACTTGTATATGCCATTTCACGAGTCACACTGCAATCAAATCATACCAATTTTGCGCTGATTACAATACACCTTCTTCAATGAAATATCACTCAAGCTGTGTCGCCCGATAGCGTATATATTGCGTAAGTTCTTTGTAAAATGCATTCTTTATCTTGTCATTGTTCTTTTTCAACACATGTGTGTGTGTGTGTATCCATGAAATGCATATTTGATAAATATATATATATATAAACTAACTACGTACGGTATTAATATTATATTACTCATTAGCGATAATCGCCTACTGCATATACTGTATAATCAAAGGAATGCTAGGATCAATAGCATATTCTACGCGGAAGCACTTTAATTTATTTGTCATCTTTGATACAGATGTAAGCCAATTAACACAGCATTTGTTTCCAGGCCTCCCTGCTTCACGGTATAAGCAAGGGTTTGATAAGTGTAGTGGAGTTCATATTAGAACACCCTTGCTACATCGCAGCTGAGGAAAACCTCCAAAGATTAGGCATGCTTGAGGACACTTTTTTCCGAACCGACTTGGACAGCGGGGACCATTCCTTCCCGTCATATATCACCCCGCTCACCCTTGCTTGCCACATTAACAACCCGGACCTTATACAGATGCTGCTTGCCAAAGGCCATGTTATCGAAAGGCCGCACCATATTTCGTGCGAGTGTAACGATTGTAAAGCCAAATCGGAGTTTGACTCCCTGAAGATGTCCAGGTCTCGACTCAATGCTTACCGTGCTCTAGTCAGTCCTGCGTACATTGTGCTGTGTAGTACGGACCCCATACTGGCCACATTCGAACTGAAGACGGAGCTAAAAGAGTTGGCAGCTCTGGAAAAAGAATTTAAGGTGACCAATTTCACAAGTTTTATGTGATTTTTTAACTCAGTGGTTGGAAAGTAAGCTGTAAAAAAGGCAACACTCTGATGCATAAGATGTATTTTTTTGAAAATATAAATTGTGGAAGATTTACATAAATGCATGTATATCTCTGATTTATCCGTCGTCGTCTTTAGCACCCATCCCCTCCGCTTCATACATGAAAATGAGTTCAATGTGCTAGACATTGGCCACAAGTTTGCATGTTTGAAAAAAAAATGTGTTTAATTAATTAGCTTACATCTGCAATATTCACTGTTATTTGTAGACTGAATACCAGGACCTTGTTGACCGGTGTATGGACTTCGCATGCGAGATGATGGACCTCTGCCGCAGCACTCAAGAGGTAGAGACCCTCCTAAGTGACGGGAAGGACCCCATAGCAAGACTTAAACTGGCTGTACGAAACGAGGAAAAAAAGGTGGTGGTAGTTTTACATATTCTATACATTGTGATCGTGTAACTGGTTGTAAAAAGTAATGCTAACAATTTTCTTTCCAATGCTCAAATAAATAAATAGATGCTTATAAAAAATAGAAAATGAATGGTAGTGCCACACCTTAGCTGATTATTTGGAAAGCCTAGGGAAGCATGAAGACCTTTGAGCGCCCCCCGTGATTTTCAAAGCCTGGAACATTGCACTGCAGCGAACAGTAGAGATGTAAATGCTGCATTACATAACAAGTAGGTCTACTGCATCAATACAACATTGCTTTTAAAGCCTTTATGGATTGTCCCCACTTGCGTAGTATAGATAAAAGCACATCATAATTGAGGGTTGTAAATGGCGTTTTTATTAAGCGTATATTTCAATAAAATAACTAGAACATCTGAAAGTGCTATTTTGGTCTATTAAGTCATCTGTACAGTGAATCACTTTGGTTTTTGGCATTTATACGAGTACTCCAGCACTTTGTGGTTGAGTGGTCCATTTTTTTTTTGTTAATTGCATTAAATCATCTACAGTTATCTGGATGAAATTAATATTGGAAAAACTGAAATAATACTCTTCGCTGTTGAGGCACGTAAGTAGTTACATCCGTACTATACGGGAGAAAAGAATTCCATTTTTTTCTTTTGTTATGTTACATCATTTGAACAATGAAAAACCTATACCGGACAATGGGGATGTTTACAAAATAAACAAACAATTTTTTTAATGTAAACAAACGAGACTCCCTATTTTTGTTTACGTTTCACTATGGTAACGGATGACGTCACAGAACGGGCCTGGGCATGTAGGAGATTTTAAAGAATTACTAAGGAAAAAGGCACAATGTAGTGATAAACAAGTACAGAACGGGCCTGGGCATGTAGGAGATTTTAAAGAATTACTAAGGAAAAAGGCACAATGTAGTGATAAACAAGTAAATTTGTAAATAAAACATGATTTTATNTAACCGATAACATTAATGAAAACAACCGTCCGCCATGCGCCGCGCGCCGATTAAAAGCATTTTTTAAAACTTCAGAATACATGTGTTAACGACACGTTTGGATACATTCATCCAGTCTTCTGAGTCCATTTAGATAATTCAGGACCAGCTGTACAACAGAACTACCCATTAATGCCAATACAATTATTGTGCCTTTATTACCTGCGCCTAATGATAATAGCATATCACTGATATCACGCCGCAAAAACTCTTTATATGGATCTGAAAAGATTGGAAAGAACGTTGAGGAATATTTTTTTCTTTTTGTGCGTGGCTCATCATTTGATTTCAAAGTGACAAAATTGCTAGAAAAGTTAAAATATGTCTATTTTGGTCTTTCGGTGATTATTTCATTTTGTTTATTGGTAAAATAGGGAATGCAACAGTTGTTGGCATATTGATGTATTTGTGAGTATTTTTGTCTATACATGTACCTTCCAGATTATATAATGATACATAAAAACAAACACATCAACACTTTTCAATCTGACAGTAAAAAAACGTGCCGCATTGAAAGCCATTAGCAGACATGAATATTGCATTAATGCATTCTTACGTAATACAGAAATCATTTGTCTATTTTCTTCCACAGTTCGTCGCCCACCCAAACTGCCAGCAGTACCTGACCGCTTTGTTCTACGGATCTGAGCTGAGTTTCCTCAAGACCACTAAATGGCCTCTGAAATTGTGTTACATGCTTCTGGTCACCCCTCTGGTCCCTTTGATATCCATAACCTATATACTGTTTCCCAAGTCTCGGGTGAGTTCTTAATGGTTTGCAGTCGATGAATTATTCGGGTGATGCGGAATATAAATAGGGCGTATATTGGCTCCGTCTGAATACAGTCTACTGGGAGGACACAAGGAGCATTAACTTGTGCGAATATGCATTAATTGCACATTACATTTTGATATAATTTCAGTTGAACAACTACTTAGACACCGTGACTTAATAACACTGTGATCAGATTATTGACAGGGGCTTTTGCGATAATATATTCATAGATACATTATAAAAAGAGCAAATTGTGCATGGTTTTCTTTTTTATTCTCATGCAGAATAGATACACGAACATGAGACTATTTGATGCGTTATAGGGATAACAACTCTTCATATGAAATCTATGACCCCATTCCCAGAGATTAGATCGATCCAACTAGATCGACCTAACTCCCTGGGGGTTCACGCTAAATAGCTGTCAGCCGAGCGCGCGCAGTAGTTAATTACCCTCTTACAGCTTTTAGTAGGCGGGACTGACATTTAAGCCGGATTATCTGACAGTAATCTAGTGAGACTCCCCACGGGGATAGATCGATCTAAAATCTATGGGAATGCACCCTATATTTCAAAATAAAAACATTATAAACAACTAAAAATATATATATAATACATTCTAATTTACCACAAATCAGCATTTAAAGCAATTATTCTGAAATTTGTGTTTGTCATAGGACCATGTGACCTCCATAGATGGGGCTATACTCTGTAACTATCTTTAAGAGATTATTACAAAAAAAAACTTTTTAGACTAACTTAGAGTTGAACTCATTAACCATTGGGAAGTATGGGAAAATTATTGTTTGCCCTGGGAAAATTCATTTTTTTAATCAAAATGAACAGTTGTTATCCCTTTAAATATGTAATCAATTTTCCATTGAGTTTAGTTAGTGCAAAAGCATATTCTTTTACAGGTGGCACGCTATGTAAGGTGTCCTTCCACCAAGTTTCTACTCCACACTATTTCGCATTTGGTGTTCCTCATACTTCTGGCCCAGGCAACGTTCCAAACGTCGGAGATATTCAATGAAGATATTAATGTTAATATCGATAATGTCAAATGGAAATCTTCATTTCGAGGCGAAAGCAGCATCATGACTCCCGTGCAGATAGTGCTCATGGGTTGGGTCTTAGGTGAGGACTATGAAACTTTTCTCGAACGTCAACGCAAGCACACACACACACACACACACACACAGAGAGAGAGAGAGAGAGAGAGAGAGAGAGAAAATGTCATTTTCATGATTAAGGCATACCATATTCATGTTTTATGTGGCGCCATGTTTTTGATGCCCCAAGTACTACCTTGAATTCAGACAATATTTACTTAAATGTCAAATAACCATCATATACATTTGTCATAAGTGGAGGTATTGCATCCAAAGTAATCGTTTCAGGTTTATTGTGGATTGAAGTCAAGGAAATCTACCGAACACCGTTTTGTGATTATGCCAAAGATTATTACAATTACATCATCTTTATGAGTCTGTCTTTGTATATCGGCTCTTATGTCTTACGGATATTGGCGATGAGGTGGATTCTCGCTGCCAAACAAGAATATAGTGTCCCTCTCCGGAGTGCCAAGTTGGCTTTGGAAGCAGGGAACGGGGACGAATTCCATCGAATTGCGGCACAGATAAAAGAGGCTGGGACGAGAGAAAGTTATTTCATGGAAGCGTGTAAGTGTCCCGGGATTATTTTGATTTTATTATGATAACATTCTTTTACATACATCTGTTGGGCTAACATAACCTTTTTTCTTTGAAAACGCTTTCATTCTATTTTATCGTTGATTGAGTTAAAGAGGCGAGATTTTACATTTACCATTCCGAACAGCCGACCAGCTATGATGAAATGCGACTGCAACAGGATACATAAATACATGAATACCTCGGTACTTGACTGAATCCAGGCTCAGACATAAGAAATAAGAAATAATGTTCTGTTTTAGCTCGTTTTCACTGGAAAATGGACGACCCGGAGATTGTGGCAGACGCCATGTTTTCTGTGGCTAATGTGCTTAGCTTTGCTAGGACCACTTATATAATGCCAGCGTTTGAAGTTTTGGGACCTCTGCAGATATCACTGGGGCGTATGGTTGGAGATATAACCCGGTTTCTGGCTTTATATTTGCTGGTAAAGTAGATTCCAAGAAAAGTATTACAGGAATGTAACCAAGACCATTTTTTTAAGTTCCCTTTTTTTTCGCAAAACTATATGTAGATGTACTGATTACGACAAAATGACCATTTCAAACATTTTTGTTTTATGTAGGCGCTATTTAAGTCCGATATGTTAACGTTGACTTAGTTCTAGAGCATGTTCAGTATTTAGTTTGGCATATATTCATGTTCGTTACTTTCACTGTTCCATTCAGGTATTACTTGCCTTTACGGTCGGTTTGAATAATCTCTACTGGTACTATGGCCAAGTAAAAGCCACTGATGCCTTCACTGAGTACGTATGTTGTTACATTCGATAATTTGTTTTAGAATTTTCTATAGGTAATGTAAAAGTGATTTGGCAAGTTTGGTATTTGCATTATGGTCGATCAATCCGTGCCCCGTTTGTGTGTCATTCCTCATCCTTTAGAGCCTCTGCTGTGTATTTTGCGTTTTTTTAACAAAATAATTCCTGTTTGAATGTTCCATACGTTGTAGGTATAAAACAAAGCCGACCCATACTTGCGTTACTTATAACAATAGGTATTCATTGTTAAGAATATTCTGTTTTCAATATCAGTAGTATGTCCATCATATCTTTTTACGTAGATAATGTATAGGGCCTACCCTGTGAAATTTTTTACCTTGGTTATATTTGCAAATGGTAAATGAACCTTTATATTAAACGAATCATTCGGCGTTAACTACGTCATTTTCGCTTTTTATATTGTTTTAGTTTAATGGTAACGGTGCAGACTTTGTTTTGGTCAACGTTTGGTCCGAGTAAATCAGCACCTGAGGTCTCTAAATTGTCGAAACCAAAAGGTGAGAAATAATAGATTTGTTATTTGATAGCTGTATATGTAGAGAGAGATTGGTTTTGGAGGTCAAGCCTGTCCATATGTTGGTTTATCCTGGACAAAATCTTATATACTACAGTCCCCTCAGTTTTTTTATGGTTCCAAGCATGAAAACTACATGTATAACATGTAGGGGTGCATATCTCTTTTTATTTGTAAGATTAAAATAGTTTTTGATAATATATTGTTACATATGCCTATGAGATTTTTTCGACTCACTCATTTTGTGTCATAATGAGCAATGAAGACAAATCTTCACTTAATGTGGTAAAATTGAATTATTCAGTGTCATCTAAAATCTTGATCATTTGTCATACATTTAAATCAGGCGGGAATTCCACGTCTAATAATCATATATATATTGTTACATCCCAGGTTGCACCGAGGGAGGGGAAGGTGGGGCTGGGTGCCAGTTTTACGGGAATACCACCACGGATGCAATGGTTGAGTCAAGCACAACCCTCATCAACTTTGTCGGTGCCACATTGTACTCTGTCTTTTGCGTCTTCGCCATTATCATCCTTGTGAACATGCTGATAGCCATGATGAGCCACTCTTTTGAAGCCATTCAAGTAAGGATTTCTGACTATGTCTGTCTTGTTCTCTTCTTGTTTAAAGACGTGGAATGATATTTTGCATGAAATGGTTAAATACATGTATGAAAGCAAATAAAGCTTGTTGGATGAGGTGACTGGTTTCAACATTGGCAGATTTTTGTCTAGTAACATAAGTTATTTTAAAAGTAAAGAGGGGTTGGTCTTAAAATTTGGGCGTCTCTCCGAAAGTCACAATGTAGAGATGCTGCATTTTTTTTCTTTGAAAAGCGTTCTATATTTCATATAGGAAGCCTGTGATGTGGAGTGGAAGTTTGCCAGAAGCAAGTTGTGGTTATCTTATATTGCGGACGGCAGTAATTTATCAGCTCCTTTTAATTTACTACCAACGCCCTCATGTGCTTACCAGAGCTGCAAGTACGTGAAGAAAACGTTCATGGATGGACGACGTGACAGCATCACACTTTTCCGGGCGCAGACCGTCGTACGGGTAAGATCGATCCAGAAAAGCAGACGTCTGTCAGCACTCTTGTGCCTATAATTCCCAGACTATTATGTGTGTGTGCGTGCGTGCGTGGGTGTGTGCGTGTCGAGCCGAAAAAAGATGTGCCTTTACAAAAACAATGCCTTTAAAATACAAGCGTCTATATAGTTTATTATTTTGCTCAATACGTTGCATTAATTTTTCTAACCGACATTCCGGTGTTTTCTGTCATCTACAAATATCTATTAACTACACCATTATTCTGCTCAACATTTTGCTGTTTTCTGTTTCGTACTAATACCTATATGCTGTGACATTATTTTGCTCAACCCCATTTTTTCGTGTTTTTCTATAGGCTCGGAGACAGGCCGTGTGTGAGAAGCTTCACGTGGACACGGTGGACACCAGCTATGCTGACATTGCACACAGCTTGGCCAACAGGTATCTCCTCAAGCTGGGAAGACAAGCCAGGCCAGAAACTAAAGGTTATTAATTTGATTTAATAGTAATTTTCTTACTCATAAATCCCTCGCTGTATCTGCTGTAGCTGTTTATAAACAGATACAGTTATTTCCTAGGTAAAGGGTACTGTCAAGGTTAGAAAAAAACTCCTAAATTGTTCTTTTTACGTACATGTTTTGGATAATAGATGGATCTTCAGTGTTCCCTGACTGACTTCGATTGCATTTACAAAATTTCATTTTACCGATGACACAGTAATTGCAATTTTTGAGATAAAAATTGCAAAGTCGGTTTCTAAAAATTCTATACATGAGCACCCCCGAACACCTTTTAAATGTCAATTTAATGATATCATTGAGTACTCTAAAACCCCGCTAGCGATTAGTTTAGATTTCATAGTTAAAATGTCAAAATAATGCCTTTGTTAAATGAATCGTTATAATTAAGGACTTATAAATGTAAGAAAATAAAATTTCAACCAAAATGACGACACGTTATTGAAGCCCATACACTTGTAGTCAATTATGCCCATTTTTGTGATAAAATCTTGCTCGAGCATGAAGTTACGCTCCATATCGTTTGCTATCTCACCTAAGAGTCGAAAGCTGTTAAATTGACTATAAATGCTCCAAGGTGCTTATGCTTATATTAGCTACGAGACATATGAATGCCGATATTTTTTAATTTCGAGATAATTATTTTTAATCAACAAAATGGCAGATGCATCATTGTATAATATGTTGCACGAAAAACTCATTTGCGGTATTTTGATGATCATAAACTCTGACAGTAACCTTAACTCGTGGATACTTGACCAGAATTTTTTTTTTTTTTTNAGCAAGTTTGGTATTTGCATTATGGTCGATCAATCCGTGCCCCGGCCGTTTGTGTGTCATTCCTCATCCTTTAGAGCCTCTGCTGTGTATTTTGCGTTTTTTAACAAAATAATTTCTGTTTGAATGTTCCATACGTTGTAGGTTTAAAACAAAGCCGATCCATACTTGCGTTACTTATAACAATAGGTATTCATTGTTAATAATATTCTGTTTTCAATATCAGTAGTATGTTCATCATATCTTTTTTACGTAGATAATGTATAGGGCCTACCCTGTGAAATTTTTTACCTTGGTTATATTTGCAAATGGCAAATGAACCTTTATATTAAACGAATCATTCGGCGTTAACTACGTCATTTTCGCTTTTTATATTGTTTTAGTTTAATGGTAACGGTGCAGACTTTGTTTTGGTCAACGTTTGGTCCGAGTAAATCAGCACCTGAGGTCTCCAAATTGTCGAAACCAAAAGGTGAGAAATAATAGATTTGTTATTTGATAGCTGTATATGTAGAGAGATTGGTTTTGGAGGTGAAGCCTGTCCATATGTTGGTTTATCCTGTACAAAATCTTATATACTACAGTCCCCTCAGTTTTTTTATGGTTCCAAGCATGAAAACTACATGTATAACATGTAGGGGTGCATATCTCTTTTTATTTGTAAGATTAAAATAGTTTTTGATAATATATTGTTACATATGCCTATGAGATTTTTTCGACTCACTCATTTTGTGTCATAATGAGCAATGAAGACAAATCTTCACTTTATTGTGGTAAAATTGAATTATTCAGTGTCATCTAAAATCTTGATCATTTGTCATACATTTAAATCAGGCGGGAAATCCACGTCTAATAATCATATATATATATATATTGTTACATCCCAGGTTGCACCGAGGGAGGGGAAGGTGGGGCTGGGTGCCAGTTTTATGGGAATACCACCACGGATGCAATGGTTGAGTCAAGCACAACCCTCATCAACTTTGTCGGTGCCACATTGTACTCTGTCTTTTGCGTCTTCGCCATTATCATCCTTGTGAACATGCTGATAGCCATGATGAGCCACTCTTTTGAAGCCATTCAAGTAAGGATTTCTGACTATGTCTGTCTTGTTCTCTTCTTGTTTAAAGACGTGGAATGATATTTTGCATGAAATGGTTAAATACATGTATGAAAGCAAATAAAGCTTGTTGGATGAGGTGACTGGTTTCAACATTGGCAGATTTTTGTCTAGTAACATAAATTATTTTAAAAGTAACGCGGGTTGGTCTTAAAATTTGGGCGTCTCTCCGAAAGTCACAATGTAGAGATGCTGCATTTTTTCTTTGAAAAGCGTTCTATATTTCACATAGGAAGCCTGTGATGTGGAGTGGAAGTTTGCCAGAAGCAAGTTGTGGTTATCCTATATTGCGGACGGCAGTAATTTATCAGCTCCTTTTAATTTACTACCAACGCCCTCATGTGCTTACCAGAGCTGCAAGTACGTGAAGAAAACGTTCATGGATGGACGACGTGACAGCATCACACTTTTCCGGGCGCAGACCGTCGTACGGGTAAGATCGATCCAGAAAAGCAGACGTCTGTCAGCACTCTTGTGCCTATAATTCTCAGACTATTATGTGTGTGTGTGCGTGCGTGCGTGGGTGGGTGTGTGCGTGTCGAGCCGAAAAAAGATGTGCCTTTACAAAAACAATGCCTTTAAAATACAAGCGTCTATATAGTTTATTATTTTGCTCAATACGTTGCATTAATTTTTCTAACAGCCATTCCGCTGTTTTCTGTTATCTACAAATATCTATTAACTACACCATTATTCTGCTCAACATTTTGCTGTTTTCTGTTTCGTACTAATACCTATATGCTGTGACATTATTTTGCTCAACCCCATTCATTTTTTCGTGTTTTTCTATAGGCTCGGAGACAGGCCGTGTGTGAGAAGCTTCACGTGGACACGGTGGACACCAGCTATGCTGACATTGCACACAGCTTGGCCAACAGGTATCTCCTCAAGCTGGGAAGACAAGCCAGGCCAGAAACTAAAGGTGATTAATTTGATTTCATAGTAATTTTCTTACTCATAAATCCCTCGCTGTATCTGCTGTAGCTGTTTATAAACAGATACAGTTATTTCCTAGGTAAAGGGTACTGTCAAGGTTAGAAAAAAACTTCTAAATTGTTCTTTTTACGTACATGTTTTGGATAATAGATGGATCTTCAGTGTTCCATGACTGACTTCGATTGCATTTACAAAATTTCATTTTACCGATGACACAGTAATTGCAATTTTTGAGATAAAAATTGCAAAGTCGGTTTCTCAAAATTCTATACATGAGCACCCCCCGAACACCTTTTAAATGTCAATTTAATGATATCATTGAGTACTCTAAAACCCCGCTAGCGATTACTTTAGATTTCATTGTTAAAAAGTCAAAATAATGCCTTTGTTAAATGAATCGTTATAATTAAGGACTTATAAATCTATGTAAGAAAATAAAATTTCAACCAAAATGACGGCACGTTATTGAAGCCCATACACTTGTAGTCAATTATGCCCATTTTTGTGATAAAATCTTGCTCGAGCATGAAGTTACGCTCCATAACGTTTGCTATCTCACCTAACACCCCATTTCCATAGATTTTTAGATCGATCTATCCCTGTGGGGAGTCTCACTAGATTACTGTCAGCTTGGCCGGCTTAAGCGTCTGTCCCGCCTACTAAAAGCTGTAAAGGGGTAATTAACTATGGTGCCCGCTCGGCTGACTGCAATTTAGCGTGAACCCCCAGGGAGTTAGGTCGATCTAAATCTTAATCTTTAGATCGATCTAAATCTCTGGGAAAGCACCCTAAGAGTCGAAAGCTGTTAAATTGACTATAAATGCTCCAAGGTGCTTATGCTTATATTAGCTACGAGAAATATGAATGCCAATATTTTTTAATTTCGAGATAATTCTTATCATTTTTAATCAAGAAAATGGTAGATGCACCTTCGTATAATAAGTTGCACGAAAAACTCATTTGCGGTATTTTGATGATCATAAACTCCTCTGACAGTAACCTTAACTCGTGGATACTTGACCAGAATTTTTTTTTTTTTTTTTTTGTTAGTAAACGATTGACTTATCAGGTACAAGTGTAACAGTTATATCGATCTGTATATTAAAACGCAGCATTATTCCATTTATACTAGCATTTAAGCGCTACCGATGATCGCCTGACGTAAGATTATATTTAATTTACTTTGAGCCCAGGATTCTAGCTGTCATATATTTGTTTCTCTCTCTCTCTCCAAATAAGGTGAAAGTCATGTCATCCTCGAAACGTCACCCCCGCCCTCGCCAAGTGGCACGCCTACTATATTCGAAGGCAAGGAAGAGCTCAACGTGGCAGACCTCAAAGGCGGACCAACTCTGCCGCAATTCCATTTGGAACATGTTGATGAAGGCACGTATTTGGAAATGAGACAAATAAGCGCTTTTTGAAGACATAGGGTGGATTTTTATTTTCAAAACAAAGAGAGTTCTGAACTTAAAAGTTTTTTATCTTAAATTTAGGATTTACGGTGCTCGTAAGAAATGTTTTAATGCCAATCTGATATATTTTGAAGGTTTTCATTCAGTCTACTCTGCCATTACTACGTGGTCAAGAACTGTTGGTGCTATCAAGATGCTCTTATTTATTAACCAAACAGAAATTTACCGGCAACAAACATTTCCATTTTCCTGGTGTAGATGTCATTTTTCAAATTTAACGTTTCTTAATTTTGACATTAACAATTAATACTTTAACAATTGCACTTTGAAAACAATTTACTTGCAGAGGGTGAAGTGCTGAAGCCGACCATTTGTCGTCCTTTGTTCACGCCGATGTTGAGGCGTAGCAACCCAGAGATGATGGCAGAAGAGCAGGGTCGAAGAAGCTTCTCCCGTAAGAGCAAACGCTCAGTGCGAGTCCACTCTCCCCTGACACCGACATCGTCAGAAGGTACTTCCGGTCGCATTGAGGAGATGTACCGCGTGGTGAAACTACTGGACATGCGCTTCCAGCACCTCCAAGAAAACACCAGCCAAATCCAAAATCTTGTAAAAGATTTGGCCGCAGTGAAAGCTGATTTGGAGAAAACAAGGAGCTTGCTTGAAACTCAGCGAAGGATCACCGTCAACACCAGTGGGACACCGAGATCTTTTGAGACAATATCTACCTTAAATATTCTACCCAGCTTCGTGGCAGAAACCGAGGTCCGTACAAAGCCTTTATCGCCACGACTGGGGTACATTAAAAAATCGGTTAAGTTTAAAAAACAAAAGAGTGATCAATCTGGACAAAATTAATGTCAAATTCAATATTCAAATATTGAATCGGTCTCCTAGGGACCATTCCCATAGATATTTGGATAGATCTATCTCCCTGGGGAGTCTCACTTAACTGCTATCAAACTAACCGGCTTAAACGTCTGTCACGCCTAGTAAAACTGTAAGGGGTAATTATCTTTACCCCTAGCTGATTCGGTAGGCGTAGCAGACAGTTAGGCCTTTTCTTGCTGATTTGCAATTTAGTGTGAACCCCCAGGGAGTTAGGTCGATCCAGATGGATCGATCTAAGTATGGGAACCCAGTCCTAGTTTTCACTTGCACGCACAAACAAAATGAGAGGAAATAATAGAATTTGTAGAACTGAGATGGTTTGATTATTTTGGCGGAAGGCTTGGATTAAAGGTTACAATACCGTAGCATGAGAGGAATGGAGACTACATGCCTATTGTTATGAACATGTCACAGTATACGCCATTGTCGCAACGTTCAGGGCAAGGGTTCACTGTGATCATCCTCGAGGTACAGGTATATGCACATGTACGTGTAGGTCATTAATGGTACTCGGTGGCATGAGCATCGCGTTCCAGGACAGTGTGATGACCTCATTTGAACTCAGTGTGATGACTGGGAAGGTATCTCGTTAATGATAACTGTTCACATTTATGCATTTACAAGTAACTGCTGAAAATCGTGAAACTGTGAATCTCTATGTAAATGTCATCCTGGCGTTGGAGTGATGCTTCGAACTGTCATCGCTTCTTCTTTCTCCTTCTTGAATGATGTAAAGCATGTTTGATTGTATTTTGATGTTTAAGTTCAATTTTGAATTTGAGAGAGCAAATTCTACGTTTCTGTGTGCAGTTTGCTGAACGATATGTTGTAATTCAATAAAATTGTATTATATATGGGCCCACTTCGATCAAGTAATAATAATAATATAAGGCACAACTTAAACTTGACAGTATGATAAGGTAGCGCGCACGCTTTCCGCCTTGTGGAGAACGGTTTTTGGTATACCCTCGTATAGGGAACAACAACAGGTACAAACACTATCACGATCACCCCAAGTCCACCGAATAATGTCCGTGTACTGGAACTCCACGATATTTCGACGCACTTACAATTTTAAATATTTTTCAAAGGTTTCAGTTTGACCAAATCCTAAAGGCGTCGGAAGCAGTGAATCCGTGTGATTCCATGCAACCCTTCTTGTACCTCTACGACATCCACGGCCTCCACTGCATCTAAAATTTGAAGGGGACGTACGATTTTAAAATTGGTGCGGCTGTTTGTGACCGAGGCTTAACTTGGGCTTACCTAGAGAAGTGTAGGACATCGTAGAAGTCAAGATCTTGTTGAATGTGAGCGAATGTTCTTGTGAAGTTAACTGACGTCTCTAACACAGCGAGGCCTTCTTTGATTCACCTGTACGGTCTCAGTGGAGATAACGTAGTCCTCACAACGCATCGGGTCAACAATCAAAGCGACCAGTCCAAGCGAACTGATAAACTCGCCACATGCTAACGATGTATGGGATACATAATGGGGTTAAATGCGTTTTTTTTAGTCCAATTCAGATAGCCAGTTATCAGGAGCTGATATCGAAAATTTGTATTGATTTTACTGCTGATCGTTGGATATGTGGTAGGCAGAAAAGATGAACGTTCAGCATACATCATTTTATGATCTGACTGGAAGTCTTTGGCTCATGACAATATCTAGCATGCACCATGACTAATCACTGCATTCCTCTCTCCACATTACTTAATATCTACATGAATATCGATTAAGAAGTATTTTGGCATCCTTACTCTTGTTCAGACAACTTTTCAAACCTGAAATGTAAACTTATGTCTTACAGTTGTACAGACGGCCTCTGTTTGATTGACCTTCGTTAATTGCTTTAGTCAGCAGATTAATATTTATCAATGCTTCTGTCATTACCACTGTAACATTATTCATTATTTCATTTTCATATTTATATAATCAACATTTTTTGTATTTAAGTCATTTCCGAGCTCTATGAAAGCAATAATTGCTATTAGAATTAAGAGTAATTTCTGCACTTTTAACCCTGATCCACTACTTTCCGGTAATCTCGACCCATCCTTTCAATCCTCAAGGGTCTCACCATAGCCTTGGACAAGTCAAGCTATAGCCGGAAAAAAGAAATGCACTTTAAAAGACCGTCGAAAATGAAGCCACGGTAATAGGTTTCATCATACTCAGATTTCTGAGCACGAAATGTTCTTCTTGAACAACGGGGATAATTATGGACTTTCGAAATGCGCATCTCTGAAACATATATACACAAACGAGAGAATGCTCACTTCACCTTTTCACCATTTTAACAGGGTTAGTTGGTTAGTTATAATTTTTGTTTAATTTGTATATTTTATGATTCGACACATGGGCCGATCCAGGATTATTCCAAGGGGGGCGGTTTTTAGGAATGACAGACCGCAGATGCGAACTAGCCTTGGCGGGGTATTATGGTATAATACAGGGCGAACGGTGTCATTTGGTACAGTTAAGTCACAGGCCCGTAGCCAGCAATTTCAAAAGGGGAGTTCTTTTTTTGAAAAAGTGGACCTTTTCCCACAAAAACTTCATGTACCTAGATCAAATTTTACCCAGAGTGGACCTTTTCCCAGCAAAAGGGGCGGTTCTTTCGAACCCCCCGAACCCCCCTGGCTACGGGCCTGTTAAAGACCTATGATTCAAGTAGTCAAAATTCTAATTTCAAAAGGAGACCATTGGTGTGTTTTCCCCCCTGACAGCTCCCTAAATCCACCACTGCGATAAGGCACTGTGTCCTACAGCACAACACTTGTTAACTACAATATAAAAACACGCACAATAAAATAACATGACAGCCCCAGCTCGCCGGAGGGACCGAGTATAATTATCCCGTTAAGCTGCGACAAGCAATACACAAAGGTGATCGAAATCACGGTACAGTCTGATTACTATTGACTCATTTATTAGATACCTTTGCAAGTGGAAATGAATTCATATTAGAATTGCCATATGTTAACGGACACGAAATTCTATTCCACACAATCGATTTGGTAGGCTGGCCATTGTCGACCTTTAAGGAATAATTTCCCCTATCTGATTCTCTTGCAAGCAACTTGCTGCCTTGCCTTGTTGGAATATAATCCGTGAGTCGCAGTCCTAAAAAACTTGGTTGTCATGCAAACATTACATGTGCATATGATGTTACATATAAGTATTACCTGCGTTATTTACCCAGCATAAATGCATGTACGGGCTACAAATTCTGTTCTAAATATATACATTGATGCAACACATAAAAGCAATATATTTGGAATCAAGTAGAAATTATTTGTGCCAAGGCCACAAGACGCATGGTCGTGCAATTCATGTGTGCGTAGAAAGGTTTAGTTCGTTAGGAACAATTATAGCACATCTTCAATGTGCTCTCTCTCTCTCTCTCTCTCTCTCTCTCTCTCTCTCTCTCTCTCTATATATATATATATATATATATATATAATACTAAACGCAGTGAGGAAGTAGTCTTTCAAAGATCAGTGACACAGACTTCATAATGAGATTGAGTTGTAATGTCAGGGAAAAGTTCCGCAATAACAGTGTTATTGAAGCGCGGCTGATGCGGGCGCACAGCGGCCATACACAGAATGCAAATGCAGTAGGCGAAACACGATCCTTCGTCTATGTGACTCGGAGAAAATGACACGGGGCATCTGAGGTGGAGTAAGTGATTCAGCTCATCACATACAACGTAAACGAGCTACTGGACGAGCTCTTGATTTGACGCCAGCACGTACTTGTATGTTAGTGTATAGACTGTTTGGCTACAAGCGTTGCCATCTATCGAAGGTATCCTATGTGCGTGCGATATTGTTGTTTAATCAGCGTTCCTCCAAATGATAGATCACGCAAGCACTGGGAGATAGATTTGTTGCACCTTAATTAAAAGCACCGGTATCTGGCGTTAAGTAGGCACCTCCAGACAAGACTCGTGGCGTGGATTAATGACGGTTTTAGTCAGTGTAACAACATGCAGTGTTTATGCAGAAATATCTTAAGTGCCGGCGACACCAGGAAGCACTCGACCTCGGGAGAGTTTGAAGATTTGGACATGGACATAAAAACGGAAGGTGAGAACGCAGCACCTAAAAACTGCTACAGATTGGTGATTGTTGGCACCGCAAGAGCTGGAAAAACATCGATAGTTTCCAGATTTCTCAACGATAAGTTTGAGGAGAAATACACACCTACGATAGAAAATTTCCATCGGAAAGTGTATAGAATCCGAGGAGAAGCATACCGACTTGACATCCTTGATACGTCTGGGAACGACCCATTCCCGGCTATGCGAAGACTTTCTCTACTCTCTGGTAAGTGGAACAGAATAACATGTAAACTGTTAAAAATAATTTTTGCTGCTAGGCTGCCTATTATATTCATCGCTTAATGTTGATAATCGAATCGCATGATTCCAGCAAGGCTCGGAATAACAGCAGTCTACAGTTATTATTGACAAGGCAATAACTGCTTCGCAAGATAATTGTGATGCTGATATAATATAAACATTATTAGTTATCCCGTTATCTTTGTCCTTCTATTTATTCATTTACAAATTTTATATATAATATTTGAGTGCCTGATGTGGAATTCATCGATTTATAGTATTTATGGGAAAAAATCACGTCCGGCAAGTGTCATTTGAGTATCCATTCCATAAAAACCCAATAAGAAAATGTCTTTTATAGATTGGTGACTTTCAAAGAAATCTAAACAGCAAAAATACCAAAGAGCGTTGGTAATCTATCGATCATTCTAAGAATCCAGGCTTCTTTTTCCCCACTTTTTCTGCTTCTTATTTTCGCCAAACAACACTTTTGAGGCTGTGAAACAAACCCGGGAAAACAAATCCCTAGCGATCCAAGTTATCTCACTTTATAATGGATGAATAGAAAGCCTGGCAGTCTTTCATTTTAAAGGCAAGATATGTTTGGGCTAGCACGGAGTTTTAGATTAGTACCATACATGTACTGTTTGCGTGTACGGTTGAATATGCATTTTCTCTGTCAGAGGCCGGCTGGTTGATGACGTACATGTAGTTGTGCACTTTAAGCATTGAGCAGAAATGTGAACAATCACTGAATTGCCAGTGAAATATCTGTGACTATCTAGTGAAAAATTATATCCATGGCACTGGTAGAGGGAAGAAAATGCTTTAGGCTGACAGACATGTCTTGCCAGCGAAGCTCTTGTCAATTAACACTTATATCAACTATATTTTGGAAGAAAAACAGAATTGACAGATGCTCCACATCAATTAAGTCAAATCCCATTGCGTGTCCGTTAAAATTTATGTTCTTGGAAAACTTAAGTCGTTTACTTTTTGTACAAGCTAGTATAAGACTATATGGTGCCATTTCAGTCTTTGTCAACATATTATTTCATCAAAGCTGATGCTACTTCCAGAGGTCTGGCGGTAGGGAAATTTGATAAAAGTAGTGCCATTATTTAATAATTCAGTGGAAACATTTACATTGCTATTTTCCGAATTGACTGGTGATATCTACATGTGTCATACCAAAATGTGTATTTTACCTAAATAGACGTGTATTAATACATGTGTACAGATGTGCATTTTAGTGATGAATGCCCAATCACGTTAAGGCAGGCGAGTTTAACAAAGCATGTACTAACATCCGTTAATGTCTGATTATTGGCTTTATTTTGGTAATCAGCTGCTATGACTTGGGTGTGACTCTTTGCTTGATGATGCTTGATGAAGGAACTTTGGACAGGGGAAACTCAGCAATCTGGTGTCCCCGTGGGGCTATAAAATTTAGTTATCACTAGAATAATTGATTCTTTCCATTAGCAAGATAACATTGCTCTCACTGTAACCTTTAAATGAATGCATGAGTATGTTGAATCAATTCAGCAAATTACATTGATGGAATAAGTAATGACCGTATACCGCATAATCTTGGAAATACAATGAAAATGTTGCCATTAATGAAAAGCAGATAAATAAAATACTCTCAAATCACTCTTAAGAACAGACACATATCAAACGTCATTGATATGCGCCTCCATTGTTTCTCGAAAGCCGACAGACATTAGTCATTATCAACTGATTTGATTCATACGGTTCCAGAAGTAACAGTGAAAGAGATTTGTCCAGACGGGTAATATCAAAATTGATTCTTCTCTAGACTTTGCGGTATTCTATTTTATGCAGCTTAGGCTCCTAACAGAGGTAGTGAATACCATACTTTTTGGAGAGAAATAGTACGCTGTGGCTTGATTTTATTTTTAGAAACATATCGGGCAATATTTTGGTAGGCTCTTAATAAGCCGCCATTTATGAATGATTTTACATTCATTAGACTTAACTGGCACGCTATATTTGAACGCATTGCAACATACGTTGAATCTAGATCTGTCATCTGCTTATACAAACAAAAAGCGACCTTCACAATCAACCTCAAATAAGTAATCTGAATCCGCTTAAACTGTGATTTTAATCAATGTTTGGCTTTAAAACGTGATAGTTGATGACACAAAAATGTTCTTTCGTGTTTTTGTGGCTTATCTGTAGTTAAGCATTGGCAATAAGACTAGAGCCTTATTAAGGATTCTGGCTACCCATAGTAAAGCAGGCAACATATTTACTACGTCAAATTCATATTACTTTACGTGGTCAGTTACATTTTAGCTTAATTTTTAAACGACAGAGACAGTGATGTGTGAGAAAAAAACCAAGTGAGCATTTTGATTGATTGACATGACATGACTTTTGTTTTATTTGTCTAACATTACACTGGATTAGCTTCAAAAGACAAAACAGGAAGTCGTGCTGAAAAAAAAACTTAAGCGGAGAAATAGAGTAAAGAATCTGTCGGAAATCAATATTCATCCAGACAACGCAAACGTGTAGGTTTTTGAAGGTTTTGAAATAATGAAAACTGTGAAAATCACACTGATGTGAACGCAACAAAGCTTAAAGGAATAACAATTACAATAAAAACCTCGTAAACAACTCATAGAAATATCATAAATTCCATATCATTTAACCACCAACACAGCGCTTATAACAATTATTCTGGAATCTGTGCTTGCCATCAGACCACGTAGACCTTCATAGATGGGCATACCTCCGTATACACAGTATATCTCCTAAGAGATTATTACTAAAAAACCAAAACAAAGGACTAACTTTGAATGTCCGAATGGATTCATTGACCATTGGTTAGTTTGGAAAATCGTCGTTTGCCCTACCAGGAAAATCCGTTTTTGGCAAAAAAAAAAAAAAAAAAGTTGTTATTCCTTTAAATACGGTTTTAACCTGCGTTGACGACTTTTCCGCCATCAATTTAGCCCATTTTTCCTTTTGATTTAGTTCTGCCACAAGTTAATAAAGATGCAATATGCTAGTAAGACAGACAGGTACAACCAATGTTATCCATGTTAACCGTACAGTATGATAGCCTTTAAATAATTCCACGTCTTGTATCTTACAGGAGATATTTTCATAATCGTATTCAGCGTGGATAATATGGAATCATTTGAAGAGGCCAAGCGGCTTAGAGATCAGATTCAGGAAGTGAAGTCCTTCTGTCCACCCGGTTCCAAAAAATTCCGACACATCCCAATGGTCCTGGTCGGTAACAAACTAGATCGTGCCGACCACCATAGGGCAGTGAACTCGATGGAAGTGAACAGATACATTGAGTCACAATCTGGGTGTGCATACGTTGAAGCATCGGCCAAAAAGGACTGGAATATTGAAGACATCTTTCTCAAGCTTTTCATAATGGCTGATCTCCCGACAGAAATGAGTCCTTCGCTCCACAGGAAAGTGCACCCGTCTTACGTTGGGAAAACGACAGCGAAGTCCACAACAAGGTGCGGGCCAATCTCTTTAAGAAGACGCTTAAGCGACGCCTGTGGCACTGTTACCAGTGTTAGACGTCCAAGTATTAGAACCGATCTTTTGATATTGCAGACAAAATCACGCGTTCCGCCCGAAGTTACTAATACTTCGGATGCAGAAGCGACTGGTGTCAAATGTGTGATTCAATAGTATTTGTTATATTCAGACTTTTGATTTTTGAGTCACATATAAATGTATATTGTCCAGCAATCTAAACGTCGCCTGTGCTGTCTTATTATTAAACACTTTTATTAATCAAAATACTGATTCTTCAGAAATATATACGTTATTCATTCATTCACTGAAATAGTATATCGCTTTTCTGACATCCTTATATCATATATGTTGTAATTTAATGACCATTCTAATTGAACATCGATGTGTTTTTCGACATAAGTAATTATTATAAAAAATACTGGCGCCTGTTATCAATTTGAACATTGTACGTTCAATGGTCTGAGCACATGATAGCGTGTAAGTAAGACAAGAGGTTTATGCAGACTGGAGTCCTATAGGTGTACTGCTTGTCATAGGACTGTTAATTGGAATCTGGATAGTTGGAAACAATACAGAACAACGTATTCTCTTTTTCCAGGCGCAATTTCAAGACCATGTATTTGTTGCAATGTAGGTTCAGGCATGATTGCCATGACATTCTTTGTGTCTTCGCTTTTCGATTAGGTCTTGTGTTTTAGTTTCCTTTTTTGAATTTTGATAATTTGAATTGTTTGATTTCATAGTTCCGTAATGTTCACTTTTAATATGAATATTGGTAAAGTGTATGGATTTTGCATATAGCTTTTTTGTTGCTTCTCGTTTTGCTTTCAAAGTATTACGAAAGTAGAGTTGAATAATTGCATTGGCTATACCCAAAATGCCAAAAACATTTCAACGTTTCAACTATCATTTAACTGATGTAAGATTTTCTTATTTATCATTTGATACCAGAAATTGCAAGCATCGCATTTAAAAAAAACCAGTGAAGCAGCTGAGAAATAATGATGACTTTTTGGCACGGGGATAACTGGCTTTGTGGGTCTATCTCGGGATTATGTTATACAAAATATCGCCAAAGTAAGAATATTGGTGCTTTTGTGAAATAAAAAACGCAATATCCATCTGTTTCTTATGAAGCATTTATAAATATTTTTTATCTCAAGTAAATGCAGGTATGTAAGTATATCATGATAGAAATACATTCCCCCGATTCACGTTGACTGGCACATTGTATGACAAAAGGCAAGCCATCGAAGAAAAAAATCCAATCTAAATTGCAACTTCGAGCATTTCCTGAATCGAGCTAGCAGGAAATTCTAAACGTCGAACTGGGATGGAAAACACCAGCATCTACGCCAGACTTCAATGTGCTTGTAAAACAAAGGAGCATTATTTATTCAATATTGTTCAGCGGCATTTGATATTTTCAATGCTATAAATTGCAGGCGACGGCAACTCGACTATGACCAGGTGGAGGGAAGAGTCCACGCAATTGTCGCCCTTTCCGTTTGGAAAACCCTCGGTCTGCCACTTAGCCGTAGGCCCTATACCGTGACTTTTATTTCAAACACATCTGTCTGACCCCCATCCCTGAGGCCTAATTTATGTAAAACATTCAGCTGTCTTAATGCAAAATAAGACTATAGGTTAGAGACTGAGTCCCAGCGACATTCCCTTAAAGTAATTTAAACAAGGTGCAGGTGCAGGCAATCGTCTAAAAGCTTCAGATTCTATGCTGCGTCTGTGCAATTAAATGGCACGAGGTAAAAGTTATCTAGGGTACAAGCTCCAAGCGTCCAGGCTCCTTGCTGACTGGGATTAAAAATCGATATTTAATGGTTGACATAGATTTGAATTTTTGGTACCATGCTGGGAACTTCCCAGATGACAGAACGTGAAACCACAATAATGTGTGGAAGAATCAACTGATTTTGAGTACATAGACATCAACAAATATGTAGAGAGACCCCAATTGGGATGCTGAGTCGATGACATTTACTTTCGTTCTCTGAAGGTTAATATTCCTTTAGCTCAACGAGCACTAATATGGTTATAATTAAAGATTCACATTGTGTAAAGACAAGACATAATACCATACAGGACACGGGTTGAAAAAAAACTGAAGTGAATAGATGAAATATGAAATTATTTTGATTTTTACAGGAACGAATTAAGCGGCAACGTGGCGTTTCACGTAATGTACGCGATTTAAGGGTACCGTTCTTGAAAAGTATTGTGCATACTTGGGAGCATGATTCTCATTTTTTCTAACGGACCATCTTTTCAGCTGTGTCTCATTTCTCGAACATTATTCCTATTGCATGTTGAATTATATTCGGGAATTTTTCCCTAAAAGCCATTTGTGTTAACATACCATTTTATGAACGGTAATGGGAAGGTGATATTGCCTCGTTTAATGCATCTTTAATAATTACTACAATTTAATAAAGCCTGGAACTAGTAGCTACTATGGCACCGTCCATATATTTGTTCACCAAATGCAAATTCAGCCTTTCAATAAATGTTTCAACACAAAAGAAAAAAAGATCACCGAAATTTGCTCATTGTCGTCGTTAAACAAATATATGAAGAAGACGGCAAGCGATTTGTCTTTCCACGAGGAATGCATCACCATTTATTGATTGTTACATGTACAAGGCAGTATGAAGAATCATTAGTCCAATCCTACTGTGTCACTGAATCACCTGGCACGTCAACCATACTACCGATGTTGAGACACGCACAGAGCTTTTACCTCCCAGGCAAGGGAAATATTTGCACACAGCCTCGGGAGAACCATTTAAACAGTGCGAAAAAGCCAACCCTACTTAAGCTTGTGTATGCATTTCCCAGGACCCTGGAGCTGCACGGCGGTGCCTAGTACCCCCCCTTGGGCTTGTAAGCAAAGAAGAGAGCAAGGTTAATTACATGTCCACAGAGAAAAGAAATGCGAAGAAAACTAACATGATGAAACTGAGTGTTACCTTGCGTGAGGAGGTGAACTCAAAATGAATTCTTTTCCTGTGTGTTCATATGATTTAACTTACGTGCCCAATAACCATGTACTGATTGTTACCCACTGGGCAATCATCCTGTGGATAAAGTAATGTTTACTAAACACTGGCTACTTATTTTTGTCTCTGATATTGCTCTCCAGTGGCGAAAAAAGGCTGCTATCATAATGATAACTGTCCAGTGGATAACAATTTTATCCAGAGGATAGTGTTATCCAGGTATCCATAGCATAGCGCTATCCGGTGTCGATGAACTTGGCCAACGATTAACGTCTTTTTCTCAAAAAAGATATAAATCACGCCCAAGAGAAAAGTAATTTTGATGAAATTGGATAGAACTTTAAAACCACGCGGTATTTTGTTGTCTTCATAAATCAATGTTGTAACCTTTCTAAAGATAATGATGTAACGTTCATGTTCTGTAGATGCTTTTTAGATCTATTCATAATACTTATACGATTTGACACAATGGAGCAGATCGAAGGGAAAGTAGGTGCAAAGATTTGGTTGTCAAGTGCGCAGGGAACAAGGAGTTAAAATACATGTGAGTTCACCCGTTTGGCAATGAAAATACGACGTAAATGTTCTATTGCCACATAGTTATTGTTTTATAATAGTCACAGATACATTTCGACAACTTGTGACGTCAGTCCAGACTGATGAAGATGTCAGTATTTAAAACATTGGAACGCATCTGTAAGTATTATAAGATATTTGTTTGCGACAAAAGAACATTCGTGACACAATTCCAGTTACTTGTCATCATAGAAGTAGAGAAATGTTGTCATGAAGCGAAATAGAAGGAACGTCCCTGTGATTACCACACTCTTTTAATTTGTACAACTTTTTTGCAATAATGGTGGAGTTGTCTTCCACATCAACAAAGAACTATGCAAAAATATAAAATATTAATGCACATCTCATCACGATTTAGGCTTTTGCATCCCCCGTACATGTGCTATAATTTAACCATTTATTTATAGGCAAAAATATATGTTATAATTGTAATGTTTGAAAGAAAACAAACAAATCATCTCACGAACGTAATTCTATTTTCTGAATCAAATTAANAAGCAAATATATGAAGAAGACGGCAAGCGATTTGTCTTTCCACGAGGAATGCATCACCATTTATTGATTGGTACATGTACAAGGCAGTATGAAGAATCATTAGTCCAATCCTACTGTGTCACTGAATCACCTGGCACGTCAACCATACTACCGATGTTGAGACACGCACAGAGCTTTTACCTCCCAGGCAAGGGAAATATTTGCACACAGCCTCGGGAGAACCATTTAAACAGTGCGAAAAAGCCAACCCTACTCAAGCTTGTGTATGCATTTCCCAGGACCCTGGAGCTGCACAGCGGTGCCTAGTACCCCCCCTTGGGCTTGTAAGCAAAGAAGAGAGCAAGGTTAATTACATGTCCACAGAGAAAAGAAATGCGAAGAAAACTAACATGATGAAACTGAGTGTTACCTTGCGTGAGGAGGTGAACTCAAAATGAATTCTTTTCCTGTGTGTTCATATGATTTAACTTACGTGCCCAATAACCATGTACTGATTGTTACCCACTGGGCAATCATCCTGTGGATAAAGTAATGTTTACTAAACACTGGCTACTTATTTTTGTCTCTGATATTGCTCTCCAGTGGCGAAAAAAGGCTGCTATCATAATGATAACTGTCCAGTGGATAACAATTTTATCCAGAGGATAGTGTTATCCAGGTATCCATAGCATAGCGCTATCCGGTGTCGATGAACTTGGCCAACGATTAACGTCTTTTTCTCAAAAAAGATATAAATCACGCCCAAGAGAAAAGTAATTTTGATGAAATTGGATAGAACTTTAAAACCACGCGGTATTTTGTTGTCTTCATAAATCAATGTTGTAACCTTTCTAAAGATAATGATGTAACGTTCATGTTCTGTAGATGCTTTTTAGATCTATTCATAATACTTATACGATTTGACACAATGGAGCAGATCGAAGGGAAAGTAGGTGCAAAGATTTGGTTGTCAAGTGCGCAGGGAACAAGGAGTTAAAATACATGTGAGTTCACCCGTTTGGCAATGAAAATACGACGTAAATGTTCTATTGCCACATAGTTATTGTTTTATAATAGTCACAGATACATTTCGACAACTTGTGACGTCAGTCCAGACTGATGAAGATGTCAGTATTTAAAACATTGGAACGCATCTGTAAGTATTATAAGATATTTGTTTGCGACAAAAGAACATTCGTGACACAATTCCAGTTACTTGTCATCATAGAAGTAGAGAAATGTTGTCATGAAGCGAAATAGAAGGAACGTCCCTGTGATTACCACACTCTTTTAATTTGTACAACTTTTTTGCAATAATGGTGGAGTTGTCTTCCACATCAACAAAGAACTATGCAAAAATATAAAATATTAATGCACATCTCATCACGATTTAGGCTTTTGCATCCCCCGTACATGTGCTATAATTTAACCATTTATTTATAGGCAAAAATATATGTTATAATTGTAATGTTTGAAAGAAAACAAACAAATCATCTCACGAACGTAATTCTATTTTCTGAATCAAATTAACAAGATTAGCAATATTCAAAGCCCCTTTAACTTAATCACGAAATACTTCTTCATTGCAAAACTAAACTACATGTACGTATTTTTCTTTCGCAGTAAATTTTTGGCCACGCAAAAAGATAGATAAAGAATATGCATCTCTTTGAGTCACGCAAACGGTCCAGTTCGAAAGTTGTATTGTCCTGCATATTGTGGCCTGTTTGACTTCTTTCTTGATCTCAAGTTCATTACTTTTTGAGCAGTTTTTGAATACGTAACGTTCCTGTGGAATTCCCATCCGACCTGCTCTTTCAGTTTCTGCTGCATTTCATCGTCCGTTTGGTATGGGATTTCCTGCAGCGAATAGCAATGAATGTAAATTTACTGGTACGAGTAATCATACATTACCTGTTAAGATTTATCTATAATCCACCCACTATTGATTCATTTACATATATTAAAAACTATATGGCATGTTGCTGTGTGCAGCATGCAGATGTGAGTGAGACTTGTCATTAGCGGCAGAGGGCCGTGCCTATGATGTACGTATGTACAATCCTGCAGCTTCGTTTTTCCAGTAACGTGTCATCTTTTAACTATGAGGGCGTATTCCCAATGAAACTATCGTTCTACGTAGATCGATCCAACTCCGCGGAGACTCCCGCTGAATACATTTCATTTAACAAATTAACACGCCTCCTCTTGTTTGCAACGTACTCGTATAAGCACCAGGTTTTCTGTATTCTTCTCTGATTGCATTCAGCGAGAACCCCGTGAAGTTAGATCCATCTACGTAGAACGATAATTTTAGTGGGAATGGGCCCTAAATTAAATCGACAGTTGAATTACTGAACTGCTAAGAAGTCATTTAAAACAGAAATATTGTACAAGGATTTCGCACGTAATCGTTCATAATCATTTTTGAGAGGACGTGTTTAATTTTTTAAAAACCGTTATTTCTATTTCAGAAATGAATTAAATCATTTTCTACGTACTGTTTTTCTCAAATATCGCATCATTTTCTCGTCACAATGCTCCATGAAGGCTTTCTTTGAGATCAGAATGCAGTCGGCGCCATTGGAGACGAGACTAAGACTTGGTTGTTCGGGGAAAACAAGACTGCTCACGCCCTGGTAAAAGTATTTAGAATTAAATCAGTTCACAAACCCTTACACTCTAATCATCTTTCGAATGTGCCCGTAGAGAACGCTTTTTAATGTTTTCACCATTCAATATTTTCCTTAAAAATGTCACCAAAAATGTTATGAAATAAGAAAAGGAAACGTTTTAACGTCGGCGTGCAGACACTGAGTGCACCCCCCCCCTTCTGCGTAGGTTCTTAGAAACCCTACCCGCTGTTCAATGTTTAGATCACTTAACACGGGGTTTACAGCGGAATTACGTAGAGCAACAATCAAAGCGTCTGTAGCCTGGCTTAAAAAGCTTCCTCAAGTGAAGACGGTTATCACAAAAACCTATGCCAGTACATGGCTTATGAGTACTTAGAAGTCTCATTTACACAACAGGTAAATTACATTTTAAGACCAGCATCAAAGCGAGATGAGCTGTCCCCGCAATTTCTATAGTTTACTGGTATTTTATTGCCTGTGGTTTCATCAACTGGCAATAACAATTTGATCAACACACACACAAACCACTGGTAATTGTGAAAATCATGTGTGGACGACCGAATATGTGTTCTAAACAAATTAGTCTTCATAATAATCCGTGTGTCTGTTTAGTTCGAGCGCGTGCATATTCGGTCGTCCACACATTACACGAAAGATCACACACACGTTCGTTTAAAACGATGCATTTCTCTGACGCTTCCTGAAAGAGCATTGCACTCTGTACACTTACAAAATACTGCCCCCTTTCGAGTACTTGCACCTCTATGAACTCAGGGTACAGATCTGCCTCCGTGAGCTCGTGGATCTTTACCGGTTTGTTGTCAAGGTCGTCTGCTATAGTCTTTCGTCCACTCACCAGCACGAAATTATCCTCTGCAACAAGTCATATCGATAAACGGTTCCCTTCTGGTTAAATTGATATTTCTGGTTGTAGCCACAGTATTTACATGTGCGAATGACATAGGCACACATACACACACAATCACACACACACAACACACCCACACATAATGGATTTATTTTATTTATTCCACATTCTTATGCTTATATATCTTTGAACATTTATTTCCTCTTAACATTCCCTTCAATATCTTTGTACCTACCTTTGTATTTAACATGCTCCTCTACATTTTTCTTACGCTTCCTTGATTGAGAAAAATATACACCCTAGAAATACAATACATACAATATTGAATAGTAAACCGAATAGGTTGCAAATGTTGAACACCCCATTTACTGGATAGCTTCATATTCGATGATTTTGCGTCATTCTCTTCCTTTTTTTAAAATCTATCTATTAATCTTAAATTGAAGATATTTAGTAAGTTAAGTTTAAACAGACTTCATGACGAGACAACATGACATGACAATCGATCGATAGTGCCATACAATATGACAAGAATTATCAGATCAGAAGAAAATCAAGAACATCCTCCTTCCATTTAACTCAATATTCTAAATCCATAGACATGACACAAAGAAAAAATACTTCACACCTTTACTGTCATCCACTTTACCTACCTTTGTTGTTGGACCTATTTCCGGCAGTTTCACAATTTCGTTTTCCGTAATTTGAACTTGAGCTTCTGGCGAGCCAGCGCTGCTCGGTGCGGATGGCGTTCTTGTCTGGTTAATAATTGGTAGACGTAGAACATTGTCGTTGGCTTCCTCCAGCTCTGTCTCCTCGTCAATATTATGCTTTTCATACTCTTGAATCACAGTGTCGTAATCTATAAGACCCATTCGGTCGTCCTTGTTGTACAATCCGGGTAAAGTCTTCCCCTAAAAAATGTGAATACCATACTGTATGTGAAAAAGAGCGCTCTTTTCGTGAAAAAAGGAATTAACTGAAGCTTTAGAAATCAAAATCACAATGTTAAAATTAATTTGTGCGATTTGCAAAAGATGCTAAGATAGGTTTGCGATTTATTATCATCATTATTGGTGCAAGGACAGAACTATTGTAAAAATATCTAGAAACTTTCAAATTCTCTACAAATAAGTGTTAAAACACATTCATATTGATGTACGAGGGATTTATGGCTAATAAAATTAAGATATGTGTAACAGAATAAAAACTGACCGAAGATCCATAAATGAAACCATGTGGAAATTGTACGGATAGTCTCATAAGTTGTTTAAACAAAAGTGGGATAAAGTAGTAATAATTGAGGGGTTTATAAAATATTAAGCACACGATACATGAATACATGAAATTTTTGTTGGTAATACAGATCGCGTCAAAAACTATTCCATCTTATCCCTTTGGGCCTAATCCGGAACAACTGGTAACAGGGACTTAGTGTCATATTAAGTTCAGGCAGCGGGGTTTAATATACTCGGATTGTACGAAATCAATGCCACAAGAACTTTATTACACTCTTCCTAGAAACCCAGTTGTCATAGTTCTTAGGTGTATCACATGCTGCGTTGACAGCTAATGGTAAACACATTAATGTATTGATTATAGGCGAAACACAAAGATGATACCTTAGAATAGAATTAGATCTTAGAATAGGCAGTTAAATGACTATGTTGACTTCTTTTGTTTACGGAAGAGCTTGCAAGTAGCTGCATAAGTCCTATAGCTCCAATGACGAACATTCAACAACAAAACTAGTAAGGTCCGGTAATGCTGTTTTATAATTATTCACGGAAATACACAGCACTACCAAATAACATGTCCAATATCAGGTGTTGTATGCATATGTAATGTAGCAGTGCAAAACGTGAAGAATTCTAAAAAGAGCGGGATATAATTATCGAAAGAGATACCATGATAGGCCCATTTCTTGCGATTATATTATATTATATTATATTATATTATATTATATTATATTATATTATGCCTACACACAAAATGAAAGGTTTTCCCGACAGAAACTTACCAAATCACGTGTTGAAATTGGTACTTCCCCTTTTTCATCTAGATTATCGAGACTTTTCGTTTTGCTCTTTTTTCGTTGTCTAGGGCTAGAGATCTTTGTGAGGGATGAACTGGACGCTTTATCTGAGACATTGTCTGAAAGAAAGGATAAACAAGGTGGGTATAAGCCAGAGAAAAATTTTAGTCAAAACTGAATTTCGGAAAACTGTTTTTGGTATTCTCAAGCAACAGTGTGCGGCGAGATGGCACTCATGCAGTCTGAAGGCAATCATGAACTACATGGGTATAACGTATGTATATTGGCATTTTGCGTGCATTTCTCCTGATCTGTTATTCGCCTTCAATAGAGCGTAGTACTTGAAGTGTTACAGCGTAAAAAATGAGCTTTACTTCTGAAACGCTGATTTGACAATCGGCCCTTGTACCTGTACGAGCTTCACCGAACGTATTGATTTATTGTCTCTCTGAAGAGAATTTTCAACATTAGGCCTACCTTTTTCATCCTCAGGATTTTTCCTTTTCCTGTCCACTCTGCGGAGCTTCTTTAGCACTGATACGCTCCCCTGCAGTGGAAAAATGCCTTCCATTGTTGCAATACATGTACAAAGCAAATTAATTTTTATGCACGGTAGCACACGTCACTAATGTATCTGAGAGACACAATGATTTCACGACAGTACGCTTCCTCTCATCCCGAGCACTTGGGTTCAGTCGTCTCCGTCACTACTCTGAAACTCAAGTGTCTTTTTGCTTGATTGACTGAATCAGTCGTACTGTTTTTCGTAACTTATCGTCAATATAAGTTTATTAATATGGGAACACAAACCCAGCTATCTTGTCACGTTGGGACCATGTGGCTGTCACGTTGCTGCCAACCATAACATGGTCCCAACATAGCGTACTTGCTGGGAGACCTCAATACGTCGAAAGTGGCAAGCCTCTTTTTTTTAATCTTACATTTCTCTGGCTCGTCCATTTAACAAAATGTTTGATCATATATTATATGAAAATATCAAAACCAAATCTTACCGACTTTACTATATATATCCAGTCCGAATAACTGCTGTCCCTCACCAACACTTGACCACGACTGAATGATAAACAGGATAAACGTTTGAAGTCATTTCAAATTTGTACCTTGTGCATTTTATTACCGTACCAAAAACAAAAATGTACAACATTCTGATTGCTGGGACATACACAGTAGTTTAACTGTGGAAGAAGAACCAAATTCACAACCTATGCCACGTGTTCAGGCATCTGTCAACAGTATAGCCGTGTTCCAATACTATTTTTAATCAGCACGGACAAAAGTTCATCTATTCTAGGCAAATTCATTTTATAGCAAATAAACAGTCAATAATTATTTCATCAATATCATGAAAAATATGCCCCAGGGATTCTAAGCAATTCTTGTATTTGTCAACAAAGCCTTCGAAAGTTCACTGAAAGTGCGTTTTATGTGCATAAACTCAATCACCTACCAAGAAAATAACACTTGCCTTCTCCTTAACAATAAAGTTGCTACATTTATCAATCCAGGTAAGTGGTAGAAATCAAGAGATACTTCAGGTGTGTTTACGGTAAACCATTAAGGCATCACGGGCTCTCTTCAAGTGAATGAATGCTGTAGTGAAGTGGCTGAGATCGACTCTATTAACGCACTGCTATGCAAACAGCAAAAGAGCCGCTTACCTGAAGAAGTGGAAAACGCAAGCTTCCTGGGCTAGTTTATCTAATGGATACATGCGAAGAAATGGGACACTTCTGAAATACAAAACAGTATTTTAGAAGGATATTTTGAATAATGACAGCAAGAACCATTAAAACAGTGCGATAAGAGAAAGGAAAGCCAGTAAATAAATATATTCCTTGGAGGGATTTAGTAAAGCACATCCTTAGATTTTCACCCTCACGCCATAAATAACAACAGGGACTTGAATACAACTATAAAGAAGACTTAATATTTACTGTACTAAGAAAGTCCTTAAGCGATTTGAAGAACCGAAGAAATACTTTACCGTATTATCTTCGTACATTACCTCAAAAATTTATTATGATCGGGATCATTGACATTCTTCATTCCTCCTGACATGAATATTTCTTCAAAATCCTAAAAGAGAAATGGCTTTCAATCTGTGTATTTCGGTTCCATATGTCTCTGAACAGTGGATTGGGATAGGCCTATGTGCCAAAAGACTATACAGGCAGCAGATATGTTAACGATTTTCAGTATTTCAAATAATATCAGGTGCGTTCTAGTTTTTAACCCTCTACATGTATGAGCTACATTGAAAGGCAATAATGTGTTCATGCGTTAGTGGTACACTGGTCCTCGATACCCTTTACCACGGCCACAGATTGACTTTTTATAGAATATTCACAAATATGTCTTTAGATAAATAGACGGTCATTTTACTATCTCTGGTTTTTCCCATTTTTCCCTATATAATCTGCCACCCTGGTAGAGGTTAGGTCCTAGACACACGCGGTGGTGGGCGTGGGTTGACGCAGTTAAAAGAATACATTTATATCTGGTCTTCCGAAACGAGCCGTGCTTACCTCGAGAGATATGCATAATAATTCGACGGCTGTCTTGCTGACAACAGTAGCTTGTCGAATACTTCTGCTGATGAGGGCGAGCTCCTGGAAAACCAGAAATTATTTTTTCAATTGCGCGAGTTGTCATACATGTACACAAAGGATTTTGATACATTTTTACGTGTAGTTATCATTTATATAATATCCGTTTGAGAAATGTTAAGGAACTTGGATTATTACCCCAAACTCCATTCCTCTGTGTAAAAAGCAGATGGTCCTTGGAACATGGGAGTTTTCCTCCAGTACCGTTATCACAACTAAAACACAAAAGGAAATATGAATATATAGATGCTAGGGAAGATATCAATTACCTTAACGACACGCAAAATCCAAAACATTTTAGTGAATTAGCAACTTGTGAAGATAACAACAGTTATTACACCAAAAGGTGACAAAATCAATGCATTTACGACACCGTTGTTAACCTTTCTGCAATTGCCTTGGATTTAATATTGCTGTTATTGGAAAAATGATACCATAGAACTCACTTAACCTTTACATAAGTCTACTGGGATCCTTATAAATCGCCATCATCAGAAAAATTACCTGTTCCTGATAAAATAAAGTAGAAGGCTGAAGGCGGGTGTCCTTGGCGAACGATTGCACGTTTACTTTCATACCTGAAATGTGCAAGAATGCTTAATTAACAAGTTATTTACGTCTCAGAGAAAACCGGGTTCTTTAGTTCTTTGAGGTTGGGGGAGGGTATGATAGAAATACACTATACACATAAATCTCTGACGAAATGCACCAACAACCCTTTCCCGTTTCAAAGTTCTATGTACATCTTTACAAATAAATATGCAAAATTTGTCGAAAAGGATAAACCTTTTACCCTTTCTGTTACGTTTTGCAATCCAAAATCCTTTTCACAGGCATCTAAATCGTTACCGGTGAAAAAAGACAGAAGTCTATTTCAGGGAAATATTCAAATGTGGACGCCACACTCTGAAATAGGTAGATTTACTCTTTCAACTGCGTAAGTCAATGTTTGTCACCACTATTCAAAGAGATTTCACACTGCATAATCCTTGACGACACTCACCCTTCATACCAGCTTACAGAACACATTCTCTTCTGCATTCTGATGGGGTATTCACTGAACGATTTGATGGTGCGTAACATTATCAGAAGCTAAAAAAAAAAAACAAGATTCCTTTCTATTAAACTGAGCGATATTCATATGCCTTGTAATCTATAGCTGTTATTTTTATTTTGGCCATACTGGGCAGTGTACAGAATAATAATTTAGTTTGAAATTGAAGAAATTGCTTATGTCTTACACTGTACATTAGTAACCATGTATTGGCACTGCAGTTACTTTGAAATTAATATTTCAATTCCCATTTAAAATAGACTAAAACTATGGAAATCTATTCTAAACTGTGGAAATATACACTACATATGCCCTTTTATAGAAAGGCATTTTATTTTGGAACTAAGAAATACCAATATTTTTGTTTTGTTTTGAAATACGTGTGTACACTCACATATTTCAGCTCCTTTTCTGTCCTTCTCTCTGGTTGTTTTTGGAGTATTCTTTTAGCCTCCTGTGGAATCCTTTCCTACAATGATGTTGTGCTTTGTGATATTATCCTTTATAACTATTATTATTATTATTATTATTATTATTATTATTATTATTATTATTATTATTATTAATAACAGTAGTAGTGAAAGAAGTAATAGTATTTTATCAGGCAGGCAAGGGAATCTATATCGTATCTTTATCGCAGCATCCATATTTTAAAGTATTATTACATTTTAAAGATATGTACCTGCACCCAGGAAAATCTAGAAAGAATCATTCAATTCGTCCCAGTTGGTTTTCTCATTCGTGACGTAATTTGTGTTCATCTCAATTTAATAAAAATTTAAACAAGCGGGGGCTAAGAAACAAAAGTGACAGCGCTGTTTAAGGTAATTTTTCTTACCGCCTGTTTGACTTTAAAATAAGAAAGGTCAAATAGTAATTCCTGGCCGTCCACTGTCTGGTTCGGCTGGTCATGGTACTGAGCCAGGGACAAGAATTCGTCTTTTCTTTCCTCGGCTCTGAATTAAAATGTACTCGTATGAAGGTGAAAGAATTATGATTTGCACTGGAGTGTTTCTTACATTTGGTAATAAAATAATTAACAATATGTTGGGCCATATAAGGAAGATTTTTTATGTATTGTCTCACGGGGAAACTTTTCTTCTCGATTAAGTTGGAAGGTTTGTATATAAACATAGGAAAATTTATCAATTAATTAATTATAAAATTTATATGAAATCAATAAGGGGCACAGGCCTCCTAGATTCACCTACACATTTACTACACTTACCTCTGATATGAAAACCTGCACCAGCTAATACAGACTAGGATCACTCTTGCGATTCGTCGAAATTTCTCTAATGGATGACCCTGGATACAAATGAAATCTTTATTCATTGCATAAAAAGTGTTACTTCTATATTTCATAAGCCAGAGTCACTATCGTGACAGCATTTTTGATAGGATTATATTTCTTTTAATGCACATAGTCATTAGACGTTGGAACACCTTGTAGAGACCTACTGGGGAAATTTTCACCTTAGTTATCTTAGTAATGCGTTCTTGTTTACTATTTTATGCTCAATATTTGAACGTGCATGCTACATGTATTACATTAACTAAGACTTTCCTTCGTGATCAAAAGATGGAATGAAATATGCTCAGTGACTCGAAAAATTTTCTGCGGTCATGTATTACACCACAAAAAATAGTGATAAGATCAATAATAAACCACACAAAATGTAGGAAAAATATCAAAGATATCCCAATGCTCAAATTTGGCCATGAATAACTCACATCTCTGTTGTATCGCATAAACTTGAGAATCTGCCGTGACATTTTGAAGATGGCTGGCATTGAGGAGTTGGATTGGGAGGACTGTCGTCTGCCTCCCAGACTGTCAGACCTCTGTGGTTTACCATCTTTAGTTACAGGACTACTGGAATGACGCGTCGACCGCCCAGAATCCATTGAACTCATTGAATTATTCAGGGACGACTTTCGAGGAAACATGACAGCGAGTGATGAAGACTTTGGTATTGTGTGATTATTAAAAATCCAGTTATTATACTACCAAACAGGCACAACCTGTGCTAAATACATTGAACAGGTTTCGAAATTATCATTTTCCTTCACCCGTCATGATACAAAAATATGCGTCTGTTGTAAATAGAAGTAACCATGATAATAACTTTTCCCAAGGTGTTCATCAGAAGACGGCAGCGTCAGCATTTATAAAATCCAGGCTTAAAAGTTTCCCATGGCCTCAGACACGAATCTCGTGGTATTCTCCTATTACTCAGAGGCGCTTTTTAAATTCCAAAATATCCATTTTCCAACTGCCATCGAAGAAGGTGCTGAAACTGGACCTTTCCCACTCCGTTTGACCCAGATGTTTGACCGTAACCATCGGAAATATTGAGACAATATTTACCAGTATTCTCAACATCACTTGTGGCAGTGAGTGGGCATTAACCCGGGAGTACCCATTGTGTTTGTATAAACATATATCGCTTCATATGTGTGTACCTTGCTATAATCTTATGTCAATCTTTCCGTCCATACACCTGCTTTGAAAATTTTGTTGGGCAAACGACGCCTTTGTTTGCGGTTCAAATTACTGGCAACTCTCCCTTACATGGTTCAGTCTCTATTTTTTTAATTATCTGTTACAACCCCGATGCTTTTTAATCTTTCAGAAGGTTAAATTCCCGTTATGATAGCTGCTTATCAATTTAATTAAACTACGAGTATCTCAATCACAGCATGAGAGCCACAGTGGACGTGCCAGTATTTATGAATCGTTTTAGGCTGAAACGCGTTTTATCTATTTTTTCAAGACATACTTGGCTTTTTTTTTTTTTTTTTTGATGTTTTCTGTGTGCTATTTGTTACATATAAACTGTGTGACAATAATCGTTCCGTTTTACTAATCTTATTTTGTTTGAGCATTTTAACAGAAAGAACTGGCTGCCTTTCAAAATCTTTATGAAAAAACCCAGCTGGAACGTTCTTCAGAAGGGGTACTAGTATACTCGAAGTCCTTGCGTCATGAAACCACTCCAAATTTTGATCATATCGTATGGCAGTCATTGTTTGGCAACGATTGAAAATGGTTGGAGTATAGCCTCCTTTAGCGGCAAAGAATTGCTTCTCAGATGTCAGGCATTGTTTGACAATTCGTATGATGCTTCTGAATGGGGCACATTGACACATTACGTGGAACGGAAATAAAGTCAAGGTAGTTTTCCGGCAAACCTTGATGATATTTTCATAACTCCATTAAGTGTGGTGCTAAAAGCAGTGTTAAAAGCCTATGCATCATTACACTCAGTGCGACATAATAAATGAAATTAAAGGCGAGATATTGGTATCTAAGCACATTCTTATACAAGAACGCGCAAAGCTCAACTCAAAAATAGAGGAACCCAGCCTATCAAAGTAAAATATAAATAAACAAAGCCCACTCCTCGGGCCCAAAATTCCAAAACAAAAGAACAGATGCCATTGCTCACCTTTTTTCTGGCAGACCTTTGCCATACAGCTCTGTACTGACTGTAGCACCTGTAGCCAGTTGGGACGTGCGACGTTGCTGTCGCCGTAACGCAAAACCCAGCGTTCATTTTAACTCATTTCTCACAGATTCTACATTTTAAGTCGCCATCCGAATCATCTTTAAAATCTTAGACATCTCATTCGTGTTTGGTTGTCTTTAAACTGATGCTTGAATACCTCTGCAAATTGTTGTCAGTATTTGGTATAAACTTATGTATGGATTGTAATAGCTAGTAACTCCTGTCATTTTATCTTGAAAAAGGGGACTAAGTCAACACGGTTGTCATCTGAAATCAGTGCCGTTGTCAAGACTTAAATCAAAGGAAGATTAAGTTTAAGCATCAACACTACAATGTATACGCAGTAAAATCTAAAGACAAAAACGTAACGAAATTGAGAACAGGTAATTTCATATCCCCAAAGAGAACAAAAGGCTTGACTAAATTAAAGTCAAGTAGATTTATATCCCGAAAATTAAGATGAATGATGAAATTCCGAGATGCCCCCACGAGAAATTTAATAAGCTTAATACGCGATAATCCGAAGTAAACGTCGTTATCAGAGAAGTTGTCTCCCTAGGCGTAATGGGTTTAATGCTTCTGTGTAATTTCGCATGAACTCAAATAAATACAAAATATGACACTAAGGATATACCTTTTGTTATTGCTATTTGAGGGATCATTAAGATAGAGAGAAAGGGGATCAGGGAAGAGGGGGAGCAGGTAACTCTTTAGGTCTTTATTTATAAATTATAGGCCCCGCCAGATCTTTCAATTACGTTGAAGTTTTGCTTTGACGTCTATCCTGTTGTTTGTTTGGTCCTACTTAAAAAGGATAATTCTTTGGATAGATCCTTTAGATAATTCAATACAGATGACTATATTTGGCTGAAAGCAGCACGAATCGCGAGCATAGCGAACTACCAGTATAAAGAAGGCATCACCTTGTCAGTGTCAACACTACCTTCCAAATCTAAATAATCGTTATGTTGCTGTGGGATGAAATGGAGCGTAAATGAAATGTACACACTAAATAAAACACCGAGAACCAAATGAAGGGCTGCTATTTATCCATCAAAACGTGTGTCAATATATTGCTAAAAGGGGCACATGATTAAAATGGAGCTTCTATTGGAGCTCAAGCGAGCTGACAATAGACAAGTGTGTTGTTTTACTTACTAAACGCTCGTCATTGACAACTTCAATATTATCATACTGTTGGCTGAAGGCCTTCTAGCCTCTCATTATACGTTAGGGCTTTATTTAACTATTTGCTGGGTGTGGAGGGTAAAAAAACCATAAGCACTGTTTGACAACCGACGACTCAGATGCCAGGTCCTTAAACATGTACATCACGGTGCGTTTCGGTGGTAAGTATTCCATTTTCAATAATTCTCCTTTGTGGTGCTCTACATACATGTAATTTTTTTCTTTGTGGTCTGCGGTTCTTTTCTTAATAACAAAATTCATGATCAGTCAAGTCGGATTCTGCCATTTTTGCCGGTTTTTTTTCGTGCTATTGGATATAACTACCTTCCATCACTTTTATCAACCGTGTTTCCAACATAGATTTTAGTAACTGATAACATAACCTTAAATTGTGTGCATTGACTTTGCGTGATATGTTGTTCTTAATGCAAATCACGTTTTTATATTACAGACCAGGAACAAGCACTATTCAACCCGCACTGTCGCATTATATCACTGGTGAATGAGATTAAAGCCAAGTGTCGATGCGAAGACGGTACCTCAGTCTTTTCTTTTGACAAGCAATACATTCAATCTTATCATGACATTCAACTGACTCGAGATATCACGAACAGATTTGAATTTCTTTTGAATTGCCTTATGTTATGACTGCCGTGACGCCATTACAAGTAAAAAAAATTGATAAATAAAATTTGAAAAATAAATAAATAATTAGAATACAACATATATAATCACATTGTGCATATTTATCTCAAATAATGCCTAAAACATAACCAACACATTCATCCTTCAAGATTTTGATATTTAAAGGCGAAATGTGTCCTTTCTAGTTGACATAGACCTGTGTGATGAGTCTGGGAACGTGAAGCACCTGGGGCACCAGGCACAGTTTAAGTTTGCCAGCGACCTTCTTGTTGACAGAGAAACCTACATTTTAATAAAAGTGGAAAGTGAGTAGCTTTTTATTATCAAATTCATTTTTTGTAATTAATTTGCATATTTTTTTAAAATAAGAAAATCTGGGAAGAAAAGGGTAATGATAAGAAAGGGGGAATAAACACAGACCATTCAAACAGTAATTTAACACTGCCCAGCATCAATGTTGAATTCTTGCACACTCATTCCAAGTTGTTGAAATGAGACAGTTCAAACGTCTGCTTCTCATAACTAGTCGGGAAAACAAATCGCATTGTTTATTTAGTACCTTCGCGTATTTTTGTTTAATCAGTACATAAAATTGTGCAGGTGCAACGAAGTCTACCAGCTGGGGCAAGCAATTTGTGCATGAACAGTTTCTAAGATTATTTTACTTTTCATGCTGAGAATAAAGACACATTATAAATACCCTCTACCAGGGCCGCAATTATTATTGTGGACATTTTTGCTGAGGCACAGTACAGAGATAAGCCATCTTTTTAACCAGAGACATATCTGTTAATATCTAGTAAAAAATCAATCCGTGGCCCTGGTAGAGGGTATATTATAGACACGTTTTCAGATATTATCATATATAGAAAGCATCCCCTCAGAATCCTTTACGACTGACAATATCAGAGTCCCATAAATTATCCCCATTGTCCTATAATACTCTAGGTAAGCATCCCCTAATCCACTTCCTTGACATTAAACAGTTTACGAAACGTGAATGACAAAACCCTCTCATTGACATTTTAGGAAAAGATGGCGACCCCCAGTATCTTCCACTTCTGCAAGCAGACGACGAGACGCTCTCGGAAGCGTTTTTCGCACGCCTCTCCAGCAAGGACGACGAGTTGAAGGTGTATGGGAGGCGAGGGCGTGCGGCGTCTCGAGACGTCAGGCGTGGGTCGAAGGAATACCTTAAACTTAAGCAGCTTGGTGACAAAAGCAGCGTGAAATCTAAGTCTCCTACGCAAACCAGGACCAAGTCAAGACAAAGCAGTAAATAGATGAAAGTACATCGATACAAAGGACCTGGGCCTTTTACATCGACTGAAGTTGGTTATTCTATTACAACGCCATGTAAAATGCTACGCATCATTTTTCATTTTCTTTTTAGAATTTTTAAAATGCAAGATCTTATGCTTACGTATACAGAACTGACGCAAGCCAGACTTTCAGCGTTAAGTTGCCTCATTACTTGACAAAAATAACTCTTGCTCAAAACTATTAAAAAATAAACTACGCAATTGAAAAACAGAAAAAGTATGCCTATTTTCATATATTAATAATCAAGGGAGATGCTTTTATGATTTAAGTATGAGCACCACGTCAAATATCAACCCAAGGTTGATTGTACTCGTTGGATACACATTTCTCGTTACGTTAAAATCACATTACCATCTGCCATTTTTACACTTAAAAAGGTAGTCTTGCTCTCTAAATGCTCTGGAATTTGGCCATACAACACCCTAACCATAGAAAAACAACACAGAGACCGTTTATATTTAAAATTCATTTCCCATTTCAGAGTATCCAAATTTTTTACAAAAAGTGAGCTACAAAATGTACAATCGTTTAATTTTCCAACTCATCTAATCATAACTTGTAACATCCATTTTGAGTTGAGTGTATTCAACCTAAATAATTCATCTATGCAGATGTTTAAGCGTATGCTGTAGTTTGGTGATATTGTCATCCAGATTGGACAAGCCCATCCTAAATGCCTCGTCATCAGCAGATGTCCAGGTGGCAGCACTTGACGTGACAGACTGCAAGTCTGAGATGGTGCTCAGGGACGTGTCCAGTGCTGTGCCTTTATATACAGACTGCTGCTGAGGCACATTAAACTGTGCCTGTGTTCCAGACAGTCCTGGGGTCACAGAGTTCATCTCTAATTTCACTGTCTGCCCTCCCATTGGCCTATCTCCAAGTACTAACTGTAAATTATGGTTTGGGTATTTATTGAAATAATCAGTCACGCTGTATCTGGATCTCTCCTTCTCGTGCCTGGCTAAGATTTCACTGGTAATCACGGGAGGAGAGACTTGTCGGTATGGCGATCCTTCTTCATTCTCGATAATTTCTTGACTGTGCCTTGTGCTTTTTACACCACTATCTGCTGATAAGTTCATGGCTTCATCCTCTGATATTAATGTCTGGTCATGATCATTTGTGATTAAATTCTCATCTTTGTCTGGAACTTTCTGCCCAAAAACAGAATCCCCCTTTTTAATTGATTTCTGTGCCTGATAGAAGTCATTGTATTGATGTAAACTGTCAGCACTAGCATTTTGACTTCTCTGCAGTGTTCTCTCTGTTTGCCTAGAGGTTAAGTCTCTCTCTGGTCTATTATGCGATGGAGCATGCCTGTAACAAAAGTACACAGGTGTTATTGATGTGGAAGAGATATCTCAGATATTTCACGAGACAATTATCTTCATTTTTCTGAAATGGTCCCAATTTATTTTACACAGAAAAGTGTAACATCCTCCTTAAAAGAATACTACAGAAAATACCTTCCACTAATTAGCAAGAATAACAACGATGGTCACGTGCCAAAATCAATTTCAGTCACTTTGTAATCATCCCAGCTTAGGACAACTTATTGTCACTGCCCTGAGTGAACTTACCTGAAACCTGAAGTCTGCAAATCCTGCAATAGTGTCCCCATGCTCTGCTGCAATCCTCTGCAAAGAAAAAATTGCAAAATTAACTTTCTTTAACTAAAAATGTTAAAATAAAATAATAATAATAAAGGGAAATTAAATGTACAACAATGACTTAACAATATTATAAGTCTGAGCACTCACAATACTTCTTTATCTACACTAAGACATTGTTAAACAAAAGTGCGATTGGTTTATCAATACTGAAAGAAAAAATTTCAGTAATAATAATAGGAATTTTTTTTGTTGGGGGGGGGGAGAGGGGGGGGGAGGTTCTCCTTCTATTTAAAACAAATGACTAGGCCTACCTCACTAAATCCTGTAGTTTATCAATCTCTTGGTCTCTTTCCTGCAATGTAATTCCCAGAATGTGGTTCTCACTCTCCTTGGCTGCCACATCTCCCAGCAGTGTCTTGTGTTCAGTTTTCAGTTGGGCTATTTCAGCTCTCAGTCTGTTGGAGGCTTGGAGCTCATCCTTGTGACTATCTATCCCATCTGTGGCCTACGGCATGAATTAATAGGCATCTTATTTTATTGTGTATTCAGTATCATTACTGTCTAATATCATAACAGGGGGAAGTCAACTTACAATTATGCAATGATAGACATCATGTACAATAGATCTTAGTAAAAACATGCACTAAAAATGGGAAGGGGGGGGGGGCATCAACTGAAAAATTTGTACCTTGTCTCCCAAAACATCAATCATCTCCATCTTTTCTCTCCTGCATTTCTCCAGCTCATCCTTTAGCTCAGACACCTCTGTCTGAAGTCTGATCACTGCAGCTTTTGATTCCTTTAACTGTTTTTCCAGTGAAAACTTTACTGCTTGTAGATGAACCACTGTAAGAAAATATAACTGCGCTATGCCACATCTAACACACTCCACTTGCTCTCTGGCCCAGATGCTCCAAGAAACAAGAGGCACACTTAATGTATTAGGACACACTTAATGTATTATGCAAAATCCTGCCATGAACTCCAATAAAAATTTTGAGTTAGCAGATTACACTATGGTTGTTTACATGAAATTTGATACTGTATTAATGCAGAGAGATCAATGTCATAAACTGAAATGATACATTTACACACCCTCATAGTCGACAATCTCCTTCTCTGGTACTCCATGCTTGGTCCTCTGCAGTTCTCTCAGCTGTTGATTCACAATCCTCAACTGTCTAATTAAAATAAATTAAATAAATACATAAATAAATAAATAAATAGAATAAAATGAAAAAATAATAATCAAGGCCCTCTGATAAAGTCAAAGCATAATACATAGAAAACATGTTTAGTGTCTTTTAAAATATACTTTTTAGTACCAAAATAAATGTTTATTTTTCAATATCTTCACACACCCGTTTGATCAAAAATATATTCTGACCATTTCTGCACCTAAGAATCCAATTCAGTAATTGTATAACCTTTAGTCCTTCTAACGAAAACAAAAAGAAATAATCCTCGAATTGTCCAAATAACTAGAAGATTTGTTTAAAACTAAAAAAAAATATTATAGATTTTCTTTATCCAGTTCAGGTTTCTATCGGCACAAAACAGACTATACCTTCTCAACTGGCAGTTTTCACTCCTTAGTGGCTGCATGGCAAGATCTACACTAACTTGGGATGGATGGGCAGAATCCACTGACAACTTCCTTACCATTTTTGCAATTTCCTCAAGTAGCCGTCTTGCTTCAGTGTCACCTGTAATTAAAAGAAGTTCATTGTAACTTATCTGGCCATTAGTAATTTCATACTGTATATATATTTACTAAAAGCTGAAAAGGATAACAATTATATATGTGATGTTATTGCAGAACCAATCCAGTTTAATGTGCAAATATTCGGGTAAAGGTAGCAAAGACGAGAGGCAAGTGTAATAAAAACTTACCAGACATATCTGCAACTGCCTTAGACTCTTTTAACAGATACTTTAATGTCTTCCAATCCTTACTTTCTTGAGGGCTTCTAGCATGCAGACCGCTAACATGTGCAACTGACCCATGGTCATTTTCTTTGTTTTCCCCAGTGATACTAGCCCCTTGAGCTGGTATTGAGACATCATGTGTACTCCCAGGTTGGGGTATCTGAGGCAAAACACTGCCTCTGGCATGATTATGTAAATTGTCTGTTAGCCTTTCTGGTATCTCCTGAAGCCTTTGGTGTAAGTAGTTTGGTCTGCTCTCCATGCCATCTGTAGAATCTCTGTACTGCACATTTTCTCTGTCTCTTTGTGGTATCCTCTCCATGTATCTATTACCATCTTCATGTGTCATTCTCTCCGTGTAACTTCCATTGGTTACATGTGGTGGTTTTTCCATGATCTTTTCACTCTTACTCCTAGGTCCATACTGCTCACTTGGGTTGCCTGTCTGGACTTGCTGCTGCTGTTGTAGTAGACCATTTTCATGTGTAATGTACTGTTCTCCTGATGGCACATGTACCTGTATTCTGGGTTGTCTCTGTGGTTCTTCGTCAAAATCTATAGGGTCAGGTGTGGAAGACACCAGTCTTTGGTTGAAAGGAGGTTTACCAACAGCTGCTGATTTGGTGTCCAGTCCTGGAGTAAAAAAAAAAAAAAAAAGAAAAAATAATAACATCATAATACAAAACAAACTGTCATGAACTTTCCTTTCACATAAAAATGTACTTGTCTATGAGGAATAGGTTTTCAGGGGGAGAGAAGTTATAAAACTAATTTTTAAAAAATGAAATTGAAGGAGTCAACATTAAAACACAGACAATTGAGGCTTGTGAATCACCAGCTAGGAAAACAATGGAGGGTTACAAAAGCCAGTAAAATTTGTGCCTTTCTTAAGTTTATTTATGTCAACATATCGTATGCCTCAAAAAATAATAGAAAGGAAATGATACTAGATTAAAAACTTTCTCTATAATTATCAACTTCCACTTTGGTCATTTTTCTACAAATGACTTTCTTTAGTATCAATGCTTTCTCTGACGGTTACTGACTTTTTTCTCACATACCATTGACAGTTTTCGCACTTTGTCCTGGATTAACATTTGTTTGCTTCGCAAATGTTTGACGTCCTATTTCAGGTTTTGTTTGTGACATGGCTACCTTTTTGCCTACATGAGATTGTTTAATCCTGTTTCTTTCAGAAGGGCCTGTAAAGAGAATAAAGTATACATCATCCTATAACATTGTTCAATACTGTCATTGCAAATTAAGAATATGTACCATATTTGTGTCTTTTACAATTTAAACCAAAAGGGACATCTTCATGACTGTTTTTTTTATATATATAAGAAAACAACATACTTTTATGTATTTCACTCAATATAATGATTAGAATATGAGCACAACACAGTTGTAGTCTACCCAACTGGAAGTATTTTGATCCCAAAAGCAATGTTTTTAAACTGCTGATTAAGGCATATGACAGTTTTGGGTGTCAAGATTCCAATAAACAATCTCATTCTCACCTGAATCTTTCTCCAGCATAACTGATAGTAGTTTTGCACACCTTTGAAGATCTTTATTAGCTAGAGTGACTTGGTCCTCTGACTCTGTGGAGTAGAGTGAATAAGCATCTTCATTCCCCATGTTTTTCTTTTCTGGCTGAACCTTCCTAAAAAGTTTCAAGTATTAGTTCAGGTATACATTTGGGATATTTTGGAGCTGGGAACTCAATACTATAATAGAGTACTTGTGAGTTCAATCCAGGATAATCTTGAACTGCCTTCTTTCTGCTAAAAGTCAATACACAGTTATCTCAATAAGATATTAGCAGGTCTTTTAAACTGGGCTTTAAAAAGAGACACATATCTAAATACATTAATATAATCCATGACATTGTCTTAAAGACTTAATTTTTGGTTTGCAAACTTACCTCCTTTTCTCCATAGAACTTATAGAAGTTGTAGGTTTTGTCTTCTTACTTGTTTTGGAGTGGCTCTAAAACAAATATTATTCAACAAATCATATGCCAGAATACTTATATTGGACCTTGCTTTTGACACGTCTTGTTTCTCAAAACAAGTTATAGAACTTTTTATAGTAGTTGATAGTATTGCAGAACCGTTGTTATGCTTAATTGCACTGAGTGATGATTGCCTATGTTTCTATATTTCTTTGACAGAAAACCTGTGAAGCAAACATGCACCTGTTACTGAGACTATCACAGCTGCAATGACCTGTTCTGACCATGGACCCATAAAAATACCCAATTTCAAAGAAAGTTTACTTCTTAAAGATGCATACAAAGTCAATTTTTTGTCACAAAAACCAACCAAATGCCAACATATAGTTTGAAGTAGTATAACTAAGAGAATTACCAAAAGGCATTGTTTATTTTACCTGAAAATGATGTTTGCATGGATTTTTCTGCTAGCAATCTATGCTGTATGTCAATGGGGCAGAAAAGTAGGTCACGAAAGTAGGTTAAATTTCTGACCAAAAATTTAAAAAAGGAGCAGCCTAAGACCGCATTCACATCGAGTTGAGCCAGGCTTTACAAATCCTGGGACTAAATAAGGCGGACGTACATATAAGAAAAACCACCTAATCTTTTAATAGTCTCTCCGCCTCTCACACGCCTCCCCATGCATCGTCCCTGGGGGGGTACAGTCATTAAATCTCAGCTCCATTGGGACGACACATGGGAAGGGGTGTGAGAGGCAGGGAGACTATTAAAAGATAAGGCGGTTTTTCTTTCATGTACGTCCGCCATATTTAGTCCCAGGATTTGTAAAGCCTGGCTCAACTCGTTGTGAATGCGGTCTAAAGCTCTTATATGGCTGATTGGCGAGTGATCTATTCAGTTTATCCCTTGGCATGTCGAAATTTATTTGAGTTGTATAAGAAACTAGTAGAAGTGGTTTCCATGTGTTACTGGGAATCCACATTCCACCGATGCTCGGTTCGTATGTACCTTTAAATCAATTTTTTAAGTCAGCTTAGGTTAAATGCTAATATCTATAAGAATGCACTCAGACAGGAAGGTTTAAATACCTGTTTTCCACTTGTCACTTTTTTGGTCGGTCTGGCAAACATAATGGTGAAGGTATCATACGAGATTTAATCCTGAAATTCAATTCAATGGGTAATAAAATGTCAAAAATCGAACATATTAGATTTCAACCCCAAGTTATAACTACTATAAATGTTAAATCTGTTCAGCTAATAAGTGTCTTGAGAAATATTTAGTCTTCGACTTACAAAGTTCTAGAGCCGGGTGAAAGCTAGTAAGTGGCAATGGTTTGAGGATACTTATTAAAACATTACACACATTATTCGTGACAAATTTTAAAACACGTATTGATATTTTAAAAAACTACCAACTCAAAAAATTAGACTTAATTAGAGTTGAATACCTACCTGTAAGGCTAAAAACTTGACACATCTTTAGTCAGTTTCCAAATCTATCGCAAGCCTCGTTGTGACAGTACAGGCTCGCTTGCGCGCTGTAAATTTGGTCAGCATGTGTTATTAGACGTGTAGTTTTATGAGAACAAAAATACAAATGATGCCACTTTCCTCACTCAGACAGAAACAGATCAGTTAATTACAGGATTTCCTTGTGCTTTTCCCTTAAATACGAATTTCTTAAAATTAAAGTGGCATTTTATGACAGAAGACTTAACTCATTCTACACACGCATTGTTTTACTTCCGGAATAACAAAGACAGGAGCACATCACCCTACAACATGGATGAGCAGCTCAAAATTCTGCAGTCGGTAACTGTCACTGCTTAGCATTGCATTCTTTTTTATCTTCTGCGCTTCTGCTTGTTTAAGTCTTTTTATGAGCTTTAGATGCCAAGATTTCTGTTTACACTTTTCAGCTGATACAGAAACTTAATTCTTAGTACGATCAGCTGATTGCTTCCGTTTTCGGCCTTACATGCTAGCCACACTCGGCTGTCAAGTTGATTCAGTTGATAATCCACTAAGGTGACAGTCGAGCGTGACGGTAGCGGTAGGTATATACATGCACTGCCATTAAGTACCTACCTAGTACATGTAGTAGCATGTAAGGCAAAAAGCTGAGGCAAAACAGCTGATCTTATTCTTCTAACTGGCCTGGGGTACCCAATCTTTTTATGTTTCTTCTGTACAGATGTAATTCCTCACATATGCAATGTCAGTTGCAAATAACCTGTTGCTTAATTGTGGCAAATTTGTGTGGTATAAGGTATATACCGGTAGCATGATTAGGTAACCAAACAATTACTTTAAAGGCGTATTCAGATTTAAACATCTTACTACTTGGGTTGGCCCAACTCTGCGGGGATTCTCCCTAAAGTGCAACCAAGGGGATCAGCTTAATCAGCACATGATAGTTGAATACCCCATAGCTGCTTGAGAATTCTTGTTTGACAGTGAAGCTGAATCCACTGATTGCATTTTAGCAAATTTCCCTTGCAGAGTTGGACCAACCTAGCTAGTGTGATGTGTGAATCTGAATGCAGTCTAAGGATGCATTCCCATATATTTTAGATTGATCTATCCCCATGGAGAGTCTCACTAGATTACTGTCAGATAACCCGGCTTCGATGTCCGTCCCGCCTACTACAAGCTATAAGGGGGTAATTAACTTTTGTGCCCGCTCGGCTGACAGCTATTTAGCGTGAACCCCCGGGGAGTTAGGTCAATCTAGTTGGATCAATCTAATCTCTGGGAATGGGGTCTAAGATACATGCTCTAAGATACATACATTCCTTCTTCAGAACACTGTTTATTTGACTTGCTTCTTCAGATTGGTGTGTTGCAAAAACCAAATATTAGAATAAGAGATCCAGCAAGAACTGAAAAAGTTTTACAAAAGCTGATTCAAGATGGAAAACAGAAATTACAGGTATTGTACTTTTTTACAATTTTTTATGTACAGACACAGATGTGTCTGTACATATAGCCATCATCTGCGTCTGTCGTCGCCGTCGTCGCTGTCGCCGTCGCCGTCGCCGTGCACTNTTAAATACATTAATCTAATCCATGACATTGTCTTAAAGACTTAATTTCTGGTTTGCAAACTTACCTCCTTTTCTCCACAGAACTTATAGAAGTTGTAGGTTTTGTCTTTTTACTTGTTTTGGAGTGGCTCTAAAACAAATATTATTCAACAAATCATATGGCAGAATACTTATATTGGACCTTGCTTTTGACACGTCTTGTTTCTCAAAACTAGTTATAGAACTTTTTATAGTAGTTGATAGTATTGCAGAACTGTTGTTATGCTTAATTGCACTGAGTGATGATTGCCTATGTTTCTATATTTCTCTGACAAAAAACCTGTGAAGCAAACATGCACCTATTACTGAGACTATCACAGCTGCAATGACCTGTTCTGACCATGGACCCCATAAAAATATCCAATTTCAAAGAAAGTTTACTTCTTAAATCAATTTTTTTAAGTCAGCTTGGGTTAAATGCTAATATCTATAAAGAATGCACTCAGACAGGAAGTTTTAAATACCTGTTTTCCACAAGTCACTTTTTTGGTCGGTCTGGCAAACATAGTGGTGAAGATATCATACGAGATTTAATCCTGAAATTCAATTCAATGGGTAATAAAATGTCAAAAATCGAACATATTATATTTCAACCCCAAGTTATAACTACTATAACTGTTAAATCTGTTCAGAGAATAAGTGTCTTGAGAAATATTCAGTCTTCGACTTACAAAGTTCTAGAGTACATGTAGCTAGGTGAAACTATGAGAGGCCGGGTGAAAGCTAGTAATTCAGTGGCAATGGTTTGAGGATAGTTATTAAAACATTACACACATTACTCGTGACAAATTTTAAAACACTTAATCCGTATTGATATTTTTAAAAACTACCAACTCAAAAAATTAGACTTAATCAGAGTTGAATACCTACCTGTAAGGCTAAAAACTTGACACATCTTTAGTTAGTTTCCAAATCTAACGCAAGCCTCGTTGTGACAGTACAGGCTCGCTTGCGCGCTGTAAATTTGGTCAGTATGTGTTATTAGACGTGTAGTTTTATGAGAACAAAAATACAAATGATGCCTTTTTCCTCACTCAGACAGAAACAGATCAGTTAATTACAGTATTTCCTTGTGCTTTTCCCTTAAATACGAATTTCTTAAAATTAAAATGGCATTTTATGACAGAAGACTTAACTCATTCTACACACGCATTGTTTTACTTCCGGAATAACAAAGAGAGGAGCACATCACCCTACAACATGGATGAGCAGCTCAAAATTCTGCAGTCGGTAACTGTCACTGCTTAGCATTGCATTCTTTTTTATCTTCTGCGCTTCTGCTTGTTTAAGTCTTTTTATGAGCTATAGATGCCAAGATTTCTGTTTACACTTTTCAGCTGATACAGAAACTTAATTCTTAGTACGATCAGCTGATTGCTTCCGTTTTCGGCCTTACATGCTAGCTACACTCGGCTGTCAAGTTGATTCAAATGATTAATCCACTAAGATGACAGTCGAGCGTGACGGTAGCGGTAGGTATATACATGTACTGCCATTAAGTACCTACCTAGTACATGTAGTAGCATGTAAGGCAAAAAGCTGAGGCAAAACAGCTGATCTTATTCTTCTAACTGGCCTGGGGTACCCAATCTTTTTATGTTTCTTCTGTACAGATGTAATTCCTCACATATGCAATGTCAGTTGCAAATGACCTGTTGCGTAATTGTGGCAAATTTGTGTGGTATAAGGTATATACTGGTAGCATGATTAGGTAACCAAACAATTACTTTAAAGGCGTATTCAGATTTAAACATCTTACTACTTGGGTTGGCCCAACTCTGCGGGGATTCTCCCTAAAGTGCAACCAAGGGGATCGGCTTAATCAGCACATGATAGTTGAATACCCCATAGCTGCTTGAGAATTCTTGTTTGACAGTGAAGCTGAATCCACTGATTGCATTTTAGCAAATTTCCCTTGCAGAGTTGGACCAACCTAGCTAGTGTGATGTGTGAATCTGAATGCAGTCTAAGGATGCATTCCCATAGATTTTAGATTGATCTATCCCCATGGAGAGTCTCACTAGATTACTGTCAGATAACCCGGCTTCGATGTCCGTCCCGCCTACTACAAGCTATAAGGGGGTAATTAACTTTTGTGCCAGCTCGGCTGACAGCTATTTAGCGTGAACCCCCGGGGAGTTAGGTCAATCTAGTTGGATCGATCTAATCTCTGGGAATGGGGTCTAAGATACATGCTCTAAGATACATACATTCCTTCTTCAGAACACTGTTTATTTGACTTGCTTCTTCAGATTGGTGTGTTGCAAAAACCAAATATTAGAATAAGAGATCCAGCAAGAACTGAAAAAGTTTTACAAAAGCTGATTCAAGATGGAAAACAGAAATTACAGGTATTGTACTTTTTTACAATTTTTTCTCTTTGTTCCTCTGCCTCAATTCATTGGAATGTAAGCCATAAAATGAAAATTTAGAATACAGTGGTTTTGTCAATTGGTGCTAGTCTGTGAACTTGGTCTTATTAAAGTTTGCCTAAAACAAATACAGTAAGTAATGTCTTTAATGTTAGAAAGCAGGGGCGGATCCAGAGATATTTTCTGACAGTCTTCCAAATTATCTTTGTTGATCCATCTTCCATTTTTGACTGTCTTCCGACAGAACACATTAGATGGCTGACAATGTAAACTTGAAAATCTGACCGTCTTCCAGAAGACCCAGAAGATGGCCTAAATCTGCCCCTGGAAAGTACATTGAATTATCACCATAATGTTGTCTATACATGGCAAATTATTCATTTAAATCTTCTTTAAATTTTTATTTATTTATTTATTTTTTCAATCAGGTAGTTGCAGATTTTGATTTTACCTTAACAAAATTTTCTCACCAAGGAGAAATGTGTCCCTGTACATTTGGTGAGTTTAAGTGGCATGTTAGCCATATTTTGAATTATAAATTTGTATAAAATCAGATTACAGGGGGTATAACAGACTCATCCTTGTGTAAAATAATCATACACACACACACACACACACACACACACACACACACACACACATTAACAAGAGGACGACATATTCAAGCACTTAAGAATTTCTTAAATAGAGAAGGTGGAATGTATTGCATCCTTTTTCATTGTGCTTCTTGCATGCATTGTCTAATGGTACTTTTTGCTATGTCTTAATAACACCCCGTTTACTACAATTAATTTATCTTAAAATATTATCTTCTGAATCTTTTATGTTAGTGAAGTGCAGGATACCCAGTTATTTGACTGAATAAATGTATATATATATTTTGTTACCTTTTATCAATTCAGCNTTTTTTTTACCTTTTATCAATTCAGCTACTCTGGAGCAAAGTGGATTATTACCAGATTTTTATAATGAAGAGGTGAGTTAGCATGTATTTGAAAATGTTTGATTTTACCAAGCTAAATATTACATTTACTTCTCAACTGTTTTCAAATAAACTAACTTTGCACTAATAGATTAGACCTAAATTTTTATTGTTTGCAAGATTGAATGCACATGTATGGGCCCAAAACTTGTAAGTGATTAGAAAGATATTCAGAATTTTCCAAGGGAGACTAAGGAAGAAATTTTGTGATAGAAAAGTACAGACTTTGAGGGATAAGAAAAAACACTTGAATAATAAATATAGGTTATAAATGCATTCATTAATTTGGTTTTATTTGTATTCAGATATTTTCCATTCTAGGCCTTTCAACTTTACAAATATTATTATCCTATTGAAACCAGTCATGAGATGACAACAGAAGAAAAAATTCCTCATATGCAACAATGGCAAGTTTTTACAGCTTTTAATACCTTAAATGATAAGCTTGCCTCTCTGGCATCTAGATTATTTTTACATGTAAGTATTGTTATTTTTTATATAAGAACACAGGTTGTACATGTAATTGTGCAATGACATTTTGAAGGATGGAGCATGAAATACTGTGAAAACTAAAATAATATATGTACAATTTAAGTATGAAGTCAAATAATTCATGTAACAATAAATGTAATGATAAAAGTATCTATATGTCTTAGGTGGACAAAAGCTCAGGCACTGCTGGTTCGGTGTAACTTCAAGAAGGATTTAATTCCAAAGATGATTAAGAGATCTAAATTAAGGCTAAGGTGAGTCCAGGCTCTTCTGATATTGCAAGTCCTTTTTTTTTTATAAATAAAATTCATGTCATGCTTAACTTCTTATTGATCTGTCAAGTAATCGCAAAGTCTGTAGAAATGGTGTACTGGTAAAAAAAACCTTGGCAGTCCAATTTGGCCATGTGTGAAAAAGTGCCTAGAGATGTCATTCTTTTGTTTACTCTTTGGGCAGTGCATTCTTAATGCATTTTTTTTATGGGAGATTACATTTCAAATGAAAAAACAATGACGTCAACCTCGAAGACCACCATTTTTAACACCATTATCACAATGCAATCAAGCAGTAAATGATGTACAAACTTGAAAGTATGTCTTCTGGTTGGTGACTATCATCACTATCATATACATGTTTATTTACAGAATAATATTATAGAAATTTCTGGAATAACAAAACCAGCAGTATTTGAGATGTCAAAATTTTCTGAAGTGGGTGGCTATTTGCTGTTTATGTTTTGGGTATCTTTTAACAATCCATCCTGCAGTATAAATGATATTCATTGTTTCTTCATCTCTCTACACTGCCCCCCCCCCCCCCCCCCCCCCCCCCCCCCGATAATGATGACGATAATGATGCACCTGTGTCTGCGTCAATTGAACCAGAATATGTCAGCCTTTCTATAAATACATTTACTGGAAGATGTACAGAGGTCTTCTGCATTTACAAAAGTGCATGCTGCCACTTTTTTGTGAGAGCCAGTGGTAAAGGTGGTTGTAAGAAGTTTCTCTGCATGCAGCTTTTGCTTTATCTTGGAAATTTTAATTTAAAAAAAACTTGCAAAAGGGCTTATTTTAATGGCTTACTATATATATTTTTCAGGGATGGATGTAGCACACTGTTCAAAATATTGCACAAGAATGATATCCCACTGCTTATATTCTCAGCTGGAATTGGAGATGTGATTTTGGAATTGATAAGAGAGAAAGATGTTTTGTATGATAATATGAAGGTTGTCTCAAACTTCATAAACTTTAATGAACAGGTAAGCNTGAAGAGATACACAATGTTTCTCACATGCATTAGGTGATTTTTTTATGCTTTCAAGCTTGTTTGAAAATTAATGTGGAAAATGAACTCATCAGATTGAAAATGTTTTTAGGATCTCTGCCAAGGTTTTAAAGGGAACATGATTCACGTTTTCAACAAGAATGAAAATGCAATCCACGGTTCAGATTACTTTGAGAACCTGAGCCACAGGTCTAACATAGTTCTGATGGGTGATTCTCTTGGTGATCTTCACATGGCTGATGGTGCCTCGGATACCTCCAGTGGTCAGGAACCATGCAAACTCACAATTGGCTTTCTTAATACTAATGTAAGTTAACTGAGAGGGCTAATTATCGTGGTACTGGTGTGCCCATAATGTAGTATACTTAAGTGATATAGGCTTTACTACCTGGAGAGACTGCACTTTGAGAGACTGACAATTTTACAGCTTGGCTCTTATGTAAAAGGGTCACCTTAACACAGCCCGTTTATCAACTTCCACCCAAAAAGCAGGACACAAACTCGTGAAACCAAATCAAAACCCCCGCTTTGTCTAGGTGTCAAAGTACAGCCTCTATCACTAAATTATACTGCTTGATGTAAAAAGGGCCTTAGTGATAAGTTATCTCACTATGGTCAGAAAAAAATGTTACGCTTATATAAAATTAATAATAGCATCCTCTTCACCAGTGTATTTCTTTCACATATTTGTTATCAAAGTACTGATATTTTGTGCTTCAAGTTTGATGATTGAAAACTTTGTGGTTCTAAATTAAGTCATTTTTTGCTAGGTAGTAGATTTCTTATAAGATTTTTTTTCAAAATTAACTGTGAACTAAGGGACATTACCATGCTTGTATAGTTGTTCATTTTAATACATTTTACTTGTTTTTTATTATTGATTATTTTTCATATCCAGTGATTAAATCAATTTTGAATTTGTGTTTATTGTTACATATTTTCTTCACAAAATAGAAGTATGCACAGTGTTCTTATTTATCAGTAGAAAAGTTTTTGATGTCTTATTGGTAATAACCTTTTTTTTTCTAGGTGGAAGAACGTATTGACCAGTACCAAGCACAGTATGATATTGTGGTCATCAGTGATGAGACAATGGATGTTTGTAATGCAATCCTTCAAAAAATACTGTAATTTATTAAAATGGGACGTGTTTTAGCATGCAAAATGTGTAGCTAAAAGCTTGTTTAAAACAAATTGAATGCAAAAAATAAAATCGGTTAATTCTTCTTGTATGTGAGAAAGGACTTGAACTGTAGCTGAGGGTTAACTTGGGTTATAAGCTTGACAATTTTTTCGAACAAATTCAGTTTTAAATGCAGCTGTACTTGTATGTTTGGAAATTGTTCTTTTTTCTGTCATAGGCATGTCTAGCTGTACTTGCCAGTTTTCATTAAAACATGACTTAATTTTAGTGTTCTATTCATATTTTTGTACATGCAGTAGGGCCTACTTGTTATTAGAGTGACTTTTGTAAGTGTTTTAATTTTAGTGTAATGTTTTTGTGCACACTTGTTATCAGAGTGACTTTTATTTTTTTCATTGGTATTTGTTTATCTCAACATTTAAGTAATGCTTTATTGACAAACATTTTTAAATATTAAAAAAAATGAAGTTTCATCCAGGTACCTGTATGCACAATCAATTTACACGGTTGTTATATATGCACCATAACCTCACAAGTATGTAACATTTTTTAATGAAAATAAAAAACAAAAAACAGAAATATGATTGCTCCCTGTATTTATTGGAATAAACCTTAATATTATACCACTAACATACCAAGTTAATGTCAGTCACATTTGGTGTCGAGCATGTCCATTTTTGTCCATAAATCAAACCGCCATGAAAAAAGATTAAAAGCCCACATAATAGCTTTTCTCGCAGATGAAACCCCGCGTACTATCACAATCTGCAGTGGTGAGACGGCCGTTGGAGCGTACGTGCACGCAGTGCCCACCACCATGTGCCTCAACGGATTGGTTTACAGGAAGCCCAATTCCAGCCCAGACAAAATCACCACGTGAAATGAAGTCGTTGCCACTTGACCAATAAGCTGCATTTGGGGACTCTGAAAACAATTTAACATGCTTCAGACACTTTATCGGTAGAGAACATTGAATTGCGTTTTTTACTGGAATATAACTTTATCCGATTTGTAAAACAAAAATAACGAAATCTCATGAAATGTTACCGTAAGATAAATGACTTAAGGTCCAAATAAAAGATTCTAGAATTCTAATTAGATATAGTTATAAACGCTACCAAGATGATCTTTTCTAGAACAAAAAAATACTGAACTATGAGCGTTAGCAAAATGATAATGACGATAATAATATCCTTAGAAAATTCAACGCTTTTACTATAAACTGAGGAACACCACATACAAACCCGCTTACAAAATAATGATCATTAAGACCGTTTTTGATTTGAATGTTTCCTTTTTTGGTCACTCTCGTAATGGAGGTTTAAGCTGATGAATTTTACTCGTTACAGTAAAAGCAGATACACAGAACTCTTAAACAATTTATAGATTTTAACTTTGCAACATACCTTGGCGATTGAGGAAAATTGTTAAAATCTAAAACGACTTTTTACTATGGGTGTTCTAAATGTTTGTTTTTGCAGATTTTTTCATTTTCCTTTACTGTGTACTCCAAAGGCCAGTTTTTCTTAAAACAATGTCCGCAATTACAACACATTCACATTTCAATATTCGTTTCTTCACACACTGAAAAGACCCCGTATAAGATAACATGGGATATTATTTCTTTCGAGCAGGGCTTTTCCCAGCGAACCGTCCAGACCGTCATTTGGACGGCCGCTGACATCACCGAACGTACCAAGTCTAGTCCTAGTAATCAGGGGCGGATTTAGGCCGTCTTCTGGGTCTTCCGGAAGACGGTCAGATTTTCAAGTTTACATTGTCAGCCATCTAATGTTTTCTGTCGGAAGACGGTCAAAAATGGAGGATGGATCAACAAAGATAATTTGGAAGACTGTCAGAAAATATCTCTGGATCCGCCCCTGTTAAGTTGAATAATACTTTTCACATCTTCAGCGGGAGATCGTTCGCGATCAGTGAGAGACGAAAAGCAATTTTCATATTCGTTCAAGGGCGCCGTTAGCAGAAGATCGTCAGCAGGAGATCGTTCGCAATCCGAGCGAGACGAAAAAGCAATTTTCATATTCACTCCAAGGATCATTATCGCCCCCTAATTAATTTATATATTTTTCACATTTTATTTCTAACCCCCCCCCCCCTCCTCCCCATTCACGGTAAAGTTGGAATCCCTGAAATTTTGCAGGAAATTACAGATGGTATTATTTTGGACGGCCTGTAACCCCAATCCTGGGAAAATCTCTGCTTTCGAGAAAAATATGTGAAGGAAAAACCACGGTGCCCTATCATTTAAAAAGGATACCCATCGGACCAACCTATTGGTTTTTGAACAATCTGCACACCTATTGCTCACCTGAGTTGTCCATGAGAATCCCAAGTTCATCGTGTTCCTCTAATGAGTCTACTGACACCAGTCTGGCTCCATACCTTTCGGCACAGAACACATCTGCATCCGCCCATGACATTTCTTTCGTGATCAGCCGATGGCAGGTCTGGAGGGAATGTTGCTTTACGAAACATGCCGGACATCGTTCTATAACATAGAGCGGGTGGTAGTTTAACACAGTTGCTTGACTTTTGTTATCATGCACCCCATTTCCATAGATTAGATCGACCTATTTTAGATCGACCTAACTCCCTGGGGGTTCACGCTAAATAGCTGTCAGCCGGGCGGACACGAAAGTTAATTACCCCTTACAGCTTGTAGTAGGCGGGGACGGACACTTAAGGGGGATTATCCGACAGTAATCTAGTGAGACTCCCCGCGGTGATAGATCGATCTAAAGTTGTTTGAATAGAGCCATGGTTTTTGCTACATGATGCGTAATGCTTTGTGACATAGGATTTTATTTAAATAGACTGTTTTTTCAAGGGAACTGCTTTTTTTACAAGAGATTTACGAACTGTTACAATAGTCTAATAAATGTTTAACTTACCTTCACACTCAGCCGAATTTTCATAAACTATTTCTGGGCACTCGTCCAAAACTGTGAAAAATATTTACTAGTTAGGAACAGATATGTCTACCCGTATGTATGATATAAGGTAAGATTTAAAATAGAGTAGAGATTGGCAAGTGGATACAAATTCAGCTGGAAGGACATATCAAAATCTTAACATCACTGGTGTATTAAAAATGCCAACTACAGAATTATTCACAGAACCTCATCTTTAGTTTGTTTTCTTTTAAGCTAAGAAAAACCAGCCATATGTACTCACAGCAAAGAATATTGCCTTAAGACATTTAACAGAAACTTAATATACATGTACTGGTAACTTCACAAATGTTTGCATTTAATACCTCTAGATCTTATTCTTTAAATCAAAGGAAAAAAAATCAAATCGAATGGACTACAAAGAATATTCCATAGAAGCATGGAAATAAAAACCTACCTATAGTTTCACAGATTTTGTCAAAGAAACTTTTGTCCTCCTGCAACAAGGTATCCACACTTCCCACTGTTATCATGTTTAAGTCATGGGGTTCCGATGCTATTGCCTCCAAATTTTTCCGTTTTATTAAAAAGAAATCGATATGAAAGTTTAACATTTTCTGAGCACCGAATGAGACGTTGGGGTCAAAGTAGTGACTTTTTAATTATAACTTATTTTCAAAACAAATTAATGACAACATGGGCTAACGGTGTAAAAAGAATGTGTGTATCTGTACAATGTGTGCGTGTTTGGGAGCAAGAAAGGTTAACAATTAAAAAAAGTATAAACCTTTTGGCGTTTTGTCCCACTCCTACAACCATAATGGTGATGTTGTCTTGTTTGGCTGCATTAGCATTGGGTATAGTGAATTCTTCATCTTCATTTGGTTTTCCGTCCGTAATGACAATGGCAACCTTTGGGACGCCTTGGCGAGCGCCATTGGCAGGGTTAAAGATCTCATTTCTCATCACGTACAGGCCTCCAGATGTGTTGGTGCGCTTCCCTTGCCTGATACCGTTCTCTCCAGATAAATCCTCATCGATAAATTCTTTCATACGTTCCTTTTCTAAAGAGAGAGGATCAAATAAGCCAAAATGCTGGCCAAAGACGATGTAAATGTTAAATGCTAAGAAACAATTATATGTATATGCAGTACAGCATTTTGATCCTACAATAAAATCATTGTGGAATATTCAAATTTGAGACCAGTTTGTTACTTCACATTTTAAGAATTTTCTAATTTTAAGGTTTATTTCGCTTACCGTGAAACCTGTTAAAAAGCATGTCAGTCTGAGCAGTTAAACTGAAGTGAACGATTCCCAATTGAACTTTTTCAGGTCCAATTTCTACTGTGTCAACAAAATCCGAAACAAATCGTAACACTTGCTTGAATTTATTTTTCGGGATGCTGTTTGATGCATCCAACACGAATGCCACATCTGCCACTGGTGATGGTGTGCATACTGCAAAACACAATGTCATGCGTTTACTCAAATTGTAATTACTGCAAATTTACTTGTAGCATATACAGCATGTATGAAATATAACGCAGAATTTATCAAAACTTAATAAATATCAAACAGCAAACGAAATGTCAATGATACCAAAATTTTTGTCACAAATTTAATTTAAAAACATATCACTCACATGAAATATTTCGACTGCTCGGAACTACCCCCCCCCCCCCCCCNACGAATGCCACATCTGCCACTGGTGATGGTGTGCATACTGCAAAACACAATGTCATGCGTTTACTCAAATTGTAATTACTGCAAATTTACTTGTAGCAAATACAGCATGTATGAAATATAACGCAGAATTTATCAAAACTTAATAAATATCAAACAGCAAACGAAATGTCAATGATACCAATTTTTTTTTGTCACAAATTTAATTTAAAAACATACTACTCACATGAAATATTTCGACTGCTCGGAGCTGCCCCCCCCCCATGTGCCATCACGTGTGTCACTGAGGCTGATGAAAATGGCCAGTTGCACGTCGAAATATTACATGTGAGTGATAAGCTTTTATTAAGTTTGTGACAAAAGGGCTTTTGATCTCTATCATCAACTAAACGGCGAAACTTTTTAAAGATACCAAGGACACACAAGCTCTGCAATAACTAATCCAAAGTACTAAGTCTTTAAGGACTTATTTTACTTTTTGTCCTTTGTTTTTTTAAAGGTGTTATTTCTATTTATAAGAAAAAAATACATAAAAACTGAAAGTTATATTAACTTATAACTATTTCTTCTATCTCCAAGTAGATAGTACCTCCACGGTGATTGTTGTAAAAATAATCTTCTTTTTCTTTACAACTTTGATTTCTTTACTTCATTTATTTATTATCATTATTATTATTTTGCTACAAAAACTTTCTTACTCTGTTTGGTCCTTCTTTTCCACCTGCCCTCTGAGTAGGCGCATTGCATGAGAGCTGCAAACACAGCCACGGCTATCATAAGATATTTCATCTTGTGCTGGACAGTGGAACTTATTCAAGCTTCAGGCTGGAGACTGGCAAATGCCAGCTATTTATATAGGTTTAGCAAAACGGGTTTAAATTAATGATACCAGTGTCTTCTTTCACTTATGGTGCTGATATAATCCTCTTAATAAAAAAACACCTGTGATGAATGAATGTTTTATTATTTAAATGTCTATTTTCTCCAACAAAGGATATATATTTATTCTCTTTATAGAACCTTGCAGGCAGCTGCTGATGGAAAGTCGAATATTTTTAATCCATTTAACATACATTAAGTTGTCCAGATTCAGGTGAAATGCTCTCAGATAATCTTTTAAAAACTATCTGATGTAATATATGTGTGGGCAACCACAGAAGTAAAAAAAAAAAAAAATGNACTGAATCCTATCATTTCCTTTGCATTGGCCTATTTTAGGTTGTGTTCAGATTAAAAGTTATCAGTTCAGCAGAATTAATCTATCTCAGATATGTTGGGATTACGCTTCAGTGCACTCAATGTAATCAACGTAATTGTCTGGCCTGTCCTCTTCAGAAGCTAGGGGGTAATTATCTTTTGAAGCTTCTGGAGGGGGCGGGCCAGACAATTAAGTTGATTACATTGAGTACACTGAAGAATAATCCCAACATATCTGAGATAGATTAATCCTGCTGAACTGATAACTTTTAATCTGAACACAGCCTTGTGGGGTGAGATTTAGGCTGTAACTTCATTCATTTTAAACATCTTTTCATTTGCTTAAGATTTTTTTCGTTCCTTTGTATGGAACCATTCACATAAAATGATGTATTAGACCCCATTCCCATAGATTTTAGATCGATCTATCCCTGTGGAGAGTCTCGCTAGATTACTTTCAGCTTAGCCGACTTAAACGTCTGTCCTGCCTACTAAAAGCTGTAAGGGGGTAATTAACTGTGGTGCGCGCTCTGCTGACTGCAATTTAGCGTGAACCCCCAGGGAGTTGGGTCGATCTAAATCTAAATCTCTGGATTGATCTAAATCTCTGGGAATGAACCCTTAGAGCACATCTATTTTGTGAATATGGGCTCCATCAGTTTGGTTGACATGGAGTGCATTCCCATAGATTTTTAGATCAATCTATCCCCGTGGGGAGTCTCACTAGATAGTTGTCAGCCTGACCGGCTTAAATGTCTGTCCCGCCTACTAAAAGCTGTAAGGGGGTAATTAACTTTTGTGTGCGCTGGGCTCTTGGAACCTGACAGCAATTTAGCGTGAACTCCCAAGGAAATCTAAATCTATGGGAACCCAGTCAAAGTTCTTGTTTATCAAGAATGAAGCATGAACATTTTCAGCAACATAGAAAAAGGTGTTTTGACATCTCATAGACTACATTTCAAAATATAAAACCAACAGGCAGAATTACTGCAGTGAAGATAGGTAAAAGTAATTCTGCCTGTTGGTTTTATATTTTGTCTTGATGTTTAGATGATGTTTCTGATCAGCAATAAGTTTACTTAGTAACATTTCTTCAATTTTTTCAAGATTGAACCAGGCCACTTCTTATAAACTAGGTGTTATTAAAGATAAGGTGCTATACTTTGGTAAAACAAAATTACTACTTATTTTGTCTTTAAAATTCTGTTTGCATCTGAAGTAAGGAGTGTTCAAGAATTGAGAGTAATATATGGTCTCGACATTCTGTTTGTTAAATATTTATCAACTTTTTTGGGACATCTGTTGGATGTCTTTTGGACTTCTGTGAAATAAAAAACATTACAGTTCTTTACTTTAAACATCTTAAAGACTGCCTATGCCCCGCATTCTTCATAAATACATCCAGCCTCCAGCAAAATTATCTCTACAAATACTTCAATTGGTAATGAAGTTTTTTCTACAAATATTGTTGTCTAATTAGTTTTCAGAACACAATAAAATGTGCAAAGAACATGCCCACATCACAAAGTTGATAATCTGCTTGGTTATTTGCTTGCTTGATTAAATGCTTTAATTATTCAGACCCAGGGATTTTAGAAGATGAGATTAATTATCTGTCTCGAATGAGGTTAGCATGCATAGCAGTCTGCCAACATGTACATTTACTGGTAATTAAGTTGATGGTATACTGTACCTGTTTTATGTCTACAAATTCTGCAAACTTTAAGTTAGCTAATAAACTTTTCCAATTCAAACCTTTTAAAGTCAGTCATATTTACTATTAGAAATGGTATAAAAACATCAAATCCAAGGGAAGGCTGGAACAGTTTGAGCAATGATTTGTGAGTTGGATAAAATTGCTTCCTTTTCAGGGAGAATTTGATTTGGAGGGAAAATCCAACACATATATACACATACATCTGAGCAACCAGTCTTTTCTGTCAGTGTCTGAAAGTTCTTTGTCATTCTAATTCCCAGAACCAAATAATGGCATTTAAATTTCTAATCTAAAATCTTTTATCTCCAGAAAAGTAATGAGTAGAATAATAATGAAACAGTTATGAAGCAGTCAAATGAAAAAAATTGTAGTAAATATGTTTAGTGTTTATTCTCGTGAAAAATCTCTTGCCAGACTAGTCTGCCAAGAGAGACAGTATTGACATATTTTTTCAATGGAGAAAATTGAGTTTTACAGATACTGTATTTTTTAAAGCCATGGATTCTTTATATATATATATATATATATATAATGAATTGATCTTTTTAATGGGAAAAATATCAATATTTCAAATAAAGAATTTTGAAAACATTATATATATATATATATATATATATATATATATATATATATATGAAGCTTAACAGCACAAATTGCACAAATTCATGAAGATATAATTATCAGATCAAATTGGTTTGAGATGTATGTCAATCCTTAACACATCGTTCTTGAAAGTCACAAAATAATAGGTAACACGCTTTTCCTTTCATAGCTTATTTTTTTGTGGTGGCAGTTCATGGCAATGACAGCCATGATGGCAACGATGACGACTACAACAGGTGACAGCTATCTGTACAAACACACCTGTTCGTGTCTGTACATAAAACCTATACCCCAGGTGCAGGTGAGTGTTATTATACCCATCAATTCCAAATGTCACAATTGATTATTTCAATACCTTTTTTACAAGATTTATTATTTTAGATGTGCAAAAGAATTTTTTTTTCTTCTTTTTTTGCACATAAACTCAACCTGTTTTTCAAATTTTGGAGTCCTATTTTTTCTTTTTTTTTTTTTAAACATCAGGAAATCTTACTAGTAATTGTCATAGGAAGCAAAATGAATCAGTCTTGTTCCGCTATCATGAGTAACAAAACCACAGACACTTAATTTCCNTATATATATATATATATATATATATATATATAAAGAATCCATGGCTTTAAAAATTAAAAAATATATATATATAATGAATTGATCTTTTTAATGGGAAAAATATCAACATTTCAAATAAAGAATTTTGAAAACATTATATATATATATATATATATATATATATATATATATATATATATATATATATATATATATATAAAAGATCAATACATTACTGTACACATAATTAAGTCTCAGAATGACTGCAGTTACATCAAGCTTGTGATTTAAAAGCAAAGTTAACAAGGAAATCAATTCCTTCATTACAATTCATGATATATATAATAAATACAAGGAAATTGGCACAGAAGTGCCATTAATAGAAAATGTATGTTACATAAACATTGCATATGGCAGATAATTGTTTGAAAAAGCGAATAATACAACTTGAGCAATATGGTGTGCCTTCAGGAAGTTTGTCTCCCAGTTGAGCAATTTAAATATTGAAAAAGATTGTTTGGAAAGACACACAGATTCCAAGAATCTTATCATTCTCTTTTTCTACTTAATACATGTATGTGTGATTCTACCAGTATAACCACAGTCAAAGGCTGTAAACAACCAGTGACACCTACACTCAAATAATATCTACATTTCAGAATTATGCTGCATATAATTAAAACACATAAATCTTTTACAAAAAAAAAAAAATAAATAAAAAAATAAATAATAATAATAAATAAATAATGAAAAAAAAATAAATAAAATAAAAAAAAAGAAAAAAAAATAAAATAAAAAAGAGTTAATCTTTTTAGATTGTCATAGTATCTTTTTCAACGGCTGCAAACCATTTAAAGACAATTTTTGATTGATTTAATTTCTTGACCAATGAATAATAATAATAATTCACTTGTATTTTTAAATGTCCATGCTCATGCACTAGGCCAGTTGTAAGTGTCCCAAATTGGTCTTCAGTCAGTCCTCTAAAATGCACTGCCTTTTGCCAACTGCCGTCCATGAATAGAATTTAGAGAGCGCAACTCAACTGTAAAATAAAAAACAAGGAATATTATAACTCATCAACACCAAATATATTCAGCCAAAATGAATGAGCCAAGAAGTTCATCACTCAGTCAATTCAATGCAAAAGTCAACACATTTTCACATGCATGAAGAAAGCAGACTGAAATAACTGATTTTCAAAGAAAACACTACTAGAGGTAAGATTAGTTGTTTTTCATTTTTATTAATTGTTAATAAATTTTGGAATAACTATTAGGTCTTCTTAATGGAAGTAAAATCAAACATTAATGATGACAAAATCATCAATTTTTCATTCCAACCAGTGAACTACCATAATGCCATACTGGTGGTTATTATAAGATGACAATGATTACCTGCATTGCTTGTGTTTACTTAAATTAAATTAAGGTAGGGATCCATTTGCACCAAACACAGTTGAATCAGATACTGATTACATTTTCCATATTTATACTTTCATGTTTACTGTCAACCCTCTGATTTTATTTATTTCAAACATTGTGTTCAAACTTGTTATTTAATCATTTCTTAAAATCTAGATCACCATCTGTTAATCAGTCTGATTGCTATAAGGTTCCATGTACCACCTAAAATTTCAGTTATGCTTTAATTTCTTATGAACTAATGTATAGATGATTTAATATAATTATCCTTTATTTGATTCACATAAATCTTATGATTGACAAAACATGCTTTATTTTGAAAAAATTGCTTCCTCTGACTTAATCAAATCATGTTATTTAAAGGCACGCTTATACTCCACTACATTCATCAATTTTCAAATCAAAAACAAAACAATAAAACACCTCAATGACATCACCCATGCAATTGACATTTTTTTCAATTAACCAGTAACAAGCATTATGAACTTAAAAAGCCAACCAGTGAAACAGGACAACCAATAGTTTTGTTAAATGCTTTACCTAAAATGTGAAACATGTCTGTCGTCCTGAAGAAAGGCAGTAAAAATATGGATAAGATTAATTCAAGTGGTTTATATCATGCCTCCTATATTCATATACGGGAAACAGTTTATATAAGCAATTTCCAACACCTTGAATAGATGCTGAAATCTAAACTGAAACACAACTGAACAATTCTTATGCATTTAGAATTTTGACTGCCTAATTAATAAAAAGAGTAAAGAGATAAATGAGTGGTGACTGCTGCTTAGCTGCTGCTGTTAGATCCTACTGTATGAGTATGTATTTGTTTCTATTCAACTGCACAGTGTCTGTAAGTTCCAAAGTGATGTCTTGTACACTAAACCTATGTCTGATATATGTGTGAGGAAAGCATCATGATTAGAGCAGCTTAAGTGCAGAGCTGAAACAAGTGCATTGGTTAATATATAAAAATTCCCTGGGAACAAATCTGTGATTTGCAAATACACACTTGTGTCTGCATGGTAGCTTATTTCAGTTTCCAACATAATTATCTTGTAAATTTGTAAAGTGAACATTTCAAAAGTCATGTTAACTAAGTCTTGGGATCACAGGTTGCAGACTGTATCTTTAAATTTTAAGATAACAGCAGCATATTCATATTTTAATTGTTATTATTATTTTTATGAATGAAAACCAAATAGATTGCCAAATGTATAACAAATACCAAATCTGACATACAAGTGTGTACGGCACATGACAGTTCTCCTTGTAACAAACACATTACTCAGTATACCATTTAGACTACTAATGCTACTCCATGCTGTCAGAAATGTCTAGAGAAAGACAATGCAGATTCTGCCATTCCCATGGGATAGTGACCATCATTTGCTGAAATTCAAAGTTAATCAATTCAATCTATCTCCAGAAATCAACTACATGAAGATTAACTCAACACTTCAATGCACGGAATGCTTTTTTTTTTACTAAACTTGTCTATGATTCAAACATTGAACACCATGCAGACTGAAAATTTTAACATTAATATTTCATGTTTTCTATGTTATTCTTCTTTTCTATACATAAATTAGTGCCTGTCAGAGCAAATACTTCATATAATAGGCTAGAAATCCAAATAATATTTTCTTGTGTTAATTAATCCAAAATATTGTGTGATTGCTACAGGAGTTATTTTGTGAGCGAATTTAACTGTAATAGCCAGCAGGTACTGATCCCAAATGCTTTTGGTGAGACATTCAAACATCAACCAAATGGACTGGGCCTTTTAATATTACTTCCTATATATTCTCCAAAAAATTTGCCTTCACCATAAAGACTTAGTACTGGATGCAAGAAATACAGAAAAATAGATTTTTCCAGTTGCTATGGCAAATGCTCTCTCTAATCCTTAATTCAGTTAATTCCCATATCTAATTAAGGCTTTTCAGGTGAAAAGGATATTTCTCTAAAATTATTATTATACCAAATTCTTTCAAATAGAGATGATACTTTCCAGTTAAGCATAATGTTTAAGCATGTGAAATACATATTGAGTAAGGTGACTCAAATGTGTAAAGCACAAACAAAATACAAAATAAAAATACTTACGCGGATTTGTGGGTTTCTTCTCCTCATACCAGTACTTGTAACCTTTCTTTGCTCTTTGATTAAAAGATGTGTTCAGTATGTTTGCTTTTCTAGTACCAGGTGCTGTCATAGCTCTGAGGGTGTAGTAATGGCTGTCCATAGTGTCAGGGTAAGACAACTCCCACCCAAATGGAGGATTTCTACTGGCATCTTTCTGCTTAACAACTCCTGCAGAAAACAAAGGTAAACAAATTTTCATTATGAAATTATTTAATCAAATTAAATTCTTAATTACATTTTAAATTTAGCTATTAAGGTTTTATAGAAAATGACAAGAGAATTTCTGATATCTGCTGAACAAGATATCAATATAAACTACTGCATAATTTTCATACCATTCACCACAAGGATAAAGAAAACCAATTTATGTTTAAAAAATACACCTTGGTAACTGTTCACATGTACTGACCATCAACAAACATAATGTGGTTCCCTCCATAACCTGTAGTTTCTTTAATATGCCTCCATGGACCTCCAGCTCGGCCATAACGAAACCTGGAAACAGACATTTTTAATATACAATATGCTGTCATGTAGTGCTGCTGCTAAGTATAATGCAAACTTCTATTCAATCATGTGACTATAGATTTGAAAAGGTGTGCAAAGGAAAAAATATGTTTTTATTAAAATGAAAAAAAGGAAATATTTTAAATGCAGATGTAAGAAAAAAACTGGAAATCTGTCTTATGAGTAGAGGCTAAATTTTATGTAAGGACTGTTGACAACATGTAATGTTAAAAACCAAAAAGCTGCCCAACTTGATGTATTCTCTGATTCATAATCATCCACTTTAGGAGGTTTATCATGATGTACCTTGGGGGTCCTGTGAATGCCTCTCTCTGGCTTAATGCAGTCAACTGTTTGCTGTAACTGTTTCCATAGCTTGTATCATATGAATTTAAGTGTGGATCTCCATGGATGTTGGGGAAGAAATCTGGAATTCTTGTACTGGCTGGTCTACGGCCCTGATATACAGTTTATATCAAACCAATTAATCAAAGTGGGTCATAACTATAATTAAAATTTCAACAATTTTAATGTCTTGGTACATGTGACTTGAAACTGATTTTTGACTTACGCAATGTGCTTGAAGAATGAAGTTATTTTAATGACTTTGATTTGTTATATACAATGGCAAAATATTGACTTTTAGAACAACAAATGACAAGAAAAGAAATATGTTGAACAATGGAAATTGTCTAAATTATTGAAATGTGTCTGAGAGTAGATCACACTTCCTTTCCAAAATCAATAGTTCTCTTCAATTCCACACCACATATACAACTTGGTTCCATTAATTTGATAACCTGTAAGCCACACTTTTTCATTTGGCCGATTGCAAACTTAAGCTTGGTGATTATCTGCCAGTGAGTTTTCATCACCATCATTATCATTATAATTCATTTATTTCTTTATTTACTATTATTATTATTATTATTATTTTTTTTTTTGGGGGGGGGGGGGAGAGTCCAAGGCAAGCTATTTACTCAAACTAAGTAGCCCTGTTAAATGTTTTGCTCTTCTACTGATCAATCAATATTAATACTCACCGAGTTATAGTGACTGGCATACTCTGAACTGGTAACAACTGGATTCCAGCTCCTAAAGTCATACCAACAAAAATAAATTAATATTACTAAAGTAGCATCTATATGAAAAAATGACTGCATAAGTCATAATTATAAGTTTCAAAAGCCTTGGTCTACAGATTGTGTGAAAATTTTTGGGTGGACTCAATTTAAATCTTGTGTTAGTTCACTCAGCATTGTGCTAAGTTAAACACTCATAAAAATGTAAGGCAGAATAAACAACTGCTGGCCAATTGTCTCAATTTTGCCTCAGAGAGTAGCTAGGATACAGATGTTTTCTTTTGGCTTGTTCATATGTACCATGTATACATTTTAAAGTGCAGATCGACTTGATAATGTTTGAGCTTGGGGTTTAAGCAATTTTCACATTTTAATAATATTCACTGATAATATTCATAAAGAAAGATAAAGACTGTCAGTAAAGAAATCACATAAAACAGATGTCAGACACTCTGAATGCCCGACAATCGATTAAAATTCTTTACCCCATGGACTGAAATGTTGTTTCTTAAAACTTGATTGCCAATGTAGCATTTTCCCCTTAAACGGAACTCAGCACTACTCTAACTGTGCTCTACTAAAAATCTGTAGTGCAATTTTTTATTGTACAAACTTGAAAAGAGAAGAATTAATGATCTTCAATAATGTACAACTTCCAGGAACTCCAAATGGTCACAAATCTCTGATTTAATTGCCCTCCTAAATAAATGGCAATTTAATATTCTTAAACATAAAATAAATTTACTGCAATAAAAAATTAGGTAAATACAAAGAACATTTAAACAAATTCTGTAAAGAGCTTTTTTTTTTCAACAATCAATATTGAAAAGTCAATATCCCTTTTTGCAAATTTCATTTTTCAATGAAGCAATATAAATGACAACTAAATGGCTTTGATACTAAATAACGCTGTTCCTAAGCAGCAGGTGTTTGGTGAAGTTCGCTTCTTGAATTAGTTGTTTTTAAGTTTGTTGATCAGAAAATGACCCTTAACACAGCCTCAAATTAAGTCTTTCTTTATAATTTCTAATCCAAACAACACCTCCCCACTGCACCTGTGGCAAAGCATTCACGTCAGGTACAAGTGGACCAGGGTTCATATGGCGGAGCGCGATGCACTCACAACACGAGAAAGTTGCTTTAAATCAAAGGTTATAATAGTTCATATTTATGAAGTAAACACAGAGCAAAGTTTGTTGAAATGTACAACATTACAGCACTGTCAGGAGCCCTAGATTATGTCAGTGCTACGTACACAATTCTGACCAATAACTCTGAACTCTACTCCTGTCACATCAAATCTGTTTTTACACAAAATGGTGACAAAAAGATAAAGTGTTTATCATAAAGATCCAAAGGAAATATTATCAATAATGCTGCATTATTTTATTATTTTGATAGCTAAGATAACAGAGCATTCTTCAATGCTATGTTATTTAATGCCTTAAATGTTAGTTGGGAAAGTTTTTATTTGAACAGTTAACAAAAATAGAAAATGTTTATTCATAATTTCAAAAATGTTTATCTTTTGGATTCCACACAAATGTCTTAGTGACAAAAAATACATGGATGTGATACAGTAGTTTTGTGGGAGAAAGTCTTACAATTTTCAGATGAGCCCTCTTAAGTTAACTACAACTTCTACCTTTTTAATCTGTAGCTACTCCTGTCATTTTTCTCATCAAAACATGGAGGAAGGTTGACAAGTTAAGTGATCTTTTCTTTAAAATAACACATTATAAGCACTGGAAAGACCAATTTCTTTACGTTTGTGCCGTCTTTGAAATTTAAAGAATTCTTACAGAAAGATCACCTTTGACAACCTGAAACACCATTAACCTTCTATCAAGGTTTTTTATATCCCACAAAACATTGTAGCCTTCCAAGATGACAAAAAAGTTATAGTAAAACAACACAAACAACTACAGTCTGATCCTGTAAATAAAAGAAAATAAGAATAAATCCAGTTTCCAACAATTTACAAAAATAAAAACAAATTATAACAAGTGATAAGATTTCTTACCTGTCATACATGCCTGGCTCAAAGGAGGTGAAAGGCCGACTACTTGGCATTCTGTATGTCTCAGAAAACTTTTCCAAACCTCAATCTCAGTCTAGTTTATGTCTAGCAATCACTTATGGATGCCAAGCAAGAAAAAACTAAGATTTCTGGTTTCAGAGGTGAGTACAGAATAAATCTGTGCCCAGTGGTTTTCCTCCGGATGGTCAAGTAGAAATGAGTAGGCAGCCAAACACAGCTTGTTGTTAAGCGGACTGTGGCGTGCTAGTGCTCCCCTGTTGATCTAGACACCTATCTCACATTAAGACCCTTAAGTCTGAATAACTAAATGAACGGGCCAATGTCAGACGCTGAATACACTCTGTTGTGTACACAAAAAGAGCTCATTATGACCAATCACATCAGCCACTCAGGTGCGAGCTAGAAATGTCAATAAAACTCAATAGCAGGCTTTACACCCCATTATAAAGCATTGCCAAACCAAATAGTACCTTTAGTCAAAATCATTCGAGCAAGATTTATTAGAGCATATCAACATTAAAAGGAATCAAATTTGAGCCTTCCGACAAAATATTGTTGATAATTTACAGATAAAACACAATATGCCACAATGTAAATGTTCTGTTGTGACCCTTAGATACTGGATCTTGGAGTTTCACATGAGAGAGAATCAAATTTTCTCATTAGTTGCCAAGACGTGTTGTGAAGGTCACAAAGTCAGATAATGAGATCCCAATATCAAAGATATGAAGTGGGATAATCAATGCATAAATCAGGCATCATGAATAACAAATCAGAAAGTAATTACCCAGGTGTTCCGGTAATCCATATTATCAGACTTGATCGGAGTATATGGGAATTACCATGGCTAGCTTACGTTTATGTAAATAGCAACAATCAGCTTCTAAAATATGTCAATGAAATCGTCTAAAAATATTTCCAAATCAAGTTCACTATCTTTATCACTTTAGAGAGGAGATATATATCCTAGAGTAAATATATTTCAAAAGTTAATGTTTTGGATTGTTAATATAAATTACTTCATCGAATAATACCTAACCTCAACAATTACTTATGATAAAATATTTTTTTCTTTTTTGGCTTTTGGAAATTTTCTGGAAAACAATTTTTTTTCAAAAAATCAGAAATCCAAATGACTTTTAATAAGGGAAGTATCTATGGGAAAAAATTCAAAATATAGATGTTAAAATAAATAACATCCCATTTTGCAATATTCTCAATAAAGTAGATACCTTAAAATAGAAATGATTAATATTTATTGACAGATATATCATAAATCTTTTTTGATATATTTGGGAGGATATGAAAGATAATTATACAAGCATTATCAATCTTACAATTTTGATCATGTTAAGTGGTCAATTATACTGTATATGTGAAAAATATATGCCCCTCCCCCCCCCTCCAAAAATGTTTTTCAAAAATCACCTCAAACTAATTTATTTTGATAGCAACATCATCAATGAAACTGAGAAGATTGATATGATATTTATTCACTAATGGCAGACACAACAGAAGTTCAAGGAAACTTAAAGCAAGGGACATCTGCCTCTTGTAGTATTATAATTGGTCACTCAATTAATCATGAACTATAAAACTTCCATGTTTTACATCAAGTTTTCAGTAGAAAAGAGACTGACAAAAAGTGGTTCCATCTTGGTTCTAATTCTATAAGCATGGCTCAGTGTTTTCAATGATGGTCCACTAAAATGACACTGTCATAGAATAAGGAAAAAAACTGCTTCATCACAGGACAGTCAATTTTTTCAAACCATCTAGATTTTAGTCAATGTATTTCTTGCTATGGTTTCACTTAGTCTTTCTCTGCTATTCTCACCAGATGTCTATCTATCTCTTCCTCTGTCAAAACTCTGAAATCACGAACAAATAAATTAATTCACAACAAAACTGAAAAGACAAACAGATTTTTTAAATCAAAATACTTTTTAAAATTCATTTTGAAAAGACTCAATAGCCATAAATACTCAATCAAGACTTCCCACAACCATACCAGAATAAACATTACTTTTTCAAAACTCACCTAAATTTGGGGTGTTCTACATCAACCACACCCACTTCAATTTCAGAGGGCTTGAAGTCAATTGACAATATTGTAGAAAGACAGGTAATTGCCATCTGAAGTAAATGACATCAAATCATTATGAAAACAAATTCAGCTTCATATACATGATAAATGGATATGTTAATGTACATCACATTCTTATAAATATTTGTATGACAATACTTGAGAAATCAAAATGAGCAGTGGCTTTTACTCTTCACTCTTTTTATGCATTACATTTCTATCATGACAAAGGTTTGGATGCCTTTTTTTAAGTGTAACTATTTCATAACAACATTCCTTTACCTACAGTGCAGTATAGCTGCTTAATTGTTTATAGTATTCTTTTTTTTGTCAGTGCCACTTAGTTTATTGTAAGTGTTTTTTCATAATTCTAAACATTATGCACAGAATGTATCCAAAATAATTTGTTATTATTATAGTGCTGTTTTGATCTTACCTCCACAGTCTCATTAAAATCAAAGTCTTGTTTCTTTTTGATCTTCTTTTCTAGAAAGCTGTTGGCCTCCAATTGTTTAGCCCCAGCTGCAGTGGCCTTGTAGCCACAGTAGTAACCAGCTGGGTCTGTCTTGTATATCTGAGGTCCATTTTCATCATCATATCCAATGAGAATCATTGCTACAAGCAAGAAAAGTTTCATTTATCAAAAAGAAAAATAACTGGAATAAAATTAAAATCTAGTATAGCACTTATGGGTCTATCATCACCAAATACATGATAAATATAATACAAATAATCCAATCTTGCAGAACTTAAAAAACTGGACTTAGAGCAAACAAAACCACACCTGACCATTAATCTAAAGTAATACAGTGTCTGTATATGAAAATCCCCGAGTCAGCTAATTTACTTTCTTTTTGTAAAATGGAAAGAAAAAAATGATTTGCTGTTCTTTGTGTCACGCCAGTATCTGAATACTTCTATTTAATATACATATACATATATTTGGAAATTATATATTGCAATCTATTCATTTAGCAGGTTTAGGATAAAAATGATTGTAAAACAGATCCCCAGTTATTAAGCAATTTGTGCATGTGAGCAAAGAGAATGACCCAGTTACTATAATTATAAAACCAAATACTTACTGCAACCTAAAGGACGTACTCCTGCACTCTGGGTGTAAACTTGGTTGATATCTGCTATCCTCTTACAAAGCATATCTACTGGGATTTCATAGCCATATTTATACCTCCAGTTAGCTGCTTCATACCTTGCTCTTTGTACTTGAGATCTACTATCAGCTAAAAAAAAAAAGACAATACACATCACATTATTTTGTCTTCCATGATGTACAACGCAAGGGCTGGGTTTCAATACAAAGACAAAAGTATGCATAATGGTTAGCAACAGAAAAAGCAATGGTTTATCCACCTTGTTTTGTTGTCCTCATTTCATTTTTCAGCAATATTCTTGTTCATTGTAATAGCTAATTTACTCTATTTGTTCATATAATGTGCATCCTTGCACTTTAAATTCTTAATTATTCCCTATAATTTGTTTAAGTTGTCTGTAAGACATTCTGCCTGCCATCATATTTATTCCGTGCATTTGGATTAACCCATGTGACACACCTTAATTACAAACCATGTCTGTCATTACGATGACTATCTCTTCTTATAAGCTCACATACATCTTTGTCGCATACTGCACATTTAACTTTTCAACCATGTCCATCAATCAATGTTCACTGTGAGCTGCCACATACTGCTGTCACACCTAACACAATTTACATGACAACCATGTTAGTCAAGCTGACACTTTTCTCTGTAAGCTGGGACACAATACTGTCACACCAGACACAATTTACTTACCAACCATTCCTGTCATCACACAGCCAATGTTCTCTGTGAGCTGGTACAAATGTGTCACTGTGCTTGCATCTAAAAGTTTATCCTGAAATGCAGATTGCACAATACCAATATACAGTAGCAGCAGATAATTACTGCAACAGGTATTTTATACTGTTGAAACTTATGCATGGCACATTAATTTACAAACATTTGTCTGTACTTCCTTTATTTGAGACACATACATCTAATAATCAGATCAATTTGTTCATCAGAAGAACAAGCATAGTCTTTATTCTTTAATCTTAAATATTCAAATAAAAAAATTAAACAATTGCAACTACGTACTGGTACTTTCTTCTGGGTCACAACAACAGCACTATCCTTGCCGCGAACAGAAACTGATGTCAGGCCACCTTGGTTGATAGCTTTGAAAGCATACTCTAAAAGGAAAAGAAGCACAAAAACTTTCACTTAAATACTTCATATTGTGCAATGGCTCTCAGTTACATAAAGTACAACTAAAATTTGTCTCTGACATCATTCTAAGCTAATATCAGCACATGGTTAAATGAAGGAGGTGGAAACATGCTTGATTGCAAAAACAACTACTTCTGCTAAAAATATTAGGATGCTGAAGTCAATACAAAAATATCATCCCAATGACCTGGTTCCTTATTTTATAAAACCCATTTTATCTGAATTCTGAGTTATGACATGTCCCGTTTCAAAGAGGTAGCTGATAGCGATTGAATTCCCTTTTTACAACAAATGCTTTATTTGTTGATTTCATTTCGAAATCTCGTACAATGTACAAAGGATGAGCAGGAAGATGTAGCATGGGCTGTTAATAGAAGACAATCTTGGGGTATGACCATAAATTGCAATACAGGGCAACACAGTGCATTTCACATCCTTCTGAGACGCTAACTATTTATTATAATTTTTTCGTAACTATAATTTTTTTAAACCTAATTTTTTGCCTAATTATAACTTACATATAGAAGAATAAACATACAAAAAAATGGACCTTGTAACTTTTTTACTTTTGAAAATATTTTCATTTGAAGTGTCAAATGTCCTTCCGTAACAGCAAAAAAAATACCATGGAATGGCCCTACCCTCTGCCAGGGTGAGTGATAGATTTTTTGCAGATATTCACAGATATGTCTCTAGCTAGACAGATGGTCAAGTGGCAGTGCTAAGTGGCAGTGCCTGAGCAGTTATGCAAACGATTATCAGCCATGTAATCAGCCTTGAGATTCCTCAACAGGGTGAGTTCAGCTGTAAATGACTATCTATCTAGCTAGAGACATATCTGTGAATATCAGTAAAAAAATCTATCACTCGCCCTGGTAGAGGGTAGAATGGCCCTACACTGGAAAAAATGAGTCCAATCGCAAATGAACACAGGTAACAGTCATTCCCTTTTCTGTGTTTACCTGCAATTCCACTTGTTTTATTAATTTTTTTCTAGTGTAATGCTCTGTGTTGCGCTGTACTGCTCATTATAGTCATACCGGGCAATCTTGGTTTGAAGATGATTTGATGTCTGTATAGGTTCAGATTCCAAAGTCTGCTATTGGATTATTTTTCAGGGTGCTTAATTTCATGACCACTTAACTGGTAAACATGGATGGATAGATATTACCTTACTCACAGCTCTGTTGTTGGGAAAAGCTGGATGGCTTTACAGGAGTGTGCAGGTTGAGATGATGAGAGGTAAGATAAAAATTTGAGCTGCGGCTGGTTTGAAATCTAGTCATTTTACACATTTTAAGGCCTTTGCTTTCATGTTTAGCACAGTAGAGATATCAAAATCGTCAATAGGAGTGCTAACAGATGAAACTTGCCCCTTTTTAAACAACTGACAACGACACAGATGTGACTATACTGGATCCAATGCATGCGTTAGTGCAATATAACAATATAACAAATTCTGCATTATGCATGTTCTGTACTGTAACAATTTGTTATTTCTATATTTTAATAGAAATTTTATGTAGTCAAGACAGTGACAAGCAAAATTTGATAGATGACATTTGACTTATTTCCACCACGCTGAATAAAGGTGACTTTAATATTTCTTCTTACCAACTTGATATAAACGTCCTTCTGGTGAAAATATTGTGATGTGACGATCAAAGCCTGCGCTGCTTCCTCGTGACATTGTCTACGGTTAGAGAATACAATGAAAACACACATGCACTGCTAAAGATGGCCACTTCCGGAATGTAGCGTTATGGGTAATATATATGGAAAGCGCAGGAATCTGAATGAGGAATCTTCGATAAATATTTATGTGACGTTATCGGTGGAAATGTCCAGTAGAATTTTAACGCAAGATATTATTCTTCTCACCAAACAATGACTTTAAAATAATGACTTTATGAACATTTAAGACCAAAAATAAAAGATCCTGAAAGGCTTATTTTCTCTTGGTAACTACTTCCGCTGTTGCACATAAATTATGTGGCACATGGCGGTAAACAAACTAGCCACCGACCTGAGCGACGCTTTATTATGTGAACAGGATAATATATTGTGATTTTAATAAAAAAAAGATGAAGTGGGTTGAAATATGGTGAGTAGTAAGGAATTCCATATTTACATATCAGTGGGGAAAGGGGGGGGGGGGTGCAGGGTGATGAGCGCCCCCCTCCCTGCGATCTGTGATTTGCACCCATTAGGCTCACAACTGCTGTCTTACTACAATACATTGTGAATTACAAAGGCAACACATTGTTGTATTGACTATTGCCTAAGGGGAACATTATGCAATTAAATAGTATTATTTACTTGCAGAAGTCCAAAATAATCTTTACTGATGACACTTTTTTTTTTTTGATGGGGGGGGGGGGGGG